GGATCTCGCGCTGTTCGAGGTATGTAGTAGTTGTATGTAGTTGATCGGTTGGTGATATCCAACGTAACTATTGATTGCGAGGATCCGCTGAGAAGACTTCCTCTGGCTGCTCTCTTATGTATCTGTGCAACTTGTGATACATACCAGGCTCTTCCCACAAAGCAAACTAGCAGGCACTAATCACTTAGTATCGCACCCCATTCTGCTTGGATAAATTGCATCTTTGAATCGCGCTGATCTGTAGCAAATACCCATTTAGGGCTGACCGGTCACCTGACACCCGTGCCTTTTCCCCTCTTCCTCTCTTCATAGGACTTCTCTTCACTCCTTTTCTTCATTCACCTTCATCTCATCTACTTCATCCACCATCCACCATCATGGATCTCTCAAAACCTGTCGATGCAGAGTTCACCCAACGACTGCCCAAAATTGAGGTTCTATCCTTGTCCGCTGCCATATATATATTGCGGGACCAACTAGTTAACCACAGCTAGTAGTTACACGCGCACCTGAGTGGCAGCATCAGCCGTCAGTGTCTCCATGAAATCTGGCTACAGAAAAAGGCCCAGGATCCAGAGTTCTCCGTCGAAGATCCATGGGTTGTTATGCCCCCGGGGAAAGTGGACTATTCGCTCGCAACGTAGGCCGCCTCTACCAATTCAACCCCGCCCATGCAACCCCCCAGTTCTTCCTTCATGCATGGATGCAAATTAAGACCAACGCATGCAAACCAAGCCCAAATCAACCGCATCGATTGAATCACTAGCTCATGCCCAGCTCATAAACCCAAACAAACAGATTCTTCACCGTCTTCTCACAATCCATCTACCACCTCTGCAACGACCTCCCCAGCATCGCGTACGCCACCACCTCCGTCCTCACGGACTTCCTACACGACGGCATCCGCTACCTCGAGCTACGCACCATCCCCCGCCCCTCGCCCACCGGCGCCTTTACCCGCGAAGAATACCTCGACACCGTACTCACCGCCATCGAGCAGTTCAGCGCCTCCCACCCAGATGAAATCACCGTGACCCTCATCCTTGCCCTCGACCGCGGCGCCACCACCGCCCTGGAGGCCCACGCCATCGTCGACCTCGCGCTCGCCCACCGCGCCCGCGGCATCGTGGGGCTCGACCTCTGCGGAAACCCCACCAAAGGGGACGTGGCGATCTACGGGCCCGCGTTCGCGCAAGCCAAGGTGCACGGGCTCGGCGTGACGGTGCATTTCGGGGAAGTCGTGCAGCCTGCGACAGAGGGGGAGTTGGAGACGCTGTTGGCGTTCGAACCCGATCGGTTGGGCCATGTTATTCACGTGCCGGGGCCGTTGAAGCGGGAGATTGCGAAGAGGCGACTGGGCTTGGAGCTTTGTTTGTCGTGTAATGTGCACGCGAAGATGTTTGATGGTGGCTTTCTGGATCATCACTTTGGGGAGTGGTGGGGGGGTGGTGAGTGTCCGGTTGTTCTTTGTGTAGGTCTTGACCTTCCTTTTCTTGTTTTGGCTTGCTTCTTTCATTCATTCTTTCCTCTTCCATTCCATATCGTCTCTGCTCCAAGTAAACTCCGCGCTGCCATCACAAATTGAATGCTAACGGGGAAAAAAGACCGATGATGTGGGATTCTTCTGTAGTCCTGTGTCAAACGAGTATCGTCTAGCCGCGGAGCACTTTAATCTTAACCGGAAAGACGTGCTACGTATGTGTCGAGGCTCGATCGAGATGATTTTCGGCGGCGAGAAAGAGAAGGCTCGTCTTCGTGGATTACTGGCTGACTTTGAAGCCGGATATACGAAGTAACGAGATACAACATGACATGACATGTTATGCTACGAGAATGAACGAATGTATACAGTGACTTAGTATATAAAGAGCAGCAAGTTCGATAAAAGTGAAGATTGGTCATAACGCATAGCTACTAGTCTTACATCTCAAATCACAAGACGTACGATTTTCATGGGTATCAATATCAAGGTTCCATCCCTCTAGCCCTGCCATCTCATCTTCCCCTCCTTCAAGGTCTTGATGACTCCCAACGGCATGAATTCGCGGTTCACGGCAGCCAGACCTCCGTATCGCCGAACCATATCTCCCTGGTACAGCTCCGCGATCCACCGCCAGTAGGGCGACATAGTGGACCAACGCTCGGAGATGGCGCTGCGGGTGCCCGGATCTTCGCCCCCAAGGGACATCTGGTTGGCGCGCAGCTTGGGAGTCTGGTTGATGTCGACCTCGTTCGGGATGCGGGCGAGGTCGCGGTACGCCTGCAGGAGAGGGACGCTGAAGCTCTCGGCGTACTTGGTGTACTCGTCGAGAGACATGAAGGTGGCCGACTCGGCGGATTCGTCCTCGCTATCTCGTCGGCCGCCCGACTTGTCGAACACTTCCTTGGCGGCGTGGTAGTCTTTCTCGTCTTCCAGGCGCGCCTTGTGGAGTCGACCCAGCGGGCTCTGTTTGATGTCCTCGCGCATGGCGAGCAGCGGGACGTACGGGTTCAGGAGCTCCAGGCCACCCAATTCCACGGGGAAGTAGAAGAAGCCCTCCGGGAGATCGTGGATGCCGAACCGCTCGGCTATCATCTTGCGCAGGTGGTCGGTGACGCCGCTGGGGCTGTCGGGGAACAGAGAGCGTTCGATGCGACTGAGCGTGGAGATGGCCATGTCGATGTGGTTGCGTCCGAAGCAGACGGCGGGTTTGCCGAAATTGTTGGCGAAGAAACGCCCAAAGTAGCTGTTCCAGGCCTGTACCCAGGCGAAGATGCTGGGGCAGGCGGCGATTTGGCGTCGCAGCTCCTCGATGTGATTGTCGACCTGCTCCTGGTCAATGACGAATCGGCTTTCCTGCGCGTCGAGCTTCAGAAATCCCCAGCGGATGTCGCCAGCGGGGAGCGAGTCGTCCTTCGTGGCGGGTGTGGACGGTTGCTTTTGATTGTCTTTCTTCCCCAGTCGCACTGTGCCGGTCTTTTCCTCGTTCAGTTCGAGCCCCATTACCTGGGTGAACTCGGTCATGGCCTTCCATGCCTGAACGCAGGTCTGCTCATGGCCCCAGAACCAGAAGTCGTCGTGCAGCCGGTACAAATATGCCCCGTCCGTGTTCTTGTTCACGGTGTAGTCCATGCAGAAGAGCACGGCTTCGCCAAAACAATCGGAAAGCGTATGGCTCATGGGAATGCCACGCCGGCGAACCTGGGTAGCGGCCCCGGGTCCATCCTGGGTGAACTTCAACGGGGACTCAAGGAAGGTCTGGAAGAAGTTGAGCCAGTTTTGGGGCATTCCGAAATATTCCAGCACGGTCAGCATCGTGGTGTGCGGGAGAGAGGGCCCAAAGTATTTGAAGTCCGACCGGAGGGCCGTAAACTCCCCATACTGGGAGGTGTAGATGAGGGATTCTGTAATCAAGAGATGGAGAAGAGAGTGTTTCGTCTCGAGAGCGTTCTTGGGGGTCCTCTCCGTACTGTACGTTGATCCAGCGTCACCTTCATCGCCGTATTCCGGCACGCTGGTCTCCACAGACGAAGGCAGTTGGGTCATGAAATAATTCGATTTGTACGTTCGCAGTCGATAATCTTCCACGCTATAGATACCAGACCCCTGGAATCCTCTTCTCGTGTCGAGGAAGTATTTGCTTTGCTGCCTCTTGACGCGTTTGGGGATGTTGGGCCTCTGTACCTTCCAGGCGCGCGTATTCACGAAAGCATGGAAGGCGGATCGGAAAGTCACCGCCCATTTGACACCGAGATATTGGAAAAGGAGGGCGTCTAGGATATCCTCGTCCATGAACACGCGGTATTTGCCATTCAGCTGGCGGCGCATTTCAACTGAGATCCCCTCCGCCGGCCAGCTCCAACTCTCCAAAGCAGCGAGGCGCATGTTCAGCACGTCCGCCACTTCCTGCGCGACCGCCGGATTGCGCATGAACTCCTTCAGGATATTCGTCTTTTCCTTCGACAGCATGTCCGATTTCAATAGCGCCTTACTGACCCATTCCAGCTCGTCGACGGTGATCCACGTTCGCTTGGACCCCAGTTCCGTGCCAAACGACTTGATCTTCTCCCGCAGCTCCTTCAACGCCTGCTTCGACAGCGCGGTCTCAGTGAAGAGTTGATCCAGATACTCCTTGATCGCATCTTTATTCACATCTGCCTCCTTGAACACGTAATTCTCCCACGTCTCGCGTTGCTCGTGCATCTCCGCCCGTCCCACTGTCTCGCCTTCTCCCTCCGTCGCGGCCGTCGTAGCTGCCGCAGCGGGGCTCTCTTCCAGGCTTTCCAGCCACTCCGTCACCAGAGTACTGTAGAACGAGGCATGTTCATGTCGCAACTGCAGGTAGCGAACCTCGTTTTCCAATTCAGCGACCCATTCTTTCAGACTCCGATCCGAGACGGACAGATCGTAGCGACTCTGCAGCAGGAACCGCCGAATGTTGACGTGCGCCGCGCGTTCCGACCCATCGCTCACGTCACCTTCGTGGTCGGACTCATCTACATCCAGGTCTTCTTTGTCGAATGCGTCGTTGGGGAACCCCTTGAGCTTGGTCACGCCTTCTAGCAAGACTTGGGCTCTGGATCGGAGATCGGGTGATTTTTCGGCAGCTTGGAGGATCCTGGTGCGTTGCTTATCGAACAGGGCTCGCTGTTTCGTGAGTTCGCCGATCTTGATGGCGGTGATGGAGCGCAGGGTTTGGGGGAGAGCTCTGGAGGACATTTTTATGTAGTAGAAGTTGATGGTTCAGGACTAGATTTTTTGGTGAGGATTTTGACAAGGATAAGCCAGAAGAAAACAACACTTCAAGAGTAAAGAAAGGATGGGCAGAGATGCCGTGAGAGACTCTCTGTTGTGTGTGAACAGAAGGAGGGGAGATGGGGAAGTTTTATTTACGCTTCCGTCGAGATCGGCGGAGCTGCAGTGGAGCCGTGACTCAAGACTATAAAAATTAAACCAAAAAAGGACGCCGATCCACTAGATCCATTCCATGACATCATGTAAACAAGCCAATGTTATAGGACTAGATCTGTTCAAATTCAATCCAGCAATCATCGTACTGCATTTCCAAGTAGCTCTTCCCTCGCAGCTCTCCCACCGCCCGAATCCTCCATCGCCGAACGGCCGCCATCACCGCTTGAGCAATCACCAGCCAGGCCAGATCTTTCCCCGCGCAGCCTCGCGCGCCTTTGCTGAAAGCCACGAACCTGGAATCCATATCTCGCCGATGTGACTCATCTCCCAGCCATCGCTGCGGTAACCATTGGTCCGCCGTGTCACCCCAGATCTCGCGCGACCGGCCTAGAACGTACGAATTGGCCGACACTCTCGTGCCCACAGGGAGCGGGGAGTCCAATCTGGCAATGATTGTCTCAGCGCCTGGCCGTATGACGCGAGGAAACGCCGTGGGAAAGGCGGCGTGCAAACGGAGGGTTTCTTTGATGACGGCCTGCAGCTCCAATGGAAGGGACGCAGTGGTCGATGACTCCGTCTCGTTGAAATCCGGCGCCGCCATTCGCAGTCTGTTCTGCCATCCCTGGCCTTGATCGGTCCCCAGCTGATACAACAGCGCCGTGATTGTCGCGGATGTGCTTCCCGGTCCCGCGAAAACCAGGTTAAATGCCTCCGATAGGAGCTCATCCTGACTCATTCGGGTGGCGTCGTCGCGGGGAACTTCCAGCCAGCTTTTCAGGATACCCGGTTGCTGATGCTGGGCCACTTCCACGGAACGCGCAAAGATGGTCCCCCAGCAGGCAGCCAAAAGAGCGGACAAGCCTGTGCCTTCTCCCTTGGCGTTGTAGACCGGTCTACGAAGCAAAGCATCGATAGGGCGCGTGTTCATGATCCATCCAAACGCCGGCCAGAGTGAGAAGCTCCATGCCATTTTACTCATCTGGCGCAAAGCCGAAGTAACCCCCTCCCCTGCAGCGTTGTCCGTGTACGGATGCGAGGCGAGAGCGGGTCCAAAAATTACCTCCAGCATGGTGTCCACTGTGAACTGGTGCACCAGAGGGGCTATGTTGACTGATTTTGCTGCAACTGACGACGAAGCCTCCACCCTGGCGAGGAGAACATCGACTTGTTTTGACACTATTGGGGCATACCTCGCCGATTTAGAGCTAGTCAGAGCAGGGCCCAATACCTTGCGTTTCTTTTGTCGGTGGGCGGCATCGGATGCCGTAGCAAAGATGCTCGCGGTCCGTTTGCTTTGGTCTCTGCCGAAACCGTAGAAGTCGTCCTTTTCCACAGACTTATTGAAACCATAGATGGCTTCAAAGTCCTCGAGAGTGGAGAATGAAAGCCAGTTTGGCGCGACGCGCACTACGGGCCCATACTGCACGTGCAATCGCCATTCCGTCAAGTGGTGCTGTCCGTTGAGGAAAGTCAAGAATCTCCTTTCATCGGACTCATTGATGAGCTTAAGACTACTAGGTACGAGTGGATTCAACGGGCAGAAGTACGGACCAGATATTAGCGAAGCGAGCTAGAAACGGTCCTGGATATTTAGCGAGAGGATGAAAATAGCAGAGATAGACCACACGGGCGAGAAGGGTGGCTCCAATGAAGGAAACGATCAGAGTGAAAGACAAAAGTGGTGCTGGCATGACCTCAGTGAAGGGATATATCTCTTTTCAGCTAGGAATTAGTCTGTGATGATGGCAGGGATGAAGTGTAAAGAAGAAAGCGAAAGAGGGAAAAACAAAGAAGGGGCAACGTCATCAAATCACGAGGGGACCACGTGTTGCTGCAAGAACACGAGAAGTGCACTACAGGCAGCTATTTCGTCGCAGCCACAACTGAACCAACCTTCTCTTGGTTCCGCGATCTAGAACGTCTATCCTCACTCTGCATCCCTCAGCAAAACAATGTCCCTGATCATCCCATCAAAGCCCTCTCCAATCCGATTGAGCGGTGCTTCAAATGCAATAGGCGCCCATAATTGTTGTTCCCCATTTATCCCCAGTCGAGTGAGAAACTCCATGGAAATAGATTCCGCGGTGAAGAATGTATGGGCACCCTTTCCGACCAAAGAAACATCCGTCCAGGTATCCAGCGGAAGACTATAATTTAGCGAGTACGAGTTGCCGCCGCTTATGAAGGTCACGTTGCTAATAGATCCATTTCCATTCGTGAGCATCGAGTCGGGGCCGGCGAAAAGAATGCCTGGGGTGTCCGATGTGGGGTTCACTGAGAATGATAAAATATAGTCCCTCCCTTTGCTACCTAGAGGCGTCTCCAGATAGCAGCCGTCGGAAAGTATGAGGGCGGAGTCTTGAATATCACATCCATGCACTATACCATGGTACCCATTTCCAGATAGGTCAGGAACGGTTTGAGAATCCTCATCGAACTCGTAGTGCAGTATTGTATCGGTCTTGCTCCGAACTTGGCGGTCTAGATTCTGCGCCGGTATGGCCGCATGAAGTTTTTCAAACACCAGATCATACTCCTCTTCGAGTAGGTCTCCGCCCCACTGTTTGTCACTCAGCGCGGGAAGAAGATCCCTCCAGGAATGATAAGTCTCCAGAACGGTGGTGGCGTTGGGTCCATAATCATTCCATAGCGCGGCAACATGGCCAAGCACACGGTCGTTGTCCCGTGGAGGGTTGTTGGACGCATTCTTAACATCAAAGATATTAGGAGCAAATGCTCCGCCGATAGGATCTCCATGGAAGATGCGTGTTTTGTTCAACTGCTGGGGGTAGCTCCCTGACCATTTAGCCACAATGTAGGACGCATCGTCCGAATTAAGCACATCGTAGCCGTTCTGGATGAAATCATAATACGCATTGTCCTCGAAAGCCTCCCAATGTTGGATCGACACCTCTGTTGAAACGTCAGCCCCTTCGTCCGGCGTGAAGGTGCCCCAGATCCTCACGGCTTTGCCTGACTCCTCGGATATGTACGAATGTATTTGATTGACAAAGCTTGTGTAATCAGCGATCAGATGGCTTTCATACTCATCCGCCCCGATATGAACAGTTTTACTCTGGAACCAAGGTAGGAACGTCTCCCATATCGCTTTAACGGTGGGAAGTGTGTCCGGGTGGCTGATATTGAGCATACTAAGATCGTCGAGCCCTAACTCCGGACGCCATTGCACCATGACCAAAGCATGTCCCGGTGCCTCGATTTCCGGTATAATCGTAACACCTCGCTGGGCACATTGCCATTGAACCTGGTGGAACTGATCGTACGTATACGATTCATTGGCTCGTTTGTTCAACCCGGCCACGGCCTCGTCATCGGACCAAAGGCGGAAAGCTGCGTACAAATCCATCGAATCTTGCCTTGAATACCGATCGACGTTGTTGTAAAGATTGTCACTCAGGTGAACATGAAATACATTCTGCTTGAAGAATGAGAGATAAGAGCACATCTCGGTTAGGAATTCGGGCGGATAGTAATGACGTCCGACGTCTAGCTGAAATTAACTCCACTTGTCAGTTATTCTCGGTGGGCAGTATGATTACCAACTGCAACTTACCATGATGCCTCTGTTAGCCCATCCAGGTGCATCTAGTCCGGATCCTTGAGGGAGCCCCCTTCCAGCCACTACGGCTGTCTGAATAAGAGACCGGGTTGCCCACCAAGCTCCCAGTGGGCTTGCACCCGCAACCGTGATGCCGTTATCATGAATGTTGAGGGTGTACGCCTCCGTAGTGGGACGTCCGGCGGCATCTTGAAAGTCACTGTTGTTGGTCAAGGTGAGAAAGATGGAATCCGGTATAGGATCCGAGCTGAGATTGAGGGGTAAGCTCAGCCCTAACGTAGACTCGAGATCTTCTTGGAAGGTCTCGGCGAACTGATGGAGGGTCGGGGGTATCAGCGTTTGTCCATCGTGATCGACGGCATCGGCATAGTCGATGTCCACCACAATGCCCGTCAATTGATCGAGGTGGTAAGTGTCACCGGCTTCGATGAAAGGGAAGGTAGGAACTGTCACCAACCGAGTCTGTCCTGAAAGGGATGAGATTGGCTGTCAACCATTTACGGGTATGGATTTGGGGACAACGGTGTCATACCCCCTACGCCAAGGGCTAGCAGCAGAACCGAGCGCCACGACCGAGTCCAGTACATTGCGACGAAGAAACTAGCTAAAGATCTAGCAGTTGAGAGCGATAGAGGGGTCTGCATCCGTATTTGTATGGCATTGCAGGCTCGCGTAGGATTTCCAAGCCGAAGAATGAGGGGAAGGCAAGGAAAGTGCAGATACCTAAGGTCGGCAAGGCGTCGATCCTTCACCCTCAATGTCACCTTCCTCGCCGGTATCTGATCGGCTCAACGGCAATTTTTCATGTCGTATTCATTGTAGGGTTCGCTGTTTATGATGACATGGTGATGTTACCTAGAGGGCTAACATCGGGGAGATTTAGTGGTTTGTTTAAAAAAAAGAACCGTGCCTCGCCATCTGAAGTCCTAGTAGCATTCTTGGGAGTTGGCTTCCCTAATTCTGCTTTCACCACAAAAATATGCAGAGTATCGAATTCTCGGAGTAAGGGGCTGAAAGCCAAATAGTAGGTAAACGACAGGGAGAAAGAGAGCAAAGGAAGAAGGAAGAGAGAGAATCGATCGAGTAGAAAGAAGGAGGCAACCACTGACCCAATCGGGTTAGCGCCAGTCCGACCAGCTGAAATCTCCGGGCGCCTCAGGAAGAAATTCGGAGCTGAACCTCCTGTCAACCTGCGATGTTGGACTCTTTTCGAACCCAGCCTGCCATCTCATTCTTCATTCTTCAGGGCAAAGAACCAGATCGAAGGAATAGTCTTGCCGCCTCTAAACGCGAGCAACTACCAGTCGAAGGATGACGAGCCCTCCGCTACGATAAATAATAGTACTACCTAAATCAGACCCGATCTAGCATCCACCAGATCGATCAATCTACTCAGTACACGACAACGCAACCATGGGAATGGACTTTGTGTTCATCAATGTTCGCGAACCTAAAGATGCCCTGCAGCTCGCTAAAGAGCCCGAGATCCGCTCTCACGTGGCTCGCTATCAATGGAAGCAAATCGAGAACCGTTCGTCGCACTCCACTCAGAAGGAGGGCGCCGAAAAGGCCCGGGACAAACGGCCCTGGTCGACCTGCATAGAACTAGATTGCTCCGCCCCGCATGATCAGGATGGCCTGGTTTCCGATACGACGACTCGCCCTCCCAAGCCCTTCGACGTGGTCCAACCCGCCATCTCGATCCCGCCGCCGCTCGGTGGAATCCGCGTCGATCCTTTTCGGTCCTATCCGATCTCGTTCAGGCCGTTCTTGCCACAGCTCGTGGATCACTGTAAGAACAGTCACCTGTAGTTTGTCCCTGATGCGAGCGAGCTAACGAGCCCCGCCTCCGACTGGGCATTAGATCTCATGAGTATGGCGGTCGACATTCCCGAGCTGGATCAGCCCGGTAACCGAGGCCTTCTCCGAACCAGCTGGTTTCCGCTGGTTATGACCGAGCCTTCATTATTCCTTGTAATCATGCTACTGGCTGGATCGCACTATGCCTCGGTGCGGGATCCGTCGGCAGATATCAAGCTAGATCTGCTCCGTCTGCGATGCGAGACCGTCAACGCCATCAACTATTCCTTGCAATTCCAGCAGAAGGACGGCGTCAACGATGCATTGGTGGGTGCTATCGCGAAGATGGCCAGTTACGAGGCGATGTTCGGTAACATGGAGAACTATAGCGTGCACATGCGCGGTCTCACTAGGGCGGTCGGTCTACGAGGCGGTCTCACGTCCCTCGGACTGAACGGGCTGCTGCGGCGGATAGTCGTCTGGATAGACCGCAACGCGGCTTTTTTGCACGGATCGTCGCTCTATTTCCCCGGCGCAACATTCGTGCCAGGGCAAGCATTGCCAGATCCGAATCCGGGTCATTTCTTGGGAGCGTCATAATCAGGAGATAAACGGACATAGCGGTGTATTTATACAACGGAGTTACGAGACCACGACCAAAAGATCGACAATCTGTCATTCATGTCTACACTGTCTAGGTAGGGAGGCCGTGCAATAACCCAAATAGGATATCACCTTCACGGCGGGACTGCATCTCTTGACGTCATTAGCAAACCCAATTGGCCCGTTGCATCCCCTTTTGATCTGATCTTGCCAAATCTGACCAATCATATTACATCATTTCTCGTCAAGAGAGCCCACCGAACGCGCCTTTCCCGATTGGGATATCACATACTAAGAAAGCTTAACCTCTTGCAGAGCCCGCATTTGACCTCATATCTCGGACTGAACGGAAATAGCGCAGCCCAGGGAAAGATGCGGTGTCGATTTTTGAAACAAAGAGAACCTTACAATATTCAGCCATGGAACTCTCCCCGCGATTCCTTATAAAAGGAGCCCTGAACATCCTCATAGATCCCTGAGGGCTACATTTCCACCACACCCAGTTACATCCAGCTTCTCTCTTTTTAGTCGCTTCAATCCCTTAATTGTCTATCGGCATCCTCAAAAATGTCTCTTACCGGCCAAGTCGCCCTCATCCCTGGCGGCGTCAAGAACCTTGGCGCCCAAATTGCCCGCGAACTGGCGGCCCAGGGAGCCAACCTCGCCCTGCACTATCACTCCGCTGGCAGCCAGTCCGACGCCTCCAGCCTCTCCGCCGAGCTGAAGCAGAAATACCCGTCTCTGAAGATCGCAACCTACCAGGGTGACCTCACGCGCGCCGCGGCCGTCACCAAGCTGTTCCAGGACACGCTGAAGGAGTTCGGCAAGATCGACATCGTCGTGAACACGGTCGGCAAGGTGCTCAAGAAACCGATCACGGAGATCAGCGAGGAGGAGTATGATGAGATGTTTGCGTATGCTATGGCCTTTCCTTTCCCCCTTTCCCGTCATTCATATATCTTCCCTCGAAATTCCACTCCAAGACTAAGTACTCCGTGTGGTATGATACTAAACGAAATGTCCTCAGCATCAACTCCAAAACCGCCTTCTTCGTTCTCAAAGAAGCCGCCGCGCATATCTCGGATGGTGGCAAGATCATTTCCATCGTCACGGCTCTTCTCGGCGCCTTTACGGGCTTCTATACCTCCTACGCGGGGAGCAAAGCTCCTGTGGAGCATTTTACTCGGTACGTCTGGGACGCCCACCACTACCTCCCCCTCCTTCTTCAAAAAAAATAAACAAAACAAACGCATATACGATTAAGAATAGAAATAACCGCTAACCTCCAACTCTCTCAAAACAACAGAGGCGTCTGCAAAGAACTCCAGTCCCGCCGCGTCAGCGTCAACAATATTGCTCCGGGTCCGATGGATACGCGTACGTCTTCCCCTATTCCCTCTCCCTCATTCGTATATTCATACCCATATCTACATCTGCATTATGAAAGTATGAAGAGAAAATGGACTAATCCGATGGCTAATACCCATGTCTCTCCAGCATTCTTCTATCCCCAGGAATCTCCGGAGGCCGTCGAGTTCCACAAAGCCAACGGCATGGGCAACCGCCTAACCATGGTGCAGGACATTGCACCCATCGTCCGCTTCCTGTGTACCGAGGGGACGTGGATCACGGGGCAGACGATCTTTGCGAATGGGGGGTATACTACTCGCTAGAAACTTAACGAAGGGGAGACAGCTGGAGATTGTGTCATGACGGTACATATAGGAGGGCATTAATTAACGAAACAAGAAGAAAAGAAGGGGGTAACAGAAATGGAAAACCATGTCCCATAATCAAATTCATGTCTCATAACATGTGCAGATGCATCAAAGCACAAATTCTATCGTTCAGAAGAACAGAGTAGTTGGTCTCGATAATCGACCAGATCTAAGTAAGTCCCTAGGGGTATTGTATATATAGAAAACCCCCGTTCCCAATCGCTTATGTACAAAAATGATGTTTGCTCCGCGTGCGCCAGCTTGGATATAATATGTTCTTGTTTTTTTGTTCAAATGGCGGCGGCAGATCCCGCCTTGGCTCCCTTTTGATCAGGAGACGATGCATATCCGGCATCGTCCGTCTTCGGGGCGGCGTCTACTTCGTATGGGTAGGAGTCGACTTCCTCGCCGTAGGCGATGGACAGGTTGTCGACGTCCACGTCAACCTCGTTCCAGGTCTCGCTGGTGGCCGGCACCGGGAAAAGACGGGTCAGAATATAGTACAGGATGAAGGAGACGGTCACGCCGGAGACATAGTTAATGTTATAGATGTACTGGGCGCCTACGGGCACGGTGCGGCCGACGGCGCCGGCGAACCCGACGATGTTGATGAGGATGCCCGCCAGGTAGGAGGCGTAGGCCTGCCAGGAGAAGCCGTATACGTATCGGTAGGGCGAGTCCTTCCGGGCCGAGTACAGGTCCTTGACTTGTAGGTAACCCTTGCGAACAACGTAGTAGTCGCATAGCATCGGTCCAGCGATGGATGACAGGAAGATGGAATAGGCAGAGAGGTAGGTGGTGAATTGGTTGGACGAGGAAACCAGGTTCCACTGCGTTCTTCATGTTAGCTAGGAATCTTTTCGATGCAGGACTTAATCAGGGAGTCTTACCGGGCACATGGCTAAGCCCACGGCGGCGCAGACATAGCTACCACGTCGGATCGTGATGTACCGGGGCAGCAGCGCGGTCATATCGGTACCAGCCGAGACCGAGTTGGCCGAGATGTTTGTGCCGAGCTGGGCCAAAGCAAACCCCGTCGCGATCACGAAGATGCCAAAGCGCTCGGCAGAGCTGGCTCCTTCTAGGAACATGTTCAGGAGGTCGAGAGGATTCCACACCATCTCACCTCCGAAGATCACAGCCGACGAAGACGACGCGATGATGCCGATGAAAGAAGTGATTCCGAAGCCTACGGGGATGGTAAACAGCTGGGACCACAGGGCATCCTTGGGCTTGTATGCAAATCTCGAAAAGTCGGGGTCATTGACAATTAGAGTAGCAAAGTTCCCCATGCAGCTCATGATCGCTTTCACCACGGCCCAGGCCAGTGTGCTGCCGTGCACGGTGTTGGGTTGGTGCACAATCGGCCCAATACCGTTGGCACGGCTGATGGCCCAGGCGAAGAAGGCAATGGCCGCAATGGGGGAGTAGATTGCCTTGACGGTAAACAAATGTCGGATCTTGTGGACGGGAAACCAAAGCGCGGGTAACGAGAGGAGCCAAAAGAGGAAGAAGCTCACAAAGCCCTTCGTGTCGACTCCGGAGCTTGCGGGAATAGTGTTGGGCAAATTTGCATAGCTGGGCCAAATGGCGCTGATCATAATGGTCACACATTGACCTAATTGATGCGTCAGACCTGCATTATTGTTGGGGTGGGGACGAAAGGGTCTGGCACTCACCTCCGATGTAGCCCTGGACCCCGTACCAAATTACCGCCATGGCCGCCCGGTTGAACACAGGCCAGAAGGATCCCCAGATACCAAATGTAGACCGACAGACCACAGGGAAGGAGATGTGATAGACCGCGCCGATGCGACCGGTCAAGCAAACAAAACACGCGGCCATAAAGTAGCCCACCCACACACAGAGCCAGGCCTGCCACCACGATAGTCCATCCACAATCATGGACGAGGAGATCATCCAGGTATTCTGGTCCACCGTTAGCCTTCCGGCAAGCTTTCCGAGAACCACACCAACATACAATATTCAACGAGTCTGCAATCCAAAAAGCAATAAAATTGTACCACCTCCATTGGCGACGTTCGGGTTCAACTGCACCATGCGATCAGCTGAACAGTTCCACGACGCGTGAACGACATCCGGAGCAGGCAGGAATAAAGGGAATCGTCGGCCGGGTGCCAAAGTCTCACCTGGCCGTAAATCATGGTTGGTCAACATTAATTGCGTGTTGGTCAGCCCAGGCTCCGACGGCACCTCGAGCTTCTCGACCCATTGCTTCATTCGAGCCATGATGCAATGCTGCAATAATGCAATGCCACACCCGCGGGGAAGTCCGGTCCGAGTTGGGTGACTTGCTCGCTGCGCCCAGGAGAGTATCGCACTGGGGAAGACGAGGGCAGAAGGAGCGAAATAAAGCAGATGCGAGATTGTCGAGAGGGCCGAGGGAGCGTAGGACGGGGACGGGATATAAAGATGAACGACACGCCTAAGCCTGACACCACAGGCAGCGACGGCGCACCCGATGATATCCCGGGTTTCCATTTGATCCTCATTTAGTCATGATGGACAACGGACGGTTGGAAGCCATATCGTCATGATCAGCCAGGGGCCAATCAGGGCAACGACAGGGTGATATCGAGCCATATCAGCCGTTATCATGGGAGGCCCCGGATGGACGGGAATCATGGAATGGAGATGGGATCCTCATCCCCGGAGAAGTCAAAAAAATGGGGAAGGTGGGAGCAGGGCAGCGATAAGAGCGGTGCCAATAGGCTGTGGGCAGACTGGCAGCCCTCCATCAGTGATCTGATCGAGTAAGAGACTGGGTGTTATCAGCGATATCTGGACTGCTGCTGTTTGCGGAGGAAACTAAGAGGAGTCAGGTGGAGACGGGGCGGGCTGGGCGTATCTAATCGTCACCTCATCGTCGTGTCAAGTGCTGACTCGATCCCATCGAGTAACCCGCGTCACGTGGTCCTCCGATCGGAGGTCTTATCTCTCTCTCTCTTATCGTTCTTCGTTCTTCGTTCTTCGTTCTTCATGCTTCATCTCTTCTGAAACAATGTGGTATTATGCGCTAAAATCAACCCCCCCCCCCACTACTCCTCTCTATCTACCCCTGATTCCACTTCCCAAACTTCATATAATCATCGTACAATCCCTTGAACACCGCCCGTCCCGACACGTCCAGTCCCGCGTTCAGCGCCCGCATCGTCTCGCGCGACATGACGTCCAGCACCGAGTACAGGCCGGGCATGATCGCCGCCTTGACCTCGGGCGCTAGCGTCCCCCGTAAGGAGCTCTGCGCATACTCCATAATCAGGTACTGCAGGTACTGCCCCGCAATCCGTTTGGCCTTCTTCGTCTGGTCCGTCAGGCCCTCGTAGCCGACCCCCGATTGCGTTGGTCGCGACACCGCCGACACCGTGGGATCGCACAGGGACGTGAGCAACCGCGTAAAGTGCACCGCGTGTGCCGCATCGAGGGATGCCAGCCAGAACGGCTGTTCGGCCTGCCGCTTCTCGGAAAGCATCGATCGGCTTCGCTTGCGAGACCGCGCAAACAGGCAGTTCAACAGCCGCTGCATCGCGGGAAGGATTAGGTGGAATCGACCTCCCAGCTTCTGGCGATGAATACCCAGCAGAGCACCCATGATGCGGCACAGTCGAATGTAAATCGTGGCCGAGTACTCGGGATTGATTCGCGGCCCAGCTTTGGACGCGCACACCGCAACGCAGGCCAACAGGCTATCGATGTTCCATTGGCTGATGCAGCGCGTGTGGTTGCGCAAGAGAATGTCCAGGCATTCGGTGCCGAAGGTGAATTGCTCGATCGATTTGCTGCGCGACACCGACTCCGTCACAGCGGTGCACAAGAGCGACAGCTCCTTGGCCGTATCGTTGTCCTTGTCTTCGATGGGTGCCAGAGATGCCACGGCTAACCCGCAGATAAGCAGGTGGTATTCAGCACTGTCTCCGAGGAATCCAAGCTCCCGGATATCGCGGATCACTCGAGTAAGCTCGTCCGACGACAAAGATCGGAATCTGGCACTCGTTGACCGAATAAATAGACGTTGTTCCTCGCCATACATGTGCCGCAGCGGAAGGGCCTCGGCATACTGTATGACGGGGAGCGTAATGCTTTTCTCCGATCCCCGGCCGGCGAGAACGCGGCGCCTAATCAGTCGTCGTAGCGAGGAGCCAGAGTCAATGGACTTTTCCACGTAGCTTTCGATCTTGGACAAAAACTTTTCAACCTCCGTGTGATCGGTAGCGAGATCCTCAAAGTCCTCCAAGGCGTCGAGGATCTTGATCAGCGTAATAGTCTCCTCCAGTTTCTGTTTCTTGCACTTGTCCTTGACGGACTTCACCTCCGCGACAACAAGTTCAAACACCTTTTGCCGACAGTTGGCCAGCTCTTCCTCGTCAAACACGCCGGAAAGGCTCTTGCGGTGAAGCCAGAGTTGGGACAGAGATATCCTGATAAAGAAACAGTCCATCGAGTCGCGATCGATTGATCGCAACTTAGACGCCTTGGAAGATACCTTCCGATACATTTTCTTGAAGATTTTGCGGCGATCGTCCTCGGACAAGACCAGCAGTTTCGTCACGACGGCTCGGTGTAGGTTGCGGAACGCTTTCATGATCTGAAGGTCAACGTCACTTCCTTGCAAGGAAACGGCTTTAGCCACGGTCCACATCGGTTCCCAGTCGCTGGTGAGAACGGCTGTGGACTTGGGCATGTCGGCCAGCTTCGCCATCAAGGACAGCAACCCCACGGTGACTTCTGGCGTACTGTCTTCCTGTAAAACAACGTTTTGCATCAGATCCAAGAGAACCGCTCTCTGGCGACGAGTGACAAGCGGGGCTGGGATCCTCTGGAGACTCTCGACGTATAGCTGGCGATTGGAAGTAGCTTCTTGAACGGGTCCCGTGAGCACGTGTATCAAGTCTGCGACAATTATGGGAGCGTTGAAGAGATACTCGTGGCAAACAACGCTCACCCAGGCTTGCAGGAATCGTGCTCCGGCCGGGGTAGTTTCCAAAATGGACGACGATGAATTATATTGTGATGTCGCCAAGATTAGCACATGCTTAAGCAAAGACCGGCGAGTGTCCGAATCGATGACAGGCCAAATTTCCGGACTCTGGACGATAGCCAGGAAGTAAGCCAGTGCAAGAGTTATGGGAGAAGTAAGAGTCTCTGCACGACCATCCCACGGGGAGTCCATCGACTGCAAAGCATCCTTTGCGGAGCTCGATTGAAGGAAATCTGCAACATCCTTTGTAAGCGTGTTAAACTTATCGACATTGCTAGATTCGGGAGATGCTTTGACCGAGGCAAGGGTGAATCTGTAGGCCTCAAAACACTCCAGCGGAGCACACGGCTTCTTCACCCAATCTTTCTGATGGCGTCGGATGGACTTTGCGGCCGCATCCGTAAAGCCCATGATCGTAGCACCACGGCTGCCATCGGCAAATTGGCCATTGTTTTCGAGGAGGTTTCGGACCAATCTCCAGAGCCGCCATCTCCAATGAATGCTCTGTTTCGAAGGCAAGGTAGAGGCCAACGTCTCGATGACGACATCCAAATCCTCGTTTGAAGCCGTAGAATACAATGTGCGACTTCTTAGACCCGCCTCTAATATCAGGAAATGAGCGTAGGCAGAAGGCGTAGCCGAGATTCTCCCATCATTGCCCTTGACTTCCGCGGCCGCGGCGTGCATCTGCACTGCAGCATGCGCGTGGGTTAGAGGATTGCGCATCAGTTCACTGTAAATGTTGCAAACATCATCATCCTCCCAGACGGAGAAAAGACTGAGGTTGCTGTCTTGCGATCGCGCCTCTTCAATACTGATTAGCTGCTCGGTCCATAACTGCATGAAAGTTGCTAAATCTCGGGCGTCCACAAATCCGCGTAACAAAGGAACCACGATGCCGGTTTTTATGACTCCATAGCTTTCGTGGGTGCGCGACACTCCACTTCGCCAGTGTAGATGGATCTTCTCAAGTAGCGCTTTAAGAAGCTTGGTCGAATCGGGCAAACCAGAGTTTGGCAGAAAGATGTCGGCTCCCAGTTCAATAAGCAGCGCCGTGAGGCTCCACTCAACTTGCGCCAGCCCATCCTTGAGCAGGCCCGTGTACACGGCATGCGTGAGCAAGGTATGGAGAGACAGCTGCACATTCCGCGAAAGGACCACGCGGAACAGACTTTCAAGGATGCCGACGAATTCTGGAAGGTAAATGTCCGCATCCTCCGCCTTCACAATCCAATATGCAAGCTCAGCGACGGCCACAAAGAGCGTCTCCAGCCATGGAGCCTCATGCGTCTGTCTTCGGAAGGTGTCCCTAGGCACCGAACGGGACGCGATGTCGAAGAATTCCGGTAGCAGTTCTGCAGTCTTCCATAGCGTCTTCGTCGTAGTGTTTGCGCTTTCACCAGTGGCGCCAGTGGAGTCGGTGCCTAAAAGAATCGGCTTGAAGGTGTCGGAAACGGGCTTGACAGGACTCCAGTCCGGCTCACTCGCCGAATAATCTATACCGGAGCCTCCTCGGTCGTAGAATGCTGCCCGCGCTGGTAGCACCACATGAAGGGCAATTAACCGCTCCACCCCCTGCAGAACTTGGGCTCTCTCATCGGTATCTAGTCGGACGGATCGCACGCAGAGATGTAATCTTAACGCACTCTGGAAACAAACCTTGGCGAAGGATTCCTAACAACTGTTAGCGTCCCGAGTATTCTATTGTCAGCTTCCATTATCGGAACTTACGTTGCTCGACCCACTGTCTGTATCATTCCGGCGATAAGACCTCAGCTCCCACAGCTCCAGGACTGCGGGAAGCACATACAGAAGATGTTGCAAATCGGTCGTCTTGCGCGCGTGAGAGAACTGGTTCGTAGCGACAGCAGCCACCCTGAATGATTTGCCCAGTGTCAAAGCAATCGATTCAGGTTCCCCCTTTAGAGCATGTCTAAGATGAGCGCTGGCCACTTCCTCAATCCCCAGCGTCCGACTAGTCAGGTTGACCAAGCTGTACAAGCAATCCAGCGCCCGAATGAAGGTCAAGAAACACGAAGTCGGCGTTTGCGGCTGTTCATCGATGTCCATGGCGTCCGGCTCTCCATCACCAGGCCTCTTCCTTTTCGTCCCCTTCTTATCGTACTTCCCCGCGTCCTGCGTCGAATCGCTAAGCGTCTTACTCGAATTCGAATCCGAGCGAAGAAATTCCGTCGTTCCATTCTCCAGTCCGGCAAAAACGTCGTCCTCCAGGTCGGTGATTGCGTGGCTGAGGATACCCAAGAACTTCTGGTCCTTCAACGTGATCGCCAACGTCTTCGGGGGGATCAGATCGATGAGCTGTCGCAAGAGTAGGAATGAAGCAGGTTCGACCCGGTAGTTCTTGCCCGCCTTCAACTTCTTCAGCAGCCATCGCAGTACCCATTCTTCCTTCGGAGCGGCCTTCGTCTGGATATGAGGGGTTCGGTTGATTTCGGGGTGACTGGCACACAGGGCCAGGTCGAGTCCAATTATCTGAGCGGCCTCATTAAGCTGGACGGAGGGAGACCCGGAGCCCTTTTCGAGTCGAAGTAGAGCCTCTTGCGACGAGCGCGGACGCTGTATAGAACACAGTACAATTTAGTCGGATATACATTTTTCAAGAACCCCCATGGTAAAGAACAGAACACAAGAACGTTGAAAAGAGCGACAGGAAAGAAGAAAAACCCACCTCCGCAACAGACGGCATTTCGGAGAACGATCGAATGAACAATCTAGAGCCGTCCGATCGGTGAGTATCCAAGTGACGGGGGGGAAGATTCAAGTCGACATAATCCGTGGAGCAGGAGAAAGGGAAAAAAAAGTAGGCGCGCCCGTGACGCCAGAAACAAGCCAAGGCTGGTTTTTCCCCCCGACCGCCTTTGGCCCGGCAGAGCTCGACCTTTCCCGATCGCTTCCATCGTCGGCTTCTCCCTGTCTGCTCCCTCTTCATTGGTATTTCTCTGCCCTCTCGTCTGCTTTTGTTTCTTTCTCCGTCGTCTATCGCAGACTGTTTGTCCACCGCTCCTTTCTCATTTCTGAGGCCCGAACTAACGCCCCGATCGCAGATCCATCACAATGGCCGACAACAACGGTTCCCAGCCTGTAGCCCGGGCCACTAAGCCCGTCAGTGAGGCCTTGCTGAACGAGAAGGTACTGTCTACGTCCAATGTTTCTTGATTTCGACTCGATGAGAATCCTATCATCTGCATCAATGGCTGCCCGCGCGGCCATTGATTACAGCCAAGCAAGGAGCACTCGTGCACACTCGAAATGTTTTGAGCTTCGGGCTAATACGGAACTGTCTATGGCTACGATAATTATAGTGGGACCGCGCCATCTCCTCCATGATCATCCGCTCTTCTCTCGGTCTTTCCTTCGGTGTTGTCTTCTCGGTGCTCCTGTTCAAGCGGAGGGCTTGGCCCGCCTGGGTTGGTCTGGGCTTCGGTGCCGGACGTGCGTGGGAGGAGGCTGATTGTACGTTTTGATACCCCGGAAATCGATGGCAGGGAGCACCCGCCTCGCTACTGTGGGATTCGTTGGGTCAGCATTGCTAACTGGATCTTTAGCTTCTTTTCGCCGGGGTGATTCGCCCGTCAGAGACGCTCTGCGTAAGTAAAGGGTCAGCATCTGGTTGTGTATGATACCTGTATAGCCGGAGGGAATCAAATTAGATTGAGGCGCCACACCTGCAGTTTAGATGGGAGACTCTAGACTTGACCTATATTTTCACGCAATTCATCTTTGTTATACCAGCCTTTCAGGCGTGTTCGTCATGTGGTTCAGCTTATTGGGGGAGTGTTTGTGTTTGCAAGCCAATCTAATCGCGCGCACAATCATGGCGCAGGTTCTTCAGGGCAAAACGTTATTGATTTGGCAAGCGTCTATCCCTATGATCCATTCAGGCTACCTCGTCCAAGCAGATAAAGCCCTTCAAAAACAAAGCAAAGTTTGAAAAAGTAAAAAGGATAAGGACACCACCAACTGTCTCTATAATCAATATACTGAGAAAGAAAAAGAAAAAGGGTGACGTAGATAGCTAGATATCGATAGCGATTGACGGATGAGAAGGGAGGGGAGATGTCAACGCGACTTTTTAATTCTGGAGAAATAGACTGTTGGAGCAAGCAAAGCAAAGTAACAAAAACGATGGAGCTCTAGTGTCCAGCATCTATGCAGGGGTATCATGATCATCAGTCGTCCGAATGGCAGGCTCGACGTCAAAAAGCAAACAAACAAGGAGGAATATGTGTATGGGCAATATTATAATCGAATCGGAACGAGGGTTTTACAGCATGGATGCTGATGAGGGGCTAGAAATACTGCCCAAGATCTCACTCTTAGAAGTGCTGACACCCAGCTCACCTGCGGTCACCGTTGGGGCTTCGATGTTTTCTGCTGCGGTAGCCTCTAAAGAAAAGCCATCGTGGCCACTATGGGTAAGGCAGCCAACGCAACAACAATCATTGCCGCACTGGCAACTTCCCGTCACATCGGAGCACCCAGATGGCAATCCCACCGGGTATTCAAGAGTGTAATACTCCGAGGGCTCCATCAGTGTTTGACCAGGAGTGTACTCGGCAGGTGGTGAAGAATAACCATTGCTAAGCTGGTTCGAGCTGATATCCACCTCCCCATAAGGCTGCATCCCCATGTGCGGTGTACCGTTGACCAGAGTATGATTGAACTCTGGAAGTGAATAATTCATTGGTGGCACGCTTGGGTAGTCGGCATGTACTGGTGGACTCTGGAAGCCGTTGAACCCTTCCAAAATCTGCTCACCATCGAGAGCAACCAACAAGCCCATCTCTTGAACATGCTGCCTCGTGGTATTGTTGAAAGGATGTGAAGCACAGCCAAGGCATTGACAGCCTTCACCGCAGCTACAGTCATGATCCGTTTTGTTGTCGAAGCTGCTCGGTGGCGGATGGTGGAGGCTTTGAGGCTCGTGCGGCATGGACGATGGCAGGACAGACGGGTTGAAATCAATGCTGCCAGAGGTTCCACCGTTGGAAAATGCAAAGGAGCCATTCCGGGGCATCTGAGGCAAATAATTCGGAGGATAGGCAGAGGTGCCACTTTGCGGCTGGTCAAATGAGAAGGGGGGCATGTAGTGATTTTGTCCAGTTGCTTGAAAGTCCTGCCACGGGGAAAAGGGTGCCGGTACTGGCGTATAAGGGTTCCCGTTCAGCGATGGAGTATAAGGAACATTCTGGTGCTCGCTCGGCTCCCCTGCGGAGTGGCCATTCTTCACGGGAGAATCGGACTTTTTGCAGCAAGAACTCTGTGGTTGGGGTGGTGTCGGCTGCTGCGATTTCCCTGAGCAACAGCTCCCGCCCTGTGGTTTGGCATTTTCCGGTTGAGTCGTTCTCTGTGGTATAAAAGTACCTAGTGCGTCGGCGCCCTGGGTCGACCTGTCCGGCGAATTACCTATAAATGGAGATAGGCCGTTAGGCGTTCCATTTCCTGTCTGCGGCTTCTTGAATTCCGGGATAGAATGCAGGGCTTTCGCAATAGCTTCAGGGGCTGTTTTGACCTGTCGTTTTGAGGACTTTTGAATCTTCCCAGGAGCAGGAGAAAGTGTAGGGGCAAGAGCAGCTGGAGTCATGGCCGGGGCTGGGTCACCCGGATCCACGGGCACTTGATATACTGGTCTACAAAGACAGGTAGTGCCTGCGAGACAGAGTCAGTTAGTAGGCGATTCCGAAGACGATGATTCAAGAAGCCACTGACCCTTTGGTATGCGGATCATAAACGCGTACGACTTTTGACAGCTGCAAGTGCCTTTCGGGTGAGGGCATTTAGCAAGAGGTCGCCCGGCTTTGGGGACCTTCATCATCAGCCTATCGAAATGCTGACATTTTGAAGAGCGATGGCCACGAATACACGGCTCGCTAAACCACACCAACGCAAACCCAGGTCAGTCCAGTGTGTCCACTGATAAGCGACTGCGAACGGTTTCTTACCATGACCATTTGGCGCCTTCTTCGTCCAAAGGCATATTGACGGAATGATCGATAGTGTGAGCAAACTCAAAGAGGAAAGCATCTGTCGCCTACTGGCCTGAGGATATCGACTGAGAAGTGCGCCGCGACGACACGCCTATCGACGCCAGAGAAAACTTGCGCAAAACCGAGCGCCTACTCCACCGCGACCAATGCGGTCTGACCTTGGCCTCCACCTCGAGACTCACTCTCAGAAATTAGTGCGACACGGCCCAAATCAACTGGTATTTCATCGAGAATCGATTTGTGTTGCGTTGCGACAAAGATTTAGGAGGGTTGAAGTCGAGCGACCCAGGAAATGACAGACCACGGCGGCGTCTATGATAACGAGACTGACGGACGGAACGAATCGGTTCACCTCGGGGCAAGCGAATGGTATGATGCGACGACACGGTAGGGGGGCTAATATAAGAGCAGGCGGCGGCGGCAGACTTCACCGGTTGGACGGTATTATTATTATTATTATTAAAGAGGCGCGACTGTATGGCTTTATCCCACCAGCCCCGCTAGAAAACGAGTGAACGTCAAGGAAGTGCGGGGGAGAAGAAGGGAATGTGAAGAAAGATTGGCCTGGAAATGGATTGCATAATCAAGGCTCAGGCACGTGTGGATACCTCGACACCTCGGTGCCTGTGTCGGTGCCTTCATGCCTGAGGCTTGGCGCCGGTCGAATCGGCGGAATTCGAACGTCCAGATTTCGGCCTTCGCATCATCACGACAATCCGCGCATCGTTGGGCTTTGGCGCGTGTCTCGCTCCTTGGCATCCTCTTCGCTCTCCTCCTCTCCCCAGCTCTTCTTCTCCGATGGCCAACGAAGGCCGTGATCCCGCCGGCCAGGAGTCGCGTCATCCTGTCTCGCGCACCCGGGACTATCTCGCCATCCCTGCTCCGATCAAACGCATCTTCGACCGATTTCCTCTCGTCACACTCCCTCCCAATGACCTTCCTCACAGCTCGGGGGCGTCCCGCCGCGGGAATGGACTCTTTGTTTTCACAGACGCTACGGGAGCCCGTCGCGGTCGACCGTCGTTCAACCCGCAATGTCTCAAGTGGCAGGTATGTCACTGAACCCGGCTTCATCAACATCAGTCGAGCGCGTTTTTCTCACTTCGCTTTGCTTCGTTTCCCTTAGGCCTACTTGAAATTTGTCGGAATCGACTTCGACATCATTCCATCGAACAACCACGCGTCACCCACCGGTGCCCTTCCTTTCCTCCTCCCCGCGCATCCGCCCCAGGCCAATGGCCCGATACCTTCCAACAAACTACAGAAATGGGCCATCGAGCAAGTACATTGTGAAGAGGAGCAACAGCTCGATGTGCGCTTCGAGGTCTATGCGTCGCTGCTAGACCGCCGGATACGGAATGCTTGGGTGCGTGGCTCTTACCGGGAATCTTGACGCAGAAACAGTTTGCTGACTTTGGAACAGCTATACTCCCTCTACCTGGACCAAGGAAACTTCGAGGCCGTGGCCAAGAGACTCTACGTGGCGCCCGCAACGACAAATTCACTCGTTCGCGCCACTCTTTCAATACAGCTCCAACAGGCGGCTCGGGATGAGATCCTCAAGTCGTCGCAGTATATCGATGTCAGTGCGCTGGAGGCCGAGGCGGCCGATGCATTCGAGGCACTCTCGACGCTTCTAGGAGACCAGCTTCACTTTTTTGGTCGCTCGAATCCAGGGTTATTCGATGCCAGCGTGTTCGCATACACGCATCTAATTCTAGATGAGGGAATGGGATGGAAGCGCAATCGACTGGGCCAGCTATTGCAGCAGCATGAGAACCTTGTACAACACCGGGAACGCCTACTCAAATTCTTTTAAATGCGACCCTTCAAACCGGGCCTTATCTTTTACTGTGCGCGTTTAAACCACCCAACTCTTTAATCCTGTATAATACAAGAACCCACAAATCCAGGGTCTTGAATCCTGCAAGAAAAGAAAACAAAAACAAAGCATATACACCTCATATCATACCGCATTCTTCCTAAAACAAACCCCAAACCACACCGTTATGCCAACCCACTTCTTCGCTCTCTTCCCCAGCTTCTCTGCCAGATCCTCGTCTACCGTCCTCTCGCGCACCCTCTCCCCTTCCATCTGCTGGACCGTGAACTCAGCCTTATGCGCCGCATCCACCACCTCATCCACCGTATGAGAGTAACTCGTGGGCCGGATCTTCGTGCCCGTCGCCGTATCCACAAACCCAGCCTGGCTGATAGCTCCCATATCCGAATGCATATTCGTAACCAACAGATATCCACCCGGCGCCAGCAGCGCCGCAGCGCCATCAAAGAACTGCTGCACGGGGATATGCTCCAGCACCAGCGTGGAGATCACACCGGCGGCTCCGAGAGCACATTCCGGCGGTGCGGGCGGCGATCGCAACAGATCATATGTATCCAACGAGACAGGTAAGGAGACGCCCCCGCGAGGCGTCCAACATCCCGGTCGATGCGTCCACCCCGACTATTTCAGTGCCCGATGGAGCCAGTTGTGCTAGCCGGAGGTATTTCGACCTGTGCCGCAGCCTAGATCGACAAGCTTTGTCGAGCCAGATGAGAAGACTGTTCGGTTTAGAAAGTGCGGGAGTAATTGGGTCATTTCGATGGTGTCGAGGGCTTGTAGGAAGTTTCCGTCGGTGTCGTATACCTGTGTTTTTGTGTTAGTTATATCAATATACTATTATTGTAATATTACTTCCTTTGATAGGACAATATGTATGTATAATATCTATATAAAAGAGAAATGAGGGAAAGAAACTATGATATACAGACCTCCGCTCACCGATTATACGCCTCGACAAGTCTCCACATACTCAACCGGAGTAGAGCCCGGTTGAGCATGGCCGGTCAATGCACTCTGGATTGTATTTGCCATAGTATCTGCAGCTGTCAAGAGCTTTCTCGAGAAATTTTGATCAAGAGTACAAATACTTTCAGGTAAACATATATAAGAATAAGGAAGCCCTATAAATCTGCAGTCCAGCCATGTTCCATCCGAGAATACCCATCTGATGAGTCACATTTTGATCCCAAATGAATACGAACAGGAATTTTCCGAGGTTGCATGGCCTTGGTGCGTTCTGCAGGTACTGGATCACGTTGGGATCCTGCATGGGACATGTAGTATGTACAATGTATATGCAGGTCAACTGCCCCTGGTTCCATCGCGGTGCAGTGATCATATTCAAATAAACCTACATATTCAAAACTATATGAGACGGCGCGAAACGAAGGGGGTGGAAGAACGCTATGGTATTGGAACTTGGAAAACACAGATAATCAAACTAGTAATCGAGAGGCTGTTTGATGAAGTTGAAGGTTGATTCCATTTTATATCATCGATCCAGGTAAGAGGGTCATTTCTCTTGTACTAGTCACAGTGAGACATGAGACATGACATCAAAAAGGCTCATAAGCCATAGGTTTTAAGGAGAGACATGATAATGAGCATCGGAAAAGAAGGGAGTCGGTGGCAAAGACCGTACCAGACGGGATAAATGAGAAGGAAAACAGAAAATGCAAGAAAGGAAAAAAACAATGACACAAGGGAATCGGGTGTAACATAACCAAAGGCAAAGACATTGACACCCCGGCCAGCAATCCCGTAAACTCACGCTCCATCGCTGAATATACAAAGAAACATTAAAGGAGATAAGGAGGCGAACGCGAAAGGAAGAAAAATGTGACGAAGATCAGATGGCGTATCCTAGGCCTGCTAGCAAACCGTTGCCCCGAACGGTGCTGTTTCCTTGAGATCTTCTACCAGGTCCGCCACGTTGTTCAGATACCTTCCTAGCAAGGATTGCTTTTCGTCGGTTGTGCGCGTGTCTCGGGGCGCTTTCGCATGCGACTGAGCGGGAGCATGTACGCTTCTTGACACCGGCGCTGCTAGCTTGCTTGGGCTGCGCTGATGGCCGCCCATTGCGGTGTTGGGCGCACTGACCGCTGCGCCGTTCGGGATGAGCGGCGTTTCCGGCATCAAATAGAAGTACAAGAACTCGACCAGTTTAAGCTTCACTTCGCGGGAGGTTGCGCGTTGTTTGAAAAGCGACGTCACCGTGAGGAGTCCATCAAGTTCCTCAAATGTGCGCGTATTGGCGGGATGATCGAGAAGCGCAGTGACCAGGGTCAGGAGAGTCGCGGATTGGATTGCGGGGCAGTTGATCGGGTCGAGAAGGTCCAGTAGTAGGTTCATGTAAATTTCGCGCGCGAAAAGCGTCCGCGACGGCGGGTGGAGAAGAAGCGCGCCTTGGATCAGGTCGAGGGTGGAGATGATGAGAAGGTCGTTGGTGCCATTACTTCCTCGGCCAAGGAGATGCTCCAAACACGTTACCAGACGCATCGCGACTGTTTCGAGCTCGTTAGTATCGGAGTCATTGGGTAACCTGACCGTGAGCTTCACGCCGGGTCGGACTAGCACCTACCGTTCCATTGAAATCCTTCCTGCAGTTTGAAGAATTCCCTGAATGCGGGATCATCTTTGAGCTCCGAAAGGGCCTTGGGAACCGGTTGTGGAGCTCCAAAGGACAGAAGCGACCTCCGTTTGTCAGACGCCGGCTGTTTCGACTTGGATAAACATATTTGTGCGAGAAGGCCTTCGACCTGGCGTAACCCTTTGCGAACTTTGCTTGGCTCGTACGAGGAGAGATAATCAAACGAATGGGCCAGCAAGGTCTCCATTGGGCGGGAAAGATGATGTGTAAATTAAGAGAATAGGAAATAAGAACGGCTTTGTGATGGGTAAAATATGTGGATGCAAGAGGGCAGAAGGGGGAAAAAAAGAAAAAATGGGAAGAATGGGAGACAGCAAAATGAAGCTCGGCCCCTGCGCCAAGAGGGATATGACGGTGTTTATTATCTAGAACAGGGCCAGAAGGAGAAAATAGAACACGATCCGGCCAGCCAGGGACCCCAGAACCCTAATTTAAATGGAATTATTGACGATAGAAGATAGCTGGTTCGCAAAAAAATAACCCTTTTACCCAAGTTGTGGCTCATCTTCAGCTGATCGTGCCGACAGACGAGCTAGTCAGCGTTTAGTGCTTCTGCCCCCCACATCTGGCAGGAAAACTTGCGATGGTTGCCCCGGGAAACGCGCGGTCGTCATTAACCTCGGGGCGCTTCGAGGAAACCGGATGGTTAAGATAAGGTGTTGGCCGCTGTCATGATGTCAGGTTCAGCAGCGCCACATTTCCAAAGCCCCCAAAAACAAAGCCCGTTCTCTTGGTCTAGTTTCCGTGCATTGTCCGTTGGTGACAATTCAGCATTATCGACAATTCGTCACACGACGGTCAACCGAAACGAAGCCCGAATTTGCGAATCCCTCGCTGCGGTTGGTCTCAAATGGATGGGATGGCTCCTTGCATGGTCGGTTACAAGGTCACATCGCAGATCACTAGCCCGTGATACGATGGAAGCTCGTGCAGCCTACCCCGGTCGAACTCGTCGGAGTCCGGAGTAATCGAGTTATGAGTGTGATGGAGAAAGAGGGAAGAAGGAGGGGGAGAGAGTTGAGTCGAAGGACAAAAACGGCGACCGCCTTCCGTGTTGGGGCACGTGATCTGCATGTGATTCATCAAGCGCCAGGTTCTCCCCCGCAGCGGCGTTTGCGGCGATGCTGCCTGCTACTCTATATATAACATGCGCTGGCCCCCGGGCATTCAGGTCGACAATATGACTTGATCGGTCGCTTCAGGTTGTCGCGGGGACCTTCACTTTTGAGGATTATCTTTTCCCCTTTGTCTTCATTCACCGACAGGGCAGGAACGACCGGCAAAATCCCATCATGTCTTCGGAATCTTCTTCCTACCCACCCCCCACATCTATTCCTCCTCGCACAAGCTCAGCTGGTATGGTCGACCACATTTATGCATCCCCCTATTTATCGAGCATCTTTAACGGTTTAACGACAATCCCGGAAACAGGGCGCCTATCCATGAACGGGGACTCTCTTCAGACGAACATGGACACGTCGCGCCGACATACCCGCAACGTGTCCAGCTTCGATGGGACGAAACATCGAGACGGTCAATGGTCTCCGGAGAACGAACGGATCTTGATGGGGCCCTATGACTACATGCTACAACATCCAGGCAAGGACATTCGACGGCAGCTCATAAACGCCTTTAATGTGTGGCTGAAGGTTCCCCCGGAGAGTCTCGTGATCATCAACAAAGTGGTGGCCATGCTTCACACGGCTTCGTTACTGTACGATGAACCCCCTCTGATTCCATATGGCAACGCCGAAGCCGATACTAATCAAGCGCCTCCACCGCATAGAATCGACGATGTCGAAGACAACTCCGTACTCCGGCGTGGAATCCCCGTGGCTCACAACATCTTCGGCACAGCGCAGACCATCAACTCGGCGAACTACGTGTACTTTCTGGCTCTCCAAGAGGTTCAAAAACTGAACAATCCGACAGCGATCAACATCTACGTTCAGGAACTGCTCAATCTACACCGTGGTCAAGGGATGGATCTCTTTTGGCGAGACACGCTCACTTGCCCCAGCGAGGAGGAATACCTAGAGATGGTCGGGAACAAAACCGGGGGTCTATTTCGGCTAGCGGTGAAACTTATGCAGGCTGAAAGTAGCACCGGGAAAGACTGTGTTAGCCTGGTCAACGTGCTGGGATTGATCTTCCAGATCTGTGATGACTACTTGAACCTGTCCAACACAACATACACCAAACATAAAGGTCTCTGTGAGGATCTTACAGAAGGGAAGTTTTCATTCCCCATCATACACAGCATTCGTTCGAACCCCAAAAACCACCAACTTATCAACATTCTCAAGCAGCGTACAAAGGACGAGGAGGTCAAGTTGTATGCGATGAGCTATATGGAGAGCACCGGCAGCTTCACACATACACAAGAGGTCGTTCGGGATTTGCTCCAGAAGGCGTTAAAGTTGATAGACGATATCGAGGCCAGTGGGGCTGGCAAGAATCCCGAGGATCGCGATGATGGCGCCATGGTACGATCGATCCTAGACAAGATCACTGAGGCGACGTTGAACGCCGAAGGGCCCGACAAATAAACTGGGTCATTTTTTGCATTTGCTGTACTAAACATGTGTCCTACCCAGCGGGACCATCATCTATCATTTAGCAGCCTGTTATTATCTTTCTACCCTTAGTATTCTCTGGATTGGTTCTAATAATAATGACCGTGACGAATCTTCTATTACTAATAGACCTTCGTGTTGATCTCTGACCGTAACCCGTGAGAATTCCCATCCGATGGGCGCAAAACTTTAGTATATAAGAAGTAGTGTAAGTTCTTTTGTTGAATCGCAGAAAAAGAAGAAACCAAGCGCCCTGGGTATAATGATCCAAAACTATGCATGAATAATCCATTCATACTCCAGGCAAGTGAAAGGATTGTATAGACGATATACCATCTATCAAATCCCACGTCATCCAAAACATTATAGGCAATATATGTCGATTGTACCATGAACCTCCTACATGACAATACAGCAAGCTTTCTCCAGCTTGCGCATGACCTTCGGAAGAACAGCGTTGACCACTTGTTCCACGGGGTCCTGCTGTTGCTGTTGCTGCTGCTGCTGGTGTTGTTGTTGCTGCCCGTGATGCGGCTGTTGATGATGCGGCTGCTGTCCGGGGTACTGGTGTTGCGATGGATAACCACCGTAGGAGGGCATCTCGGCCGCTCCACCGGTCAGGTTGACGTAGATCCGTCCGGCGTTCTCCTCGGTGGCATACTGGAGGCCGAGTTCTTGACAGACTTGTTCGACGCGGGGCTTGAGCTTCTGCACATGGTTTGCGGAGTGATTGCCTTTTCCGACGATTCTGTTTTCGAGCCGCAGATAGGGCCTTCGTTAGTCGCTGTACGAACCCCGCGAAATGCATCACCGCAGGGAAATGGAGCATCGCATCGCAACTCACACATGAAGATGATTCTGGCCATGCTGCCGCGCGTATTTAATGCGCTCTTCCAGGATTTCCTCGGCCTCCTCCACGAATTGTCCGTGCAGATCGATGGTATCCGGCTCGACGCGCCCGTTGGCGTTGTTCTCGCGGAAAATAAACTCGGAGGCCTGCCGGTTGTACTCTTCCATCTTGCGACCGTGGGCTTTGCCCTGCTCCGACAGTTCCTTGGCCGCTGCGCCGTCGCCATTGCTGTAGGCTTCTTGGGACTATTCATGATTCTCGGACATCGCGTTAGCTCCTTATCGCATGAATTTGGGTCTCGTTTTAGGCTCCTGCGGTCAAGCCGATCGGAGACGGAAAGAGAGGTTGGGCCGATTGTCTAGGGAGAAGGGAGAAGAGCGCACCCGTTGGAAACACGAGCCGCGCTTCGAGGCTTCTTGTCTGGCTAGGTCGCGAAGACGATCATATTCGGCTTCGGCGTCGCTGCTCTGTTCATGGTTGAAGGCTGTTGTGGTGGGCGCGAACGGAGTCGGGCATGAGTTAGCGATGCGAGGGAGGATGGTGGAATGGAAAGGTATCAGCTCGCACCCCGAGGGCCCATGTGTGACATTTCGTGCATTTTCGGCGATTATATCAGAGGGGATTAGATATAGTGATAATTGGCGATCTTATAGAGTAGAGATAAAAAAAATTATATGAGAATAAGTATGAGAAGTATAGGGACCAGACAAGATCTGGTTAGATTGATCGCGCCAGGTAAAGATATGGAGAGGGAAGAAGAGAAAGATCGGATCGGGATCGAGGGCGGCAAACCCTAGATTCCAATCCACGATTTCTACGCTGTGGAGCATCCAAGGTTCGACACCTTGCTTCTCGCGACAGTGCCATGGATAAGTCGCATTATACAGGAATATTATCTATTCCATTCCAGATCAAAAGTGTTGATGTCGAGTTGTCGCGCGCGGACCCATCTGGTAGTACACTGTATATATCACCGAATGACCGCGAGATGGGTAAGTCCAGGCTGCAGGGTGTTTCATTCCATACTCCGTAGTCCGTACTTGTATGTATGTAGAAGTTGTTTGCAGGAGAATTCAATAGTCAGTCCCAAGAAACTGGATGAGAAATAGGATGCTATCATCCTGTCAGGTCATGGTGGTTTGCAACTTGCAAATCCCAGCATGCTGGACAAGGAGTTTCGCTAGGAGTAGTAAGCCCATGAGGCTAGGGAACCCTTGTGCCTCTCGTGGCTAATTGATTGCAATACCAACTAATAATAAGAGACTACTCCGTAGAGACTAGAGAGTCTGGTCGCCAAATACCGAGAGAAAAAAGCAATAGCGCCAAAGCGTGCTCAATAGTCGTGGTGGGACCCAGTTTTATGACGATTCTGATTAGCGATGACTTGCAGACTGTGTGATTGTCCGACTGTGACCCAGTCGATAAAGATTTATTGATTATGCAATATTCATGGCCGTCTGCCACGAGGCCCGAAAGGAGAAGCACTAGACGGTGGGGATCAGCCGTAAGGTCCTTTAGTTCGATCACGGAACCATGGATAATGATATGGTCGGGTTCAACACATCCATGGATAAGGGCGACAAAGATGGAACAAGAACCAGAGATCATGCATCAGTCTGAGGCAGGGGAGAAACCGGCAGTTTTTTGGGATGTTTCTGAGTGAGTCGAATGTTGAAACGCGTGAAACTCTCCTGGGAGAGGCTGGGACAACAGATGATGTGGACTGGGGATCACCATCCTCACCACACCATCCAGTACATATCTCCGAGCCTAGTGTGGTTTCTTTTGGATTTTTGTGATTCCGGTTTCTGGTGCGGAGAGAGAGAGACAAAGAAGATCGACGGCAGTTAACGAGTGGAGATCTTACGATACTTTTAAGTCTTACGGTCTCACCGGCTTACGGAGTTTAGTACAGTAGTTATGAGATGAGAGATGAGAGCACATTCAAGCCTTTTTTACTTGCCACAGGGAAAAATTTCCGAAGTTTAAACAAGGCAAGACCGGCCGTGTACGGGCACACGTGGAAGAAAGCAACGCATGGAAAGCATCCAATCCTTCTGGAAGCCCAAAAGGGATGTCTTGAATCATGTCTACTGAGTACAGTACTTTGACGGAGTAGAGTCCAGGTGCCTGGCGATCCGAGACTGCAGCGTCGGATCTCCACTAGTGTGGCGGCACTTGAAACTGGACTGCAGAGGTTGAATAAGGATTGAGAATTCTCCTGCGTCATGACGGCCAGAGCACCGGAACAACTCCTTGATTGGGGAGGTGAGCGTCTTCCTGCATACAATGGGCGATAGAGAGCGCGGTGATTTCATAATTTCTTATTCATGTCATTAACGTAATCAACCACCGAGCGGCGGATACCATCGAGCGGCGGATTTTCACTCCAACCACCTCAAGCATCATTTAACGCGTCATTTCTTCGCATCAGTCATATAAAATGCCACTTTCTCAAGAAGCTCGCCTTCAGATGGCTATACAGGCCTATAAAGGTCGAAAAATCAAATCAATTTTAAAGGCTGCTGAAGTCTACGCGGTACCTGAAAAGACCTTACACGCGCGTGTTAAAGGAAGGAAATCACGCACAGAAACACGCGCAAATGGTCATAAACTGACCGAATTTGAAGAGGAATTGCTTTTAAAGCAATTATTAGACGCAAATATGCGAGGATTTCCAATTCGACCTGAATTCCTACGTGGAATGGCTCAAACATTGCTTTGCAATCAATTACGAGATTCAACGGCAGCTCTCGGAATCAACTGGCCTTATAAGTTCGTTAAACGCCATTCTAAACTGCATACGCGATATATAAGACGGATTACCTATCAACGCGCAAAGCAGGAAGATCCAAAGGTTATAAAACCATGGTTTGAGACTGTATAAGCGACTATTCAGGAACACGGCATACACAAAAACAATATCTAGAATTTCGATGAAACTGGCTTTGCAATGAGACTTTGTTCTACTTCAAAAGTGATTACTGCAGTTGAACGAAATGAACGACCGCGTAGAGTCATTCAGGGCAATCGCAAATGAGTTATAGTCATTGAGACAATTGGGTCAAAAGGCGTATATCTATCGCCAGTCATTATATTAAAAGCAAGCGTCCAACAGGCTGCCTGGTTCCAAGAACCTAAGCTTCCTCGCAACTGGTGGATTTCTACTAGTTAGAATGGCTGGACGACTGATGAAATAGGCCTTCTCTAGTTGAAAAATGTCTTTGAACCGCTTTCTAAGCGTTATATGACTGGTGTTAAGCGATTGCTTATTTTTGACGGTTATAGTAGCCATTTTACTGCTGAATTCGATGATTTCTGCAAACAGCATGCAATAATCTGTTTCTGCATGCCTGCTCATGCTTTGCATCTTCTTCAACCGCTTGATGTGGGTGTCTTTAGCCCGCTTAAAAAGACGTACGGAAAGCTTCTTGAATATCGTATGAAAGTCGGCAATAATCATATCGATAAAGAAGACTTTTTATTGCTATATCCGGATGCACACAAGGAAGTCTTTACTTCATCTAATATTTACAGCGGTTTTAAAGGAACAGGACTTAAGCTGTTTAATCCAGAACATGTTCTCTCTACGCTTACCTTTCAACTACGTACGCCTACGCCATCATTAATTGAAGGCTCAATTTCCTCTGCTTTTCAAATCCCGCAAAATACTCGCCAGCTAGATCGAAAGGTTAGAAGCCTGCAAAACAGCTTTAATAAAAAACGGCAGCTTTCTAGCAGTCCTATTGCTCATATTCAACATTTTGAGAAAGCGGCGCAAATGGCAATGCAAACCCAGCTACTCTTAAAGCAAGAAATCAGGGCTATACGCGCTGAAAATGAGCGACAACGTCAAAGAAAGGCAAGAAAGCGTGCTGAACTAGGAAATAACCGTCTTCTTAATGTGCAAGAAGGCGAAAATCGGGTTCAACAGCTTAATATGCAGTTTAATGAGCAATCTGAAGAATCTACTCTGATGCCTCGCCGACAAGCTCCGCAACGCTGCAATGGCTGTGAAACAGTAGGACATACAATTCGAAATTGCCCTAGTAAATAGCTATCATTTCATATATTTATCTAGTTAATTTAAATGGCGTTGGTGGTGATAAAGCTTCGAATAGTAATGATTGCGGTGAAAATCCGCCGCTCGATGGTATCCGCCGCTCGGTGGTTGATTACGTTATCGACCTACCCGGTCCATCTTAGTCTCTCGTCAACAGCAGATCTGCAAGGTCGGGAAATTAACCCAGAGTTACCAATGAGCATTATTCATCAGGAGATACCTGCAATTGCAGGCCATTAAATCCCTGTCCCGTCATCAGGCGCTAAATACTTTCTCCCGGTTCGTCTCGAGGGTACAGAGTACCGAGCACATACAGTACGTTGATGTGTTCAGTGTCAGGGTTCAGTGCGCATGGTGTATACTGTATACTGGATATAGTCATTGTAGTTAATTTGCACTCCCTCGTGGCCGGATAGAAGAATTGCATTCATTTCCCTCGCGTGCAGCGTGAGGAACAGGATGCTTTAATAAAAATTAGAATCGTCAAAAAAAAGGGGAGGAGTGTCGGAATAATGTCATTGGTCCGGCAGGCGGGGTACCCCCACCGGCACCCCCTTACCCTGTTGACCAATGGCGCTGCGAAAGGGAGCCATGGGGCCCCACCGGCGCGCCAACCCCCCCACCGCCCCCTTTTGACGATCCAGTAGGATGAAGGTTATCGTTCCAGAAAAAAAGGAACCCCGACAAAGTTTCCCCCCTCCCTCTTTCTCTTTCTTTCTCCCCCCTGCTCTTTTTCCTCTTTTCCTCTTTTTCCCATTTTTTCTGCTTTCTCTTTGGCTGCCACTCTCTCCTCCCCCCCCCTCCGGCCTCTCGGTTTCGTCGCTCCCTTCAACACTGAACATCTTCTCCGTCTCTCAATTCCATCCACGCCCCTCTTTCCCAAATCCTTCGCCCCTTACTGAGCTTATCCTTGTCGCCTCAGCCTCTCGCTTTTGCTCCGGCTTTTCTTTCGTTCGGTCTGGCTTTGACTCTCTTTCTCACCTCATTTTCTCACTCTTTCCTTTTTCCCTCCTTTTCCACCACCTCCACCCACTTCCCCCCCCCCCCCCCTCTAAGACTCTTGTTCTTCAGGCATTCCATCCGTCGATTCGGTGGTCAGACATCCTGATTAGAGTCGTGGATATTCACCTGCCTTTATTCCTTTCATTTTTCTTTTCCATTAGTGTATTTTTTTTCTTCTTCTCCCCATCTCTCTCTTTCTCTCTCTCCTCCCTTTCCTTTTCCTCGCTCCCGATTTTCTGGGGTGGTCACGATTGGTGTATTACTGTTTCACCTTCCGCCTCCTTTCCGCCCAGCCCAGCTCGCGCGCTTATAATTGATTTTTTCTCCTTGCCTCCCTCCCGGCTTTGCACGGTCGCTTGGCTCTCGAAGTATTATCTTTTGCCGTTGCGTTTGGATTCCTTATTTCTTCTTTCACGTTGAAGTTGGCAATCCATCTTCTCGCGGGAAAGAAGAGTTTGTGTCCGGTAAGCCTCTCTTTATTGCACTCCGTCTCGCCTATGCCTCCCCTGCTTCCCCCCGAATAATTCCCTCAATTCCGCCCAGCCTTGTTGGGTGAAATGGCTGCGCTCCCTTGCGTCTGCACGATCACTCCGCTCGAAGACAAGGCTGTAATGATTTGCATTTTGATTTTTCCTTTTCTTATTCCTTTGTGGCCGGTCTCTACCATCTGTGGCTCGCACCCGTGTTGTACCACGTTCAGCGCTGCCGACGGCATGGTTTAACGATTACCGGACCCGGAGAATTCCCTTTCGCTGACATCGCTCTTTTTGGCCCTCGACAGGTTTCCATCGACCACTGTGACACTCTCATCATCAACAACTACCTTTTCGTCGATTCCTTCACGTCGCTTTTCGACCACTTTCATTTACTACCGCCAACATGGGTTGTGGAATGAGTACTGAAGATAAGGAGGGCAAGGCCCGCAACGAGGAGATTGAGAACCAGCTCAAGCGGGACAAGATGTTGCAGCGGAACGAGATTAAGATGCTTTTGCTCGGTACGCAGCTTCCCCTCAAGTCGCATTACAGACAGTATCTCCAAGGAGGAAGAGAACAACGGCGGTGGTTGATGAGCTCCCTTGGTTAACTGAATTTCAACAGGAGCGGGAGAGTCCGGAAAATCGACTATTCTGAAGCAGATGAAGCTGATCCACGAGGGCGGATACTCGCGCGATGAACGGGAATCCTTCAAGGAAATCATCTACAGTAACACCGTGCAGTCGATGCGCGTTATCTTGGAGGCCATGGAATCGCTCGAGCTTCCGTTGGAAGACGCCCGCCACGAATACCACGTGCAGACCGTTTTTATGCAACCCGCCCAGATCGAAGGTGACAGCCTGCCCCCGGAGGTTGGCGGTGCCATTGGCGCTCTCTGGCGCGACACCGGTGTTCAGGAGTGCTTCAAGCGTTCCCGCGAGTACCAGCTCAACGACTCGGCCAAATAGTGAGTGCGCCCGTGAATGGATTACAAACATTAGTTGCGTTCGCTAACCGACTCTTGCCAGCTACTTTGATGCCATCGACCGGATCGCTCAGCCCGATTACCTCCCTACGGACCAGGATGTTCTCCGCTCTCGTGTCAAGACGACCGGTATCACCGAGACTACTTTCATCATTGGCGACCTGACGTACCGCATGTTCGATGTCGGTGGTCAACGGTCCGAACGTAAGAAGTGGATCCACTGCTTCGAGAACGTGACTACCATCCTGTTCTTGGTCGCCATCTCCGAGTACGACCAGTTGCTGTTCGAGGATGAGACCGTCAACCGTATGCAGGAAGCGCTTACCCTGTTCGATTCGATCTGCAACTCGCGTTGGTTCGTCAAGACCTCGATCATTCTCTTCCTCAACAAGATCGATCGTTTCAAGGAGAAGCTGCCCGTCAGCCCTATGAAGAACTACTTCCCCGATTACGAGGGTGGTGCCGACTATGCCGCCGCTTGCGACTACATCCTTAACCGCTTCGTGTCTCTCAACCAGGCGGAACAGAAGCAGATTTACACCCACTTCACATGTGCCACCGACACCACACAAATTAGATTCGTCATGGCCGCTGTAAATGGTAAGTTTTGGGCACCCGAGCTCCAGTAATCGCGCGTGCGTGGGAATCAAAAGCTAACCCAACATTCTAGATATCATCATCCAAGAGAACCTCCGACTGTGTGGTCTGATCTAATGATCGGTATGCTTTGATCGAGTGCCGGTGTCTCGACATTTCATCTCGACGCTACATGGTTTTGTAATTTTTTTTTCCCTCTTAAACTTGGAGATGTGTTCCGCAAACCTTGTCTCTTTTCCTCTTTTCTTCTTTTCTTCCTCATTTCTCAAAGATCCTGGCGTTCAGACATTCATTTGTCTATTTTACTAATTATTCCCTTTTATTATTTCCTTTGTCTTGAAATGATATCTAGCCGGCTCTTTGTTCTCAGCATTACCTACCGATATCCATCACATGACACAGAGCAGGAGTTTTTTTCCTCTTTCTATTCGTTCCTCTTTTCATCCGGTCTGGTTTTCTGAACAGTCGGTTATCTGTGGACTTAGCAGGTTTTTCGCAGCCTGTGGTTTATGCCCTTTTCTATATCTTGATTCCTTGAAATGCCCGTGTTTTCTTTTTGGTTTTCTTCCCCTGTATTTTGAGTACCCATCCCTCTTTCTGGTTTTTCCTTTTTTCCTTGTCATCATGTGTTTGTTCTTTGATTTTTGAAGCTGGATATCCCATCATCTCTTGGTGCCCTCTCCATCAAACTTGTGTGTAATCTTATCTCACGCATCTTTTCTTGGTCTGACGTTCACTGAGAGACATGAACGACGACGGGACCACGGGCACGGGGGAATGACAGGGTACGTGGATTATCATGTCTTCTTCATGTGTCATGCCGGGTCGTCTGCAGAGTTTTCTTTTTCTCTTATTTAAAGGATTGTGAGATATTTGCATCTGCTCTGGTTATAATCACTCCCCTTCTATATACCTATGCTGTACGGAGTAGATGGAACAGAACAGTATAAAATAAGCCCTAGGATCATTCAGATGATATAGATAAGAATCTTTAGGGTATCTCCAAACAACATGGCCTCTCTGGATAATGAATGGAACGCCCGAACTCCCGCCAAAGCCGACAAAAGTTGAATGCGAGAGAAAGAGAGGGAGAAGACCAATTGTTCTAGAATCGTAACTTCGGGCCCAGAAACACGATCAACACCGCCACAACCCATAACCCCAGGATCCACGCATACAGCATCATGCGTCCCCACCAGCCCTTCCCTTCCGTCATGCGCCGCAGCATCCCCATCCGCCGCTCTGCAGCCTGCATGTTCCCCGTCGTGCGATCCAGTCCGTCCACGGCCCGCGCGAGGACCGACTTTTCGGAGTCTAGCGAGGTTTGGAACGCCTGCGACGAGGACTTTAGTTGGCTGGCTAGCGAGAGGAGCGAGGTCGTCAGATCTTCCTGCTCTGCTCGGTGCGTTGAGAGTGTTTGTTCCGTCTCTTCGCCCTTAGATGTGGCCACCGGTGATGATGAGGGGTGATCGAATCCCGTGGCTTTCGCATTCGACTCGGTGGATGATGGGGCGGTCATGTGTCGGTTTCGTAACGTGGCTGTTGGGGTTGAGATTGAGGTTGGGGATGTCGTTGTCGCTGTTGTTGTCGGCGTAGCGGTCGCCGTAGCCGTAGCTGGAACCTTGGTCTCTCCATCACCTATCTCTACCCCCGACTCTTCCTGCCCCTGTTCCCGCTCATCTTCCTCCTCCCTCCCCATTTCATTCTCCGTACCACTCTCCTCCGGCGTCCCCAACAGATCCTCCCCATCTACAGACTCCTCATCCTCAAGATCCTCATCCCCAACTTGTCCAGCCGAAGACGCTCGAACCTCCGCCTCGGCGCTGATTTCCTCGAGGAAAGCCTGTAGTCGTTTCAACGTCTCCCGGTGTCGCTGCACTTCCGCTTGGAGAGTATGTCGGCGCTCGAGCGGTTTCGTGGCGGGGATGTTGCGTTCAAGGGTGTGGAGGTTCGAGCGGGCGTATTCGATGTTCTGGATGATGAAGTAGGTGTGTTAGTTATTTGTTCTATGGTGGAGAAGTGCATTTTCATCCCTGGTGAAGCTCTCATGCAATCGCCCCGCCCTCCAAGCAACCCAAAAGAACAGATAGATAGAAGAGGACCACAGAGAGAGAAGGAGAGTAAAACAAAAGGACATACCGCTCCAACCCTCATCCTCTGAAACTCCGACTTCCGGAGCCCGACGAGGTCCGCCCCCGGCGAGAGAAGATTATGTTCCAAGCGGGTGAGAAGCCTCGAGACGCTGAGGACAGCGAGGTCGGCGTCGTTGGTGCTCGGCGCGGAGGCCGGGAGCGTGGTTATCGTCATGGTGTTCTTCCTTTCTTTTCCTTCGGTTCTTTTTTGCTGGTCGGGTTGTGAATACTGCTTGGGTGGTATTCTTCTGTTCTATTGTTTATGAGTAGGTTCGAGGAAATAGAATGAGGGGAAGAGGGAGAAACGACAGGTGGGCGGAGGAACGAGTCGGGCATGAATGGATGAATAGTAGTTAGCTGTGACTTGCTGGTTTGTCTGGTTTGTCTCGACTGGCGATGCATGTGCCTGGTGGATGACTAAGCTTATAGTTGAAGTTGTCTGGTTTCACTTTCAGGCTGTTTGACACTCATCGCTTAGGAATACTACTTATTTACTGTTTGTAAAGGGAGTTTTATCAGATATCCTGGAATGTCAACCCGTCGTGATCTCAATACGAAGGGTGCTAGTCTGCTGGTCCAGCATTGAGGGGATTTGACTGCCCAATCCAAACCGAGAGTCCAGAGCAAGCCGGCATTCCCGAGCCATAGTTCCAGTATTTATAATAGTTTACTAGACCGGGTTTTTGCTTCTGTTGCAGGGATCGAGGAATGGAAGGTGGAGTGGCTACTATAAGCGAAGATGTTCACCCGATCTATATCAGTGAGATCGCCCGCATGATCAATACAGTCCCTGCACGCTTGACTAACAAAAGGCGATAATTCGCCACTATAAATAAACAGCCTCGAATATTCAGATGATCAAGATTTCTAAACTAATACGATCGAATGTATCGACTCTTCTCACCTCGCCCAACAGTGGAGTCGGCCTTCGCCGGGCGAAGGATGAGGCTTATGCTTGTCTTGTATCGATCGACTCGCCAAGTCTTAGTACAGATCTCGCCACCAGAAAACCCTTATTCGCTAGTTGCATCGTGATTTCATTAGCGACCAATATCGTAAATCATCAAGCCGTGTCAGAAAATGAGAGTATGTATGGCTTGTCTCGGGAAAAGAAAAACGAAAAGAGTAAACACTCCGCCACCCATTTTAGGCATCGTCATTCATAGGAAGTCTGCGCCTTGAAGAAGCCCGAAAGTATGTCCAGTATAGACGGAATAACAACAACTTCAAGCATAGAATATATATAGGAAAACAGGAATAAACAATCATGAAAGGAAAACAGATTATAGACCAACAAAAACGCAAAAAAGACTGAAAAGTGGGAAAGAAAAGGAAAGGAAAGGAAAGGGGAAACCCGCTTCTAGCGATAATCGACCACGAGTCGTCTCCAAGTCCGGACGCCTTCCTCGTCCACATCGTAGAGCTGCTGAACAACCTGGCTCCGCTTTTGGACCGCTTGAGATCTGTCTAGACCTGCCAGGCCGTGAGACTCCTCGGGATTGTCTTCTGTACGCCACCCTGTCGGTGAGAGTGTGATGTGCTGCGGATCTTCGGATCCTCGACGAGACGCATCAGATCCCTCGGATAGCGAACCAGAGCGATAGCTGTCACTCGTATGCGACGTAGTCGGACGACTATCACCGGAGCTAGCGCTGGGCGAGGCCATATAAGCAGCTGAAGACGGAAAACTCTGGTCTTGCGCAAATGATTGCTTGTCCTTGGGGCCCCGCTCTCGGCCTAGCATGGCGGCGAGATAGCCACTCGAGGGCAAAGGTGCCAGCTGAGACAAAGGCTGCAGGATATCGCAGGCCGAAGGTAGTCTGGTGGTATCGTGAGATGGGTCTTTGGGAGAGGGCACCCCTTGGCCCACTGGGGCCTTGCCACCAGATCTGTCGGGCAACGGAGGCTGCGGATCCATTTGCTTCTCGGGTAGGATGTATCTGCCCGGTCGTCGACGCCTGAGCCGCTGAACGAGTACTAGGATGCCAATAATGCAAGCTGCGGGAAAGGTGATTCCGAACAGAAAAGCTTGAAGATCTCGGGCGATGGCCAAATCTTCATTCTCATGCCCCATCGCCTGGGACTATCGTCTCTTTGCTTGGCGGAACTTGTAGGCTGTCTTATGGCCCGGTCAAAAATGAATCAGCTGAACTGATTTATCAACACGACCGAATGTCAAGTTGGCTGGAATGAACGGTGTAACGTTGTTGTTATGCCGACTTCCTGAGCGGCGGAGACGATCAGAGCTCTCCAAAGGCACTCTAGGAAATCAAGATCCAAAGAGAATGTAAATGGATAATGGCAGAGAGATGTAGATATGAATAAGTAAACGAAGAGAGAACCAAAATGTTGGTAATTCGCATAAGATATAGCTGGTGATGGAGAGGAACTATGAAAAGGTATCTGGGAGATCTTTATAACCACACGCTCTGGCCCGGCCAAGGCCCTGAAATAAAAGCAAATAAAAGCAAATAAAGACAACACCCCTCGTCTCAGAAGTAACGCGGGCAGAGGAGGACCATTCTCTAATAACATTCCAATGGGCACCTCTAGAACTCCACCATGCAGGGACGCCTACACAAACCCGGTGGATTGGAGTCATTTTTGTAGCACACCCGCCATCCCTGCTGGGGAGGACTACGCCGTAGAGGGGAAAGCGAGGGCGAGGGGTCCCCAGTCCAGCTGTGTCATGATCAGCCACGAGAACTTGTGCAGTGGGCGGAATCCACGAGAGCAGATTCCAACCGCAAATGCACCCCGATCATAGGACCAGGGTGGACGAAGAATTCGGGAAGAACGTCTCCAAACCAGGCGAGTTCAGCTCTACTGCGGGTGCGCCACCTGCGCCGTAGATTATCGGCCTAAAGAGCTAGTTCGTTAGGGGCGAATTAGCCAGGTTAGCGAAACGAACTAGTTGGGAGAGCAGGCACCGCAGTAAGGCTAGGCTTGAGCCTTGACTCTTGAGGCTCGATCATCGATCGAGGAGAATGCATCTCAATCAGGGAAGTGGAGGAAGCAGATGGAACTATCTAACTCGTAGGGCAAGGCAGAGGCGGTGTTGAGACAAGATGAAAGAAAGAAAAATGAAGCCGAGAAAGAGAAAAGACCGCAATACGCGTGACCGTATGGGTATCGCAGTCACTGGACCTTCTCGTCTTTTCTCTGCATCTTCCTTTTCTTCTCTTCCTTTCCTTCCTACTCTTCTTTGTTTCTTTTTCTTTTTCAATCTCCTCGTCAACAGTCATGTGTTGTCTATCGAAATCAATAGAATGCAACATAATTCAATCAATTCCAATGAAAACGACCAACATAACTCACTACCGATCCCTTCTCTGTCTTTTCTCAGCTCAGCCTCGACCCCTCGATCGGCCTTTCTACGTACTCTGCGTCAATTGCAGATCGGTCTTGTCCTCCACCGTTCGCATTGACACGACGGTGTTATGCCGGTGGAGCATCAGCCCGCCATTGCATGGATTAATCAATTAGGCCCCAGCAAGCCGTTGTGACCCTTAATATAACAGCATCCGCTCTGCTCTCCACTCGTCAGATCAGTCTGACGAGGTCCGGTGTTTTCAGCACTGGACTGTTTACGGCGATCGTCCGTGGCGTCATCTGCTGGGACTGGCTCTTCTTCGATGCTCATCCGTCTGGTTGATTGGCTTACTGTATCTATTCTCTGCTAGATGCCGATCCACCCGTCTAGACACCGCACACACTCTTTCTTCTGTCTCTGACAATCTGACCTTCAGGCTATATCGCTTGCAATGCTTCGCCCCTCTCAACCCAACAACCGGGTCATCTTCAACGCATGTCGTCGATCTATCTAAACTCTATGTCCATTCCAAATACCATGATGCCCCACCAATGGAACTTCGGGCTTAGAAGTGTATGCGGGCCTCGCTCTTCGTGACAAGCCACTTATGCAAGAACAGACCAAAAAAAGGGAATTGCTCGTTGCTCAAACCATAAGCATACGCGCAAGAGGGGAATAAAAATTAAAGAAAACACAATGTGACCTATAGTCTGGCGGCAATCCTGCTCTTCTCCATCTCCTCTTGTGCCCGCTCTCGAAGTTGTTTTCGTAAAATCTTGCCGGATGGATTCTTGGGAATGGCGTCAATAAAGACAACCCCGCCGGTGATTCGCTTGATCACAGACACTTTCCCGTTCATAAATCCCACAATATCTGCTTCAGTGGCGCTTTGTCCGGGCTTCAATGCTATATATGCCCGAGGACGCTCATCGTCATTACTATTCGCCGACGATTGATGCGTTAGCGATTTTGCAGGTGGCCACACACACACTCTGAAGAGGGAGGTTTCGGGAACTTACACTGGCACGCCAATGACTGCAGCGTCGGCAACTGCAGAATGTTCCAACAAGAGAGCCTCGAGCTCGGCCGGCGCAACTTGATTGCCTTTGACTTTGATCAACTCCTGGCACGCTGTTAGCATGGCATTTGGGGCTTGCGATTGGACCAGAAGAGGCGATGGCAATTTTCGCGGCTAAGGCACCTACCTTCTTGCGGTCAACGACGTGGAATTTGCCTTCGTCATCCACGAAGGCGATGTCCCCTGTCTTCAGCCAACCGTCCGACGTTTTTGTCTCGCGGGTTGCCTCTGGATTGCGCCAGTAACCTTTCATGACATTCTGTCCTCGAACCCAAAGCTCCCCACGTTGGTTTCGCCCCAACTCGGTGACTCCGTCGTCGGCCATGATCTTTGCCTCGCAATTGGCATTCAGCTCACCAACCGAAGCCGTCCGGCTCTGCTCCATCGGATGCCAGCCAAGCAATGAGCAGGTTGTTCTGCGAATCAAGTTAGCATACAGCGTTGCCACTGAGGGAGTCTCGAAGCATCGAAAAGGCCAAAACCCACTCTGTCATGCCCCATCCTTGTTTGATGTTGATGCGTCCGGGCTCCCAGAGAGCTTCGACCTCTTCGCAAACTTCCCTGCCTAGGGGGGCCGCGCCACTCGAGACCTTTTCGACGCTGCTGAGGTCGTATTTGCCACTCTTCACTAAAGGGTGTTTGGCAATGGCGACTACCACCGGTGGCACCAGGATGAGATCCGAGATTCGGAATTTCTCCGTGTACTCGAGCATCTTGACGAAATCAAATCGGGGCATAATGTACACTGGCACCCCTCGGCTTAGTGCCGCCGCGATGAAGATATTCTGCGCCATTGCATGATACATCGGTAGGAAACAGAGCCATCGTGCTCGCTCCGATTTCACCCTCCACTCCGGATCCAGGTAGAACAAATAATTGTACTGCAGCATGTTGGCAACGTAGTTCTTGTGTGTGATCTCCACGCCCTTGGGCTTCCCCGTGGTCCCACTCGAATAGTTCAGCGCCAACGTGCGGCCGGCCGCTTCCGGCGTCGATAGATTGTCCCAGACAAACTTGCTTCCTTCTTCGGCAGAAGCTATCAACTCACCCCAATAGCGACAGCCCTGCTGACCTTTGCCCTGCCCGTCAAACACCGCATTGTTGAACACAAAGACTCGATCCTGAGACATCCCTGCCAGTCGGGCTGCTTCGATCCCCGTGTCGAGACTCCCCTCGGCGCAAATCAGGTAAGTCGCACCGCTATCCTGCAGCTGGTAGGCCAACTCTCTCGCCACGTACGTGGGATTGGCCCCGGAGAAGATTCCCCCGGCCATAATGATGCCCATGAAGACGACGGGGAAGAATAGGTCATTGCCGGAGAATAGGACGACCCGGTCTCCGGTCTGAAGGCCCGATTTGCGTAACCCAGCAGCAAACCGTTGACTCCAGAGCCGGAAGTCGTGCGTCGTGAAGTAGTGCGTCTCGGCGCGGGCTGCTTCAGAGAAACATCGATGCGTTTTCGGGAGAGGATGAGAAGGGGAGGTGAACAGGAGCGAGGCCAGATGGGTGTCTGGGATATCGAGATGCCAACGCGATCTGAACGGCATTGTATCCTTGGATCTCGGAGTGCCAGTCAGATGATGAAAGAGAGTATATACTATACGTCTTCTATATTCTAGATGATCGAAATAAGCCGAAAGCAAAAACGAAATGCACTCCATGGACAGAAGAACGGGATCAAGGACAAGATCTTATACCAACCCAACAAAGCAGTATCTGCAAACCGACACCAATAGAACGCAGGAAAGCACGAACCAAAGACAGGAAAGCGCCGCGTGGAGACAAAAGCTTCTCCCCGCATTCCTGTCGGTTACGCCCATCCGCCGGGTACCAATCATGATGCAATCATGGCAGATCCCGAGGAGCAAACACTCGATGAACCTCGGACCTGGGTTAACTAACTGTTAATTGCGCCTTTCGTGATGTTGCCCGTTTGGAACAGGGATGATCCTTGGAGGGGTTTCGATTCGGGGGTTTTCTACTGATTTCCTGTTCGAGAAGGTTGGGATTTCTTTCTATCTGCAAGTACTTTCTTTCTTCAGTCTTTGCAAGGTCTGGTCTACTGTATATGTAATCTGATTAACAAAGAATAAGTGAATTCTACACCCCCTAAACCAATTGCCCGATCGCAAACGATGCTAATTTTTTTATAGAGAGCATTCCCTTCACCAAGGGAAAACATACAGGAAAATAAGAAAACAAATATGGCTTGAACATGATCAATCATTATGACGCCTCCTCTCCCCCAAGGCACACCAGGGCCGCCTTCAATTCATTCACGATTTTCTCCTCCAGTCGGTTCTCCGCGCCCGAGGCAGCATCCGCCGGCTTCTGTCGTAGCAGTTCCACCTCTTTGTCGCTGGTGGCGACGATTCGGCCCCGAAGGCTCGATCGGCGCTCCAGTAGCTCCTCGATGTCCTCCTTGACCTGGGCCTTGTCCCACCGGAGGTCCTGGATCGCGTCGGCATCCACGCCCGCACTGGGTCCGGCTTCGCGGAATCGACCGAGAATGAAAGATATCAGGGCCAGCGAGTAGGCCTCCGACGCCATGCTTGAAGTGATCTTGTGGCGCGTGGTGGTGGCTGTCGAGATGGCTTTGCGCCCGGCGGAAAATGACTCGGAGGCGCGCGTGAGCTGGCCCTCGAATTGGTTGAGGAACGCGGCAACCTCGGGCGCCGTGCGGATGACGTGGAAGAGGAGATTCAGGCACAGTGGAAGGAAACCGTTGGTCCAGATCGAATAGATCCGGGGGACGGGGTCCAACGGTCCGAAACCTTGGGGTTGTCGGAGGAGGTTCGTCAACCGACATGTGGAGAGTCTGGCCAGGATCGCCTCGACGGCGAGGTGTTCAGCCAGCATGGGTATGGTAGAGAGTTTGACGAGGAAAGAGATACTGAGGTCGCCATAGACAGGATCGCCGGCGACTGCCAGCTGATCGGCCCACGAGAACAAGGCGGTCGCATGGCGAGCTATGTCGTTGTCGGCGATGTGGTAGACAATGTGCTCGAACAAGCGGTCGACGTTCTTCACTTGCAAGCAACTCTGTAAAATGGCCGTGAGAATGGCAAAGTCCTTGGGCGTGCACTTGTCAGGCTGCTCGTGCAGATACGTCGTCAAAGACTTGAACCCTTGAGCAACCACCGTTTTCACGACTTCAACGACCAGTCCTAGGTCAGATGAGATTTCGGCCTTCTTGCTGAGGGTTTCAGGGACTGGTCGACTAGGCAGGTCATGGTGGAACTGGAGAGCGAGGAATAGGACATTGAGCAACGATCGGTAATAATCGGTGTCGTCATGAATGAGCGCCTCCTCATACGTTGCGCGGCGACTGCGTAGTGCTTCCCAGACGACCGCGAGCAAGCCGAATACCTCGGAGCCTTTTGCTTCAGTCTCAACGAGCCGCTGGACCAGTACCTGGGCGAAATCCACCCGTGTCTGTTGAACCTTTTCGAAAATTGCTTCCTGGGGGGTAACGGCGGTGTTGGCTTCTAGGCAACTCTGAGCAACTAGGGCCATCGATCTCTTGATTTCACGGTCGACCATGAAATCGACACAGTGCTCCGTGGCAAAGAACTTCCAGCTATGAAGCAGTCGCTGCAGCAGAGAAACACTGGTCAGATACCATTCAACAGAGACGGTGAGCAGATACATACCACTTGAGCCTCGACTAGAGACAGATTGAGATTGGCCCGTTCAAACTCCTGAGCAAACCCTTGGTTTCGTGTGCCGGCCCAGGCAAAGTCATACGAAAGAAGCTTCTCGCCCAGGTGGATGTCGTAGCAGTACTCTTTGCCTAACGAGCGGGGCTGTAATTGCGTTCGTTTGAAGTCGGCCAATTTGCACCCAGGGTATCGCATCTCAAAATTCCTCCTCAAATTGGCGTGTAGAGATGCATTATATCTTGAAACCTCGACAGCACCCTTAGCATACCAGGAAACCAACGGAATTAGCGTCTTGTGTAATGTTCGGTCCCGCATCTCTTTGGCAGAATGGAGGTAGACCGCGAAAAGGTCGGCAACAACAGCTGCAATCTGAGTGGCAAAGATTTGCTCTCCCACAGGCAAGGAAGAAATATTTAGCTTAGAGACATAATGCACAATGCTGTTGAAGAACTGCGAATGCTTCTGAAGTTCGAAGGTTGCCCAAGGCCAATTTTCTTGCGCCTGAGAGACAAACTCCAGCAATGCGAGTGAAATTTGGGGTTCTAATTGTTCGATGTTGGTAAGCATGTCGAGAGCCATCTTCAAGAATGGCGCCCCTCTCATTGCTGGGGCCCTCTGGCTAGCAATTGTCTTCTTCAACGTCTGTCGAGGAGAAGAGCCGGTAAGAATGTAGACAGCAAGCCATTGTTGGCGCTTGCTGACCAAAGCTGACAGCATGTGCCACACTGCCAACTGCAAGCCTCGATCACTTAGAGGCTTGTCGAACTGGGATAAGACGTCTAAGAAGAGGCAAGATGATTCGGCTCCTAGATGACCAACTAGAGACGGTGGTTCGTTCGCCGGGTCCAGAGCAGCTCCCGATACCAAGGTAATCAACAATGAGATAACCGGGGATCGGTATGCATCGTGAAGCGCATACAACTTTACAAGAACCGGAGTCGCCTTGAAAAGCTGTTCTTCTAGCAATGATGGAGGACTCTCGACCAGCTGGGCTGCTTGCAAAAGTCTGGTTGAGAGCTCCAAAGTTGATACTACCTGGCTTTCAACCAGTGTCAAGTATCGAAGGTATAGCGTGGGAGGTGTTTGGAGGCCATCAACAACAAGCCTAAGGATTGGGTTGAATGGGAGATCGGCAGCAGAACGAGGGCGAAGAACATCTAGTAAATAAGTCGCCGAGGAGGAGAAAATGCCAGTTGCTTTTGTTTCAAGCTTAGACGTATCGTTGGCCCCATAGACGAAGTAAAGGATTCGTTCGAACGCCTTTGCTAGGGCGGCATTGAGGTCAAACCTCTGCTCCGGCTTATTGAACCGCCAATTGATGCTGCTGTTGTAGACTTCGACCATTGGCCGAACGAAGTTGAGCAAAGCGCCTCTCATCATATGGGACGGGACACCAGAAGTCCAGTCGGAAACAGCCATTATCTTGCCACCCATGGTGTTGGGGCTCTTCCTCAGTATGGCACGAGAGGCAGCATCGTCCACGACGGCCTCGAATAGACGGATACAGGCAAGAAGGAAAGGATAATCACCCGACGTTACCTCTAATCCAGAAACGATAACGGTCATGATACCCCCCTTGCCATCGGAACCGAGCAAGTCACTTCGGCAAAGTAAAGGCCAGACCCTGCCAGGCAAAACCGTAATCAGCGCGCAGATGAAACGCAAACAGGCTATAGTGGATTCCAAAACACTGTCCGACCCAGTCTTGGTGCTCATGCTGGAGAGATTGCGCTCGAAGATCTCAAAGATCACGGAAATTATATCGCTTTGACGAGCCAGTCCATCACTGGCAAGCTCCAGGATCCTCTTGGCGCCAGAATCATTGTCCCTTTGGGTTTCCCTGGTGGCGACGAGAAGATCTGCTAGCAATCCTATGGCCTCTGCGCTAGCATCTTCACCCCCTTCGGTCAAAGACCCTCCGCTTTCATTCCATTGCTCAAGCCAACTTCCGAGATAGCTTAGGCAGGAGTACTCGTGCTGCCACATAACAACCGCGGGTTTAGATTCAGACACCACTTGGCCAATTGTCGCAGCGGGGACTTGAGACGAGCCGGTAACAACCAAAGCATTACTAGGCTGATAATCCGGAATTTCATGGTGAGCAGCCGAGCCTATCATTGGAAGCGACTGAGCAAGTCTAACGAGGTTTGCGTTCTCGTCTTCGCGAATCGTCTCATATCCTTGAAAGGTAGCAGGAACCATTTGCGTGAATGTTTCCATGCTTTCTAATTCATTAATGAGGTCGGGGAGACCCTCTTCGTTAACGATGTCTTTGCTGATGAGGGCCCTGCACAATCTCAAAAATGGCACCATTTCGTACGGAAATCGTGAACGAGCTACCCGAAAGATGTTGTTCATCAGGACATCATCTTTCCTGAAGATAGATCGTGGGTCACTGGGCTGAGCTGGGAGGGTGTTCGGGAGCCAGGAAGATTCTGCGGATGGCCCAGAGAGTATTGCTAACACCGATTCCACAACCTCAGGGGAATAATCCATGTATATCAGGGCAGTTCGAATAAGGTCTAACAGCGCCGCTCGAGTCCACTGATTGGTGAATGCATCGTCAACTGCGGACGTAGATCCAAGGCTTGTCGCCAATGAGATGATAGCATCGACCGCCGAATTTTTGACAGTCTCGGATGTGAGGATATCAATTGATTCATCCGTTGTATATTTGGGTGTCCGCACACAGTCGAGTAACTCCTCGTACAGAGAGGTGTCAGAAGCTCCTTCACCAGCATGGGGTGTATTTGACTGGAACGAATCAATTGCACTGTGGAATTGCTCCAGCTCTCGAGTTTCCTTTTCAGTAAGAGCGAGTTCCCTCATCGTGTGTAGAACTAAACCCCACGAGAAGGCCGCAGGGTTGGCAATTTGAGATGCCAAGCCCTCGTTAACAAAAATTGCATTAATGTTACCGATTTCTTCTTTAGAAAGGAAGTAAGGAGGCTGTTTGGGGTTATTGGCCGGGGTTTTGTCAATGATTGATTGCACAGTGAGAGGCAATTTCAAGAGAGCGAGCGTTGTCAGACATACAAAGCCCTGGAGCGGTAGCAGGACTTCTATGGGATTTTTGCATGGCTTTTCCGGGTCAGCCTATGGCAGGGTGAAGAGAAACTTGGGGAGCAAAACTTACGACTTGAAGAGGCTCCAAAAAGCTATAATCCTTCATTAGTTGAAGCCAAGACACCTGAAGCTCTCCCGCAGGGATTTCGGTGGATGACTGCAGCAGCAGGAACAAGATCTGCAGGATATGCAGCGTTTCTTCAACAAGGGTTGTCCTCCACATGTCTTCTGTAGCTTCGTTGCTCTCAGCAAGTCCCAACCAACCGCCATCACCCTCTAGAGCAGTAAGTCGATCTCGGATGGCCTTGATGCATGCCTGAACAAAAGTACGCCAACCTTCTCCGGAGAGTTTGCTTTCGAAAACAGTCTCTGCCAGTTGGCATAACTGAGCACTCCGCTCGTCCTGAGCTTGCTCTGTAAACATGCCATTGGTTTTGTCGTTTAGCAGAATGGCGAGAAGTTTTCTGGCAGTTTTGACGATATGGCCCCTTTCCAGTAGATAAATATTGCTCAGTCGTAAGCGGCGGTTCTCGGTCGACTCGAAAAGGGAGGCGTCATTCTTAGAACCAGCATTTGGGTTTAAAACCTCAGCGAAACTGGGCCCCGCCAGCGACACGCGAAAGTTTTCGGCGCCCGTCGCGCCTTGCAAGCTTGAGGTTTCCTCCTCCGCAAACCCCGAAAGTAATCGCGTAGCAGGGCGGTTTTGCCATTCCAGGACTGCGATTCGAAGTGCACTGGTCTCGTCGATGCCAGCTTTCTGGCTGAGCCATAGAGCGTCGTCTTTGATTTCCTTTAAGTTGTACGATGCTTGCGCAGACGTTTCGGCATGTATCGCGGCCGTTTTCGATTCGAAATCGGTCTTGGACGTTGCAGACGGAGAGGGGAATAGATTTAAACAATTCGAGAGAAGCTGAATGCTTTCCGGGCGCGATAGAAATGCGTGGAGCTTACCCGTGTCATCGACGACATCTTCCGGGTGAGAGGTGTAGAGAAAAGCTCCCTTCCAAGATCTAAACAGACGGAGAAAAGAAGCATTAGCCACGGACACAGTCAGAGAAGCAGATGCGCGTACAAAAGCTGAACGTCCCCGGAGAAGCACTTGTCCAGGGACGGAAAATAGGCGTCCGGAGAGGGAGCCATTGGGGGACCAGCTATATCATTCTAGATCCTCGAAGAATCGGGCGGAGAGGACCTAGCGAGGACCGAAGATGAAAGAAGTCGCAATTGGAGTTGCGAGAAGGACGGAACAGCACGTTGGAGCTCAGGCGGGAACTCAAGAATATTCAAGGAGCGCTTTTTCCCCGGAGGTCAACAATGATTGCCTATCTGGGTTTAGCTACTCGGAGGCGGTGAGCTGATTTTGCAGCGTTTGACTTGTCGCCCCGATTGGGAAGGCAGCGCGGACGCCCCCCTCGCATTTGGAGCCTGAGTCACTCACTGCATGCAGCTGTCGACGGCAGGTTGTGTTACCCCTTCTCTCCCTCCTCTGCCCAACCCCCCTGGGACCAGGTATTTATCTCCTCGGCTATTGCTCTCTTGATCATCCCTCAACCTTGAAGACTAACAAATGCTATTTTGCCTTCTTCCTTTTCCCAGACTTAGCCATGTCGGATCTTGTTGACCATTCCCCCCACCATCCCACCAGGGCTGCGCAGCGGGCCAGCGCCTCGAATGTCATCCTCATCGATAACTACGACTCCTTCACCTGGAATGTCTACCAGTACCTGGTCCTCGAGGGTGCCACGGTAAAGGTCTTCCGCAATGACGAAATCTCCCTGGAAGAATTGATCGCCAAAAAGCCGACTCATTTGGTCATCAGCCCCGGTCCCGGTCATCCCGAGTCTGATGCCGGCATAAGCAACGCTGCCATTCAACATTTCAGCGGAAAGATTCCTGTGTTTGGTGTGTGCATGGGTCAGCAATGCATCATCTTTTCCTTTGGTGGAAAGGTTGACGTGACCGGCGAGATTCTGCATGGCAAGACTTCGGAGTTGAAGCATGACAGCAGAGGGGTTTACGAAGGGCTGCCCGCATCTCTGAACATAACTAGATATCACTCGCTGGCTGGAACGCATGCGACCGTTCCGGACTGCCTAGAAGTCACGTCCTCCGCCGATCTGCGCGATAACAGTGGCAAAACTGTCATCATGGGAGTTCGACACAAGCAGCTGGCTGTGGAAGGCGTTCAGTTCCATCCCGAGAGTATCCTTACGGAACACGGTCGGACAATGTTCAGAAACTTTCTTTCTCTGACCGCGGGCACTTGGGAAGGAAATGGGAAGCCCTCCGGCGGCAACGGCACGGGTCTGGTCGGCACCCCGAAGACCGACAAGAAGGTGTCTATCCTCGATAAGATTTATGACCATCGGAAAGCCGCTGTTGCCATCCAAAAGACCATCCCTTCTCAACGCCCGGCGGATCTGCAAGCTGCTTATGACCTCAACATCGCGCCCCCGCAAGTCCCGTTCCCTGCCAGGTTGAGGCAATCATCTTATCCGCTATCTCTCATGGCTGAAATCAAGCGTGCTTCTCCTTCCAAGGGCATGATAGCTGAAACTGCATGTGCGCCTGCACAGGCTCGGCAATATGCGAAGGCGGGGGCCAGCGTCATCTCCGTCCTCACAGAACCGGAATGGTTCAAAGGCAGCATTGACGACTTGCGTGCCGTCCGCCAAAGTCTAGAAGGGCTCACGAACCGACCCGCAGTGCTGCGGAAAGAGTTTGTTTTCGACGAATATCAGATTTTGGAAGCACGCCTCGCTGGTGCTGATACTGTTTTGCTCATTGTGAAAATGCTCGACGTTGAGCTGCTCACCAGACTATACAACTACTCCAAGAGCCTTGGGATGGAACCTCTCGTTGAAGTCAACACCCCTGAAGAGATGAAGATTGCGGTCGATCTTGGCTCTCAGGTCATTGGTGTCAACAACAGAGATCTTACTAGCTTCGAGGTTGACTTGGGTACCACAAGCCGACTGATGGACCAGGTACCTGAGAGCACTATTGTGTGCGCTCTGAGTGGTATTTCCGGGCCCAAGGATGTAGAGGCGTACCAGAAGGAAGGCGTCAGGGCTATTCTTGTCGGCGAGGCTCTCATGCGGGCACCGGACACTTCTGCTTTTGTTTCGAACTTGCTGGGAGGAAGCACGGAAGAAGCCCCTACGACACAGTACTCGCCGCTAGTGAAAATCTGCGGTACGCGAAGCGAAGAGGGTGCACGAGCTGCAATCGAGGCTGGGGCAGATCTGATTGGAATCATCCAAGTTCAAGGGCGAAAGCGGCTTGTTCCGGATGACGTTGCCTTGGGTATTTCGCGAGTAGTCAAGTCGACCCTGCGCACTGCTACTCATCAGACGACCGCCTCCGAAGGAGTATCAAGTGCGACATCCATTGACTTCTTTGATTATTCTGCAAAAACCCTACGTCACCCTCATCGAGCCTTGCTCGTGGGTGTATTCCAAGATCAGCCGCTGTCATATGTCTTAGCTCAGCAGCAGAAGTTGGACCTTGACGTTGTTCAACTTCACGGTTCCGAACCGCTTGAGTGGGCTAGGTTAATACCAGTTCCCGTCATTCGCAAATTTGCTCTCGATGAACCTGGGATTGCAAGGAGGGCTTACCACAGCCTGCCTCTGCTGGACTCTGGAGCAGGAGGATCGGGTGAATTGCTCGACCAGTCGCGAGTTCAACAGACCCTGGAAGGTGATAAGGGTCTGCGTGTCATCCTTGCCGGGGGTTTGGATCCCACCAATGTGGCTAGCACACTCAAGAAACTGGGTGAATCTGGACGTAAGGTTGTTGGAGTGGATGTCAGTTCTGGCGTCGAATCCGATGGCGCGCAGGATCCCAGCAAAATCCGTGCTTTCGTGCAAGCAGTGAAAAGTCTTCAACTCTAATCATGACATTCTGAAATATGAGGTGTCACATCTTCCGAAATTAACGCATCGCTACGCATCCACGATGGTATTTCTTGAGTTTTATAATCGTTACTGCAAACTTGCTTTTTGATCACTTTAGATAGATCACGTACTTTCGGGTTGCATTCAACGGCTTGAGCCGATCTTATTCGTCTCATGTATTTCGGGCTTCACAAATCATCAGAAAGATAATCATATTCACATCACCTTTCGGGAATCCCTGTGTAGGCTTCTATATACTCTTTCTTCCTCTTTAACTGTTACCGTCTCCTTGCTCTCTTTCCTCATCTCACTCTCGATCAACTTACTTGCCTTCCACCTCACTACCATCTTCATTCGTTATCGACACTCATATTTGTCCTCAACCACCATGAAGGACCCGTTCAAGAAAGTTCACGTGTGCTCTTTCGGCCATTTCGGTGGCGACGGGGACAAAATTCCCCAGTGGGTAAAAGCACACGGAGGGCAATATTCGAAGAACGTCAGCCAGGATGTCACTCATCTTGTCACCACAATGGAGGCATTCAAGAAGAACGTCGAAATCGGTATGAAGGCTGTCTTTGTCCAGGGCTCAGCGAAATGAATTGTACTAATTGATATTCTTGCGAGTAGTGCGAAAGGCCAAGCGCTTCAAAGTCAAGATCGTTTCCTACGATTGGCTCGAGGATTCACTGTTGTCCAAGAGCCGAGCTCCCAAGCGCGAAGGGCCATATCTTTTGGAAACCATTTTTAAGAATGAGAAGAAAGCCAGCGCTGAAGCAAAGGCTAAGAAGGTTCCGAAGCGACAAACAAAGGTGAAGGCAAAACGAACTAGTATGGTACCACTTTCCACTTTTCTAGAAAGAACAAATGCTAATATTGTGTGAAGTGAAGTCGAAAGACCCATTTACGGCTAGGTTTGGGACCATTAAGAAAGGCGCTGCTGCAAGTATGCTTCGATCTCCAGAGTGGCTTGGAAGATGGGGCTAATTCATGGGCAATAGCTGACTATCACCTCTATACGGACAACAAGGGTGTGACTTACAACGAGGTGCTCACTTGCCCGACAATCCAGGCGACTCGCGAGAAATACCAGCTCAAGGTACTTTGAATCTTCTTGATCCCATTCTTCTTTACAATGGTCTCCATGAACATACCTCTGTTCTCCCTCCAACCCTGATGCTCACGATATATAGATCTTCGAGCTCACCGGCAACCCAAACACCTACGCTACCCATGTCAAATACACGCGAACCGGTAAATCAACAACTGAGCTCAAGGCACCGATTGGAAGCACCCTACAAGACGCCATGTCGGCGTTCGAGCAATTTTTCGAGGAACAAACTGGCAAGAAATGGGCAAATCGATTGGACGGAGTGGCACCCGAACGCAAACGAGACGACGACGGCAATGTCCTCCCAATCTCCGGGGGCTGGTTCCACTGTGAGCAAAACAATAGCATCATTTCGAATTTCCTACGGGAACCGCCTCGAGCTGTTGCGGAGCCAACGGTATCCGCTTCAGACAATGGTGCAGACGACAGAGAGGAGGACGCAGAATCGCAGACCGAGGTCTTAGATGAACTGGTCGAGGGCGAGGATGGGAATGCTTGATGCTAGTAATTTCTTTAGACGATCGTATTGGATTTGCGAGTTCGGTTCGAATGAAGAGATTTTCATGACGTGGGACATGGTCTTTAATGCATTTGCTCAGGTTTGGGGGTTTGGTTAGTGCGAAACGAAACGTTTACTCATTCAGAGGTTGAGGACAATTGACTGCTTGCTCAGGGATTGAATATGAATTAGTTGCCAGATCCAATACGACATCGCAGCACCGGGACATTCTCTGAAGAATAAACAAGTAGAACCATCAAAGTTCCATTTCTTCCATATGGGTATACTATAATATGAACAGGAACGTGAAACTGCCAAATGCTAGCCTTTTATATCACCACATAACACCTCATGCGCCAAGGGACTTTTTTTTTCTTTTGCCATCGTAAGATATCTTACACACTGCCGCCAAACCGGGGAGACAGTCGTCCAGGATATAGAGCCGTTTAAAGGTAATCCTTCTTCTTGCTGGTCCGGGTGTATTGCGTAAGAGCCCATTCAACATCGCCGCTAGAGCCCTTCTCTAGCGATCCTCCTCGGATCTCGAAGAGTCTCATTGTCATCCGCGGCCCGACTTCCGCCAACTCAACGTCCCGATACCCTGTCTTGACAAAAACATGGTGTCGCACCTCAATACTATCCTCCTTGTTGACGAAGCTGACGACACGGTTGCCGATCTTTCCGCCCTCACGAGGAGGGAAGAGATGCTTGAGGATTTGGACAACGCGAGCACCCAATTTCGTTTTGAACCCTTCGAAGACCAGATGAGGGTAGCTTTCTGAGACGGTTCCACGGGCGGAGTTGGGGATGTCGGCACGAAGAACGACGTTGTGCAAGGAAAAGCTAGCGGTCGGTCCATGAGGAAGATGCGAGATGGTCATGGCAGTGGGAGTTCCACGATGCTCGTGAAGAAGAATCATGTCGGTCAGTGCCGCGGCATTTGCGCTGGACATGAGGTCGGGGAGAACGAGGTTTCCACGGTTCAGGCGAATGGAGGTAGGAAGAAGCAGACGGATTTCCTTGGCAAATGCGCCCAGACGAACGGAAGGAGAGCGAGAAGTAGTGACGATAGGGCGAGGATCGACAATCCCGGAGGTGAGGGCGTATTCATCATCCAGATCCAACAGGTCCGACTCCTTGTTCTGCCTATCCTCGGGGTTTAATGATTCATCGTATTTGAAGTCTTCGCGCAGTTGTTTATCGTCTGCGATGGAGGGATCAAGCGGTTTTCCGGAGGCTAACGAAGCCTTCAGCTGGGCTCGTTTTTCGGCGATAGAGGCATCGCGGAGAAGCAGAGCTCTCCGATAGAGATAGTCTCGACGTTCACGGGCTTGACGGCGCTATAAGAAAGTCAGTAAGATTGACGACGGTCAATAAAAACCGAAAAATCAATAAGAATCAACACGAACGTACAAGCATGTTTTCTGGGGGAGTTCAAGTGTTCTGGCTGAAGAAATGTCGAGGCTCGCCGACAAAAAAAAAGGCGGGCAACTTTTTTTGACTGCGCAAGTGGTCCGCCGGGTCCGCCGGAGCTGTGTGGGAATTGGCGGCGAAGGGTCCGATAAAAGGTGAGCCGATCGCAAATCAGCTTTCCGTCACCCTGTTGTGTGGACTGCAACATCCTGCCATCCAGGAGGAACCCGCTCACTTTCACTAGGTGCTATAGCGACGGAGTGAATCGCGCGGATTGTTATATTGACTGGTTATGTCAGAATCCCTACCCTCGAACGCCTTCCCATTGAAGTGAATCCGCCACTGACTTTGACCTTAGTCACTCATTCCTTTTGCCCCTCTGCTGTGGCACGCCGGGTCATCGAGGAAAGCAGGCCCTCTTTTACAACTGGACGGCGCGACTCGCGTGTCCTTTACATTCCTTTTCCTTGAGCGACTTTCCGTTTATATTCTCGGTTTGCAGCCGTCCTGTCCCTTCGTGCTGTTCACAATCATCCATTTCTCGAGCCTTTCCAGTCGCCAACAACGCGGACGTGAATTAGCTGGCAATCTGTGGAAATATCGGAATTCAGGGCAATCATGGCCGCTATCAATGATGATGTTACGACTGCAGATCTGGAAGAGACCACTCTCAGTATGAGCGGAGGTCCCCGCCCGCGCAGACATGATGATGACGACGAAGGGTCTGATAATGGCGATGATGACGCTGAAAGCACAACCAGTGCCCAGGTCGCAGGGGATGCGAAGACACCAGGGAATGTTGATGAAGAGAAGGAGCTTCCCCCACATGCATGCGCGTAAGTCCCCCCAACTTCGAGGCCCACGCGGCCGGCTTGGTTCTCCCGCTTATCGGCATCAACGTGAAGGTACTGTGGGATCCACAATGCCAGCAGTGTGGTCAAATGTCTGTCATGTAGCAAGTGGTTCTGCAGTGCTCGTGGCAATACTTCCTCCTCCCACATCGTCAACCACCTTGTCCGAGCTCGACACAAAGAAGTACAACTCCACCCGGCCTCGTCTCTCGGAGATACGATATTAGAATGTTACAACTGCGGTACCAAGAATGTGTTCCTTCTTGGTTTCATTCCTGCCAAGTCCGATACGGTCGTCGTGCTACTATGTCGTCAACCCTGTGCCGCCATGCCTTCGTCCAAGGATATGAATTGGGATACTTCACGCTGGCAGCCCTTGATTGAAGATCGCTCGTTCTTGCCGTGGCTCGTGGGCGCTCCTTCGGACCAAGAACAGCTACGTGCCCGTCACCTCAGCCCGCAGTTGATTGCCAAGTTGGAGGAGATGTGGAAAGAGAACTCACAAGCGACATTTTCGGACCTCGAGAAGGCCACGGCTGTGGATGACGAACCCGCCCCCGTTCTCCTACGATATGACGACGCTTTCCAGTATCAGAACATTTTTGGACCGCTGGTCAAGATCGAAGCCGACTACGACCGTAAATTGAAGGAATCGCAATCCCAGGATGGCCTGATCGTGCGGTGGGACCTCGGTCTAAACAACAAGCATCTAGCCAGCTTTATCCTGCCGAAACTTGAACTTGGAGATGTCAAGCTAGCTGTGGGTGACGAAATGCGCCTCAAGTATACTGGGGAACTGCGCCCCAAGTGGGAAGGTGTTGGCTACGTTATCAAGATCCCGAACAACCAATCCGACGAGGTGACCATTGAGTTGCGGGCAAAGGGTGACCACAAATCAGTGCCAACGGAATGCACGCACAATTTCACTGCAGATTATGTCTGGAAATCGACATCCTTCGATCGTATGCAACTCGCCATGAAAACGTTTGCTGTCGATGAGTTGAGTGTTTCGGGCTATATCTTCCATCGTCTTCTTGGACACGAGGTCGCCGCTGCACCGATGAAGACACAGATGCCCAAGAAGTTCAGTGTTCCTGGGCTTCCCGAACTTAACGGCAGTCAGATCAATGCGGTCAAAAGTGTCTTGCAGAGGCCTCTGAGTTTGATTCAAGGTCCACCTGGAACTGGAAAAACTGTCACTTCAGCTACTATCATCTACCATCTCGCCAAGCTTAACGGCGGTCAGGTGTTGGTCTGCGCTCCCTCTAACGTTGCGGTTGATCAACTTTGCGAACGTATCCACCGAACAGGCCTTAAAACGGTGCGTGTGACCGCGAAGTCGCGAGAGGATGTGGAGTCTCCCGTGGGCTTCTTGTCTTTGCACGAACAAGTTCGCCTTAATGACACCAACATCGAACTTGTTAAACTGAATCAGCTTAAATCTGAACTTGGCGAATTGTCGAGTCAGGATGAAAAGCGCTTGAAACAACTCACCCGCTCGGCGGAGCGCGAGATATTGAACAATGCCGATGTCATCTGCTGCACCTGCGTTGGTGCTGGTGACCCTCGTCTTGCTAAGCTCAAATTCCGTACTGTTTTGATTGATGAGTCTACGCAGTCTGCCGAGCCTGAGTGCATGATCCCATTGGTCTTGGGCTGCAAGCAAGTCGTACTCGTTGGTGATCACCAGCAGCTTGGTCCCGTTATCATGAACAAGAAAGCGGCCAAGGCTGGTCTCAACCAATCTCTCTTCGAGCGTCTTGTCATTCTAGGGTGCTCTCCTATTCGGTTGAACGTTCAGTATCGTATGCACCCATGTCTATCTGAGTTCCCGTCCAATATGTTCTACGAGGGTTCTCTGCAGAACGGTATTTCTTCCATCGAGCGTCTTCGCCGGGACGTTGATTTCCCGTGGCCCATTGCCGACAACCCTATGATGTTTTGGTCTAACCTCGGAAATGAGGAGATTTCGGCCTCGGGTACATCGTACCTCAACCGTACTGAAGCAACTAACGTGGAGAAGATCGTCACTCGCTTTTTCAAGGCTGGCGTTCAACCTCAAGATATCGGTATAATCACCCCCTATGAAGGTCAGCGCAGCTATATTGTCAGCTCCATGCAGGCCAATGGTACCTTCAAGAAGGAGCACTACAAGGAAATTGAAGTCGCTTCAGTCGATGCCTTCCAGGGCAGAGAGAAAGACTTCATCATTCTTTCCTGTGTGCGATCCAACGATCACCAGGGCATTGGTTTCTTGAGTGACCCGCGTCGTCTCAACGTTGCACTTACCCGAGCCAAATACGGATTGGCAATCCTTGGAAACCCGAAGGTGCTCTCCAAACATCCTCTGTGGAACTGTCTCCTACAGCACTTCAAAGAACGCCACTGCTTGGTGGAAGGTCCTCTGTCAAACCTACAGGAATCCTTGATTCAGTTCAGTCGACCCAAACAGGCTTACCGAGGACCCCAGCGTTTCCAAATGGCCTACAACCACGCCTCCAATGCCACCAATGGGGCCATGAATGGAAGAAACGGCCATCGCAATGAATTCCATGACACTGGGTCTGTGATTGGCTACATTCCTGACGACGTGTCTTCGGTCCACTCCTCGGCGCTTGGTGGTGTCGGCATTCCCTCGGGCTATCCTCCCATGTTCCAGAACTTCGCTGACTCTTGGCCTGCTCTCCCTGGTGCTCGTCGGGCTAATGGTAACAGAGGAAAAGGAGCGCCCAGTGTCGCCGGCGAATCTATCGCAGCTACCGAGTCTGATGTCACCGGAAGCGTTATTGATGGCAGAAGCGTGGATCAGGGCGGTGTGAGCCTCGCTGGATTGAGCATCCACGACATGAGCAAGCAGCCCAGTCTCAGTCAGTCCGATCGGCTGAAGCGCTACGTGGAATCTGGAGCACGCGAGCCTTACAAAGCCGGTGTCCCTGACAACGGCAGCATCTTCGGGGGAAGTTCTGCAAGTATTCGTGTCACGCGTGGCGTTCCCGGTCAAATTCACGATGACGACGATACACGCAGTGTTTCCACTGCTTTTGCAAGTCAGGTTGGGGGGAATTACGACTGATTTGATTCCCGTTACGGCCTGCCAAATAGACTGGCATTACAAGCATGCTTGCTGCCATTCCCGTGACTAGGGAGACAGCTGTTCGCGGAACTATTGGACCATTCAAGAATGGCTCGATGTCTTGAGAGTCTGTACAGTCTGTCAAGAGGTTTTGTTTGGCCTGACAACTGTGCATTTTAGGGCAGCGTCGGCGAGAGCAACATCTCAATCATAGGTGGGGAATGGAAGGTGCTCTTCACTTAATTTCTTCCGCGGTGCATTTTATCGATATCAACAAATTTCCGTTGGTATTCACACAACAGTCTGGGGGCAAGTATTCATTGGGAATGTGACCGCTTTCGGTATTTATTAGCAGGGATCTGATGTCCGTGGAACGCTGCGGGAGGGGTCACAACCTTCCAGCACATACGCCCTGTTTGCTGTATCGGTAAGGGCCATTACTGGTGAAGTCAGCACTGAATCTGAGGGATGATTCCCGGCGCACCCCATCCAGCTTGCGTCTGCACTCATCTCTCGATATCCCCAGGCTGCGGCCAGATCCAGGATTTCCGCGGAAGTGGATGAGAATGAGCTCATCGCCAAAGGTATTATCAAATGGTTCTTGCCCTCTTACTTTGCTTGTTTATGCTTGTCACGACTCAATTGAATCCTTTTGCTTTGTTTGCGGCACTCTTATGGCGATGCGGGACTGCTAGAATTAAATCGGTCTTGGCAGTCAATGTGTGCTATGCCTCATTTCTGTCAAGAAGCCCTGTTCAAGTCCTCGGCCTTCTAGGAACGAGGAACCGTTTGATACAGCCTCACGTTATTACTGCCGTCATGCTTTCGCAACAAATCCAACTATAGTCATTCTTTCTCAATGCCATCCTATCGGGAAAGCCGAAGTCATGACGTACGTGTTCGTAGAAGCCATGCAACTCCGCCGATCAATCCGCGACGTTTAAGCTCAGCCGGTCATTCTTCCTTCAGACCATTTCCATGAAGTGGTACGTATGCTCGACGTACAGTAGGCAGCTAGAATTCTCGCATCCTTGGCAACTAGGAATTGAGGATAAACGGTTATATATAGATCAATCTCAGGGTCCAACGAACATGCGTGCGTCGTCTAGCTTGGCCTGACAACTTTAATGCGTGGTGAAACTGACAGGATCAAGGCCTCAGCCACCCTGTCAGCAACCAGCATTGACGCCTACTTTCTATTATTGGCTTGATAATACCTGGAGTCCCCGCCGAATGTGATATTGCAGGGCTGCGCCACCCCGTCCGCATGATCGACCATCTTGATTACCGGGCAGGGGGCTCGTTTATACTCTATGACAACTTGGTTTAAGTGTGAAGAACGGCGAGTGAGTGGATTGGCGCTCGTCGCTTAGGGTTGGATGGGGTTTCTATCTTTACATTGTGGGGGGGTATATGTAGGTTATCTATAGCTCCAGCACGTTTGATTTTTTGAGCCAACCCTACTTTGGGCATGATTACCGCTAAGGTGAAACAATCAAAGAGAACCCAGGTATCTCACGATGAGAATGAAAACAAATCTGCAAAGCAACATAGAACCAACCACCTCTACGTACGGTGTACTACAGACAAATCAGACGAACAACCAGACCTCCTTGGCATTTCAATCCGATCTGCAAGATCGCCCAATCCAAGAGCACCCATAGCACGATCCAGCAAAGTGACGCACGATGTGTAGGGAGTAGAACGCTTCGTGGTCTTCGCCCAATCACGGATAGTTCTCCAAGGCTTCTAGTCACTGACGTGCCAATCTCATCCATCGACGAGGGTGGGTCTGAAGATGAGGTTGACTGATGAGATGTCCCAACTCCTTGCTTGATCTTAGCCTCTGCCGTGAGCTGGAGGGATGGAATTGGATCCCAATGCGACTGACATGTTGCCTGTTCCAGGCGGAGGGGACAATCGGCGGTCGATTGGGCGAGAAGCGTTGGTCACCGCTTCCCGAGGACGGCGGCAATTGGGTACCTTAGGCACCCATCCACCGAGTACATACTCCGTTCCGACGTGGCCTGGCAGCTGCAGACCAACGGTGATGGAGGATAGAAAAAAGGATATGTTGTAGATAGAACAGAATCAAACCAATAGTAGGAATATAATTATAATTATTTATATTTATATGACGAATTTCTACTGTGTACTCAGTCGTGAATATCTAGAGAATAATGTCCGAATTAGGCGGTGTGGCTGAGGAACCACGCCCGGGCCACGTGCGCGGCTGGTGATTGGCGGGCAGTCATGAGGCGTGGCGGCTGCCGTTTCTGGCATCCACCTGTTGGGTCCTGACAATTCAGGCTGTCAACTCATCAGCTCTGCCCTGCCTCTCTGCCTTCTCTGCCCTGCCCTCTTCCGTTGATCTTATACTCCCGCTACCTAATCTCATTCCAGCTATCTGGTTGCCTGATATCATCTCCTCGGCCACAATGACTCATTCCTAGTCGAGGCCTAAAAAGCGCGTCAAATTCCCCATTACTCAATACCTAGCGCCAACACTACCTGTTTGGTCACTGCCCAGTAGATCTACAGGCATTCGCCGCCTTAGTGTGGTGATCCAGCGCCTACAAATACTACGGCGCGTCTCCGTCGGTCAGACCACGGTGCCATCGTCACGACCGCTTTATGATTGTTGTTTATGATCCCTAGGTATTCCGGACTCCACCGACCGGCCTACCTGTACCTACACCGTATACCGCCACCGAGTTTCGCCCTGATTACATAACCGAGTGGCGTGCCAAGACCGAGTCATTAGTCACCTGGCGCCTTAATGCCTTGTTTCCTTAAAAATTCGGCACCCCCCGTATTCCAAGTAAGGAACCTACACTCTTTCGGTGGCTGACTCGACGCGACCGTCCACGCTGCCTCAACGCCCGTCTTTCCCTAGCTGATCTCTTTTTTTGCTGCGCAGTTCGCTTGCTACTGAGGAAGACGTCGCCTGAATTTTCAGTTTTTGCGCGTCATTCCTATTCCCAGGAACCCGCCTCATTGCAATTGACGGCGGGGTTGTTACTGCGATATGGGTGACGGTTCTGATTACCCTAGTCCACGAAGCGAAGGTCCCGGCGGACCTACATCTGTTCTCGTCGCAGCTCAAGAATCTCTCTCTCCCGCTCCTAAGATGACCGATCAACTCTCCCCCAACTTCATGGAAGGGGCTCGTCCGCGACTGTCGGTGAGACGCGCGCGCGATCCGCCCAAGAACGCTGCCGGCCAAATCTATTGCGACCACCACGAGTGCCATCAGGCCCCTCCCACGTTTCGTCGTCCCTGTGAATGGAAGTGAGTGCATCCTCTTCATTCCCCATCTCACCCCCCGGAATACGCGCAAAGTTTCTAACGCCACCTTTAGTAAACACATGGACAAGCACGATCGTCCCTACAAATGCCTCGAGCCCGGATGCGATAAGATCCAGGGGTTCACCTATTCAGGCGGGCTGCTGAGACACCAGCGCGAGGTGCATAAGAAGAACATCAACGCCAAGAAACCGCTGATGTGTCCCTACACCGACTGCAATCGCAGTACGGGTAATGGTTTTACGCGTCAAGAAAACTTGAAGGAGCATTTGCGCCGTCGCCACATGCATCCCGAAAATGGCCATGTGTCTGATCTCCCTATTGTCCCCACGTCCGAGCTCGATGGCACGGCTTCTCTTCCCCCGGCTCCTCCTTCCATCAAAAGGAAACGCGATTCCATTGATGATGAAGACCCGACCGTTGACTTGCCCGAGGATGACGAGGGAGAAGAGGAGCAAGATGGTGTGGATCTGCGCAATGAGCTCAAAAGACTGCGTCGCGAGGCCCAAGAGAAGGACCGCCGCTTGGAGGAATTGGAAAGGATCGTTTCCGGATTGCAGCAAGCCATCCCTCAGACTGCCCCAGCACAGGGATAGCGTTGCTCGGTATATTATCTTCTCTTCTCTCTATCTTTTTGTTACCATCATGAGTGCGGCTTTGTTATGTTGCTTGAGCTTTCTCACCTGCTTTCCTATCTTCTGCTTTTTTATACTCTTTTTCTTTTGTCATGTTATGTTTTGCATTCTGAGGGCGTTTTCACATGCAAAGTCCGGGCCCTGGGGCTTGCATTCATTGCTACAACATCAATGGGAGGTTATATGGATCGGTCTACATCTGAGGACGCATGGATTTGCAGGGCAGCGCTGAAGAGTATGGCGTTTACTTGAGGTCGATAACACCCGAATGGTGTTTATTTTCGTTTTCCTTTTTTTTCTTTTTTCATGGTCTCTTTGCTTACCCTTCTATTACCTGAAATATACCCAGGCGTTTTCCCTACCTTTTTCTCCTTCCCTTTCCTTCTTTCTGCAGCCTCTCCTTGTGGTTATCATCTTTACCCTCATCCCTACTTTTCATGCTTTAATGCGTCGCTATAAGGTGGCGAATACGTTGTGTAAACTCTCGGATGTCTAGTCTTTTTAAGCATAAGATTGTATTTCTAATTCTAACGGGAAATGTATTGCATATGAATGAACTTCTTCTGGCATGTTTTTGTTCTAGGCCAAGTAGATTGCCGCGTGGCGAATGTTTATTTGGACAATTTGCCTATACTACGCAGAGTCCCTGCGGACGTCAACTTGCACTTTGTATGACGAATCGCTTCCAGCTTCTACACCGTATGAAAGAGCATTTCCTAGACCTGCACTGTAGTCCGGAACTGGTAGCGCGGTTTTCTTGGTTGTTAGAATCTCAAGAGTCTCATAATGCTGCCGAGTAAGTAGACTGGTCTCGACGGCCCCATACAATCCAAATATTCGCCCTGAGAGATAGCCCGATGAGAGTGCTGCGACACCCCATTTACGGCGCTGGATTCGCTGGCCGGGAATCGAGTATCGTGCCTGGCGCCTGAAAGTACAGCCATACATGAATACCCATGGTAGGTGAAACGTATAGACCCAATCCCATAGGCTTGTTTGGAAGCAGATGGAACATCTCATGAAATTCTATTGCCACCGACAAGGCCCACGTCACCCTTTCGCCCAGAGCAACAGCCGTACAGAAAGGAGGCGAAGACTGGCAGCCGGCTATTCACTAAGCGGCCCTGAGACCCTATCTTGTGCGGGCTTTCTGCCTCCTCCCCCACCCCCTTGCCTGCGGCGCGTGAGCTCTAGACGGCTCTACTGAGGCCCTTGACTAAGAAGGGTAGATCCTGAATTGCTGTTAGTAGATTTCATCAAAATAAGCGCCGTGTCACCTACCGAGAGCAGCCTATCAAGGCTGCAAGAGCCCAACTAAGCACACAGACCATGTCGTGTGTGACAGTTCATGACTCATAGTGATACATCTGAGTCAGTGTCATGGCGAGTCGCCCGTCTCACGTTGGGCCTCTTGTTCCATACGGGGGAGTGTTGGATTGACCGCAAGCCTTCCAGCCTGGTGGCCTGGTGGCCTGGCCCCGTGATGCTGTCATGTGATAATTAACCGAATGGGGAATTGTGAACACAAACAATGTTTTTGGATGACTCAGCCGCACATGCTGTGCCTCCTGCCTGGTTGCCTGACTGCCTGGTTGGCTGGTTGGTGCCTTGAAAAGGAAATCACGTTGGCGAATGAGCCGGAGAGAAAGAGAAAGTAGAAAGCAACAAGCCTTTCTCTGCTCCTTTGTTCTTTTGTTTCACACGCAACAAGGCCGGCCGGATTGAAGCGTTATGCGGTGCACAAATCACCATTGATCTGTCGCAGTTCTTTGTCTATGAAGTGAATGCTTACACCGTCATTTGCAATCATCATGACCACCTGCGAAGTTTAAATAAACCACTTTCCTTCCTACTGCCTCTTATCTTCCCCAAGTTCAAGATCAACCAAACTCTTGGCAAACTGCGCTTCTTACATCGTTTGCAATCGAGCCTTTCCTCAAGGACTGTCTACAAAATGGCACTTCCTTCGCGTTGCACTGAGGCTCCAATGTCTCAACAGCCAAGTTCTCACTATGTACGCACCCATCAGTATGCTGCCGGCGCCACGAGAATGCAACGGGTCAACTGTTTCTCTATGCCAGCTGCCGATCACGAGTCCTGTGCTCAGCTCGAGAACGTCAACGCAGACTCCCATTGTTACCCGGAGGGTGATTTCGTTCCGTCAGGCTTCTTTGAGAGGGTTGATTCGGACATGTTTAGACTGCCGCCACGCATGAACGACTGGAAATACCACATGCGTCGGGAAGCTCAAATGATTCTACCGTTCCTTTATCTGGGTCCGTGGGCATGCTTGAAAGATCGGATCTGGCTCGACAAAGAGGGGTTTACTCTGCTTCTTGCGATTCGAGATCAGCGACTGGCACATGCGCGGCTGGTCTCCGGCGAGAAGGCCGCTATGGAATTGGGCATCGAAACGTCCGCAGTGGATACGGTGAATATCCAAGAGCTCATCACGGCGTTGCCCCGTGCGATACGGCTGATCAACGATCATGTTTCTACTCCGGCAAATGCGCAATGCCACAACTCGTCGCGTCGCAAGGTCCTCTTGTTCTGTGAGACTGGCAATGGTCATTCCGCTCTCGTGTTGATCGCGTACCTGATGGTGATGTTAAGTGTGGATTTCGCCCAGGCCTTGCAGATTGTTCAGTTGCAGCGTTTCTGCATCGACCTGGACGAACCGTTGAAGCATATACTGTTATCGTTCGAATCTATCCTCGACGCCAAAAGAGATGTCGAAAAATCCAGGAGAACGGCATCGGCGAATCCGGGCCTGGCAACTCTGGCGACTACCAATAACAAGAAAAGGGACTTGGAGGACTCCAACGACATGGAAGACAGTATGGATATGGATGACCACGAAGGCATCGTTCCGGACCGTCGAGGTACAGCTCCTTTCCAGGATCGTTAGGAATAATTTGAATGTTTTGTTGGCGTATAGCATGGCGTTTGGGAGCGTTCGGGCTAGAGGTCTATGTTTGATTTCTGCTGATGACGACACTGGAAACATTTGCTAGAATCTGGATTGTTTTCTTCTCTGTTCGGGTGTCAACTAGCTTCTCCTTTCTTCTTCATTACAAAAAAGTGATACGGGATCCTCAGGCGCGTACCAATGGAATACCTGGCTTTTAAAGGAACTATCCGGTCTTCCTGCGCAGTTCAACGCTCATTCTTCCTCTAGACAGATTGTTATGTTTACTGGACAATGTTTTCTTCGTTCCTTACTCCAGATCAGCAAGTACCCGTGCTGGTGTGTGCTGGCCTTGATGCCTTCGTCCCCAAACAGGCAAGCGCCTTTATCTCACTTGACAGACGCCTTCACTCTCAACTCCCCTTCTTTCACTGTCCTTCAGAAGGGGTTCTTCCGCTAGATCCACCGCCACATAATTGCCAGAAAAGGGTATTTATATACTGCATCTCTTAGTTTCTATTGTGATTATGTCTCATTTGTTACAAACTTCCATACGCGAATCCCTGTGCGATCGATCACAATGAAGCTTCGCAGCACTATCCGTCCGCCCAAACGGCTGTACTCTGAGGAGTATGTATCTACTTACTCTGAGGTAAACTTACGTCGAACTCCAAAATCCATAGAAAGGCCGCCTATCATCGAGTTCAACCCCAATCTACCATCCGCTGCATTCCCTACTCTGGACAACTCACGCTCACCTGAATCGAACGCCGATAGCTTCGACAGCTGCGAGGATATTTCTGAGGAGGAGATGGACTTTGAAGATTTCACGTTTACTGAGATTGAGAATCTCAAAGCTAGCAATGGTCCCTTGAACCCGATCTATGTAAGAAATATGGAGTTGATGGCCAATGCAGGCTGTAGTCCATCGCACATGGATTACCTTGATATGCAGGATAGCGATGGAGATGAGATTGATGATGGGCTTGACGGTGGACCTTCCGTGGTCAGTAACTCCACTGGGGTCTCTCTTGGCCCTGACAATGGTCTCCAAATAGGTGCAAGCTCATTGCTGACCAAGCCTCAGTCTGTTCCCGAATTTCCAGAACCCCAATGGTGCGATCTACCCGTGTCTCTCAGAGTTGAGATCGTCAGCAATCTTCTTCAGTCAAACCCATGGTCACGCGCATGCATTATGCTGGGACTTAGCGTCAGAGATCAAGTGGATCTTCGAGAAGCGTGGAGCGAGCGTGACAAGCAATTGGACTACGAGGACGAACAGCTGGAAAAGATGCAAGAGGAACGGCTGAGGGCCTTGATGCGGATCGACAATAGTCTTCCGAACCGTGATCGTGACTGGCATTCGATTTGGGCGTTGTTTGGTAAGACTCGCCGTCAAGCACGCCGCGATATACAGGAGCAGCAGAGAGAGTCCGATGGTAACTTCTTCATGTGCAATTCCGACGAGATCGCCGTGGCCAAGAGATTCCTAAGACAACGAGGGTTGAGCGTCAAGCTTGTTGGGGAATGGTGCAATACTATTCCTGTCGTCGAGGGTCCCGATGGAGACGAGTCTGGTCCTGGTAATTCAAAGCCAACAACTCTGAAGTGGAATTTGAAGCCAACTGGCATTGACATAAGTGGTTTGAAGCCAGGGACCTTTCCTGCTAGGAACAACGCGACTGCCTCGAATAAAGCTACCGTGCCAACAGCTTCCAAGGTATCGCTAATTAATGATATCAACGGTTTCGGGGCATCAACCTCTGCCAGACCAGTGGACAGAACCCGACATCGAAGCGGCGTCGTCAATACTGTAACCAGTTGGATAAATGCCCCGAGTCAGAGGTCCGCGCAGTCTCCTCGGCCTAACGGACTTGTTAGCCAGGATATTGGAATGCAGCGCGCTGCACAAATTGAATCTACCGCGGAGCCCCAGGCAGTCGACCCGACAAGATTGGCTCGTCAAACCCCTCCGGAGGACCGCATCTTTCAGGGTCCCATCCCGCCAGTGGAGGGCGCTGCTGATACTCATGAGGTACCCTCCTGCCCAGTCCATGCCCCAAGACAAAGAACCCCTCCGACTGGACCGGAGGAGCCCGTTCGACGGGCCATGGGTGGATGTTGGTCTTATCTGTCTGCTGGGCCTAATCAGAACCTGGCGAACACTGCTACTAGACCCCGTCGGAGGAGGCTAGAGGGAACCACATCTGGTTTGCGAAATGAGATAACCAGGACTGATCATGGCAGTAACGAGCAGCGACCGCCCGTCCCACAGACTGATGCGAGAACAGAGATACATCCTATTGCTCAGCCAGAGCAGGGTTCCGTACCTGAGTTCCAGCCGACAGCCACAAGAAACCTGAGAAGCCCGTCCATCATAGACTTAGACGGATTCCATCCCGCGACAACCCACAGGGGATTACTTCCGTGCAACGATGGGCAGATGTCGCGAACAGTTTCTCCTGCCCCGGTTGAAGAAGATGCGAGGGAAGAGACTGATAGCATGACAATCACGCCTCCTACTTCAGATGTTCCCCTTACACATGCTTCACAGGATTCTGAGGGCGAAGAACTAACGAACGATGATCATTGGGAAGGAAGTGAAGACGAAGATGATATGGAATTGGACGAAATGGTACTTGTCCCATGCTCTTCGAGCTGATCCAGTCAGAATCGTATCAAGTCGCTCAATCGTGCAGTCGGTGCTTCTTAGTACATAATCCACGTCTAACGAAATTATGATTCACTCTCTTGAAAACCTTCGTTCCTTTTCATGTATTCCTTTTCCTGCTGTTTTTCATCTGTATTGAAGGTGTCATGGGCCGGGAGTTTGATTTTCGGGAGGTTAACATGGATCTAAAAGAATGAATTTTGATCAGGTTCAACGGAATTAGCAATATGTATCATGAGCAATGTCAAGAAGAATGACCAACTAATACTCTTCCTTCCCCGTAAGGTCATTATGATATCTGGCCGAAAGTATTCGATATATTACAATTTATTCAAAGGTATCAACCGTATCAACTAAACTATCAGTGCCCCTTAGACCATTGCCATATAGCTACAAGAGACCCCAAATCGTACCGTCGACAATTGAGATAGTAAGCAATGGTGCCATGTATGAAGGCGATCCACCGATCTGCCGCCAGCTGCATGTTCTCAGTGTCCTCCTTCTCCTCCGGCTCCCCATGATCATTCGCCAGTCCATTCACCTCTCTCCTCCGAGCGAATTCCTCCGCACAGTCTACGAAAGCCTTGTCGAGAGAAAATATCGTGTCCACTTTCAGTTGCAGTAAATCATAGAGGGTATCCCGGAACGTCCACAGTCCTCCGGATGCCCCGAATCGCGATTTCGCGCCCCCTTGTCGTTTTGCCCGCGTCATCAGCGACACGTAGTTGTCGTTTTCACCTGCCAGGGTCTCCTTCGAGCAGCTGAGCAGGTCGTTCACCGTGCAGATGAATCGGTTCAGGTGCGGGATGGCAGAGATCCAATATCGGACGGGGACTTCTCGCTCGTCCGAGACTCTGAAAAGGGCTGGTAAGCATGTTGCCGGGAATCCTGTTTGCTCGCGCAGGTATCCAGGGAATTGCTCAGCGCAGTTTACACTGCAGCTGCCACCACCACCGGGGGTATATTTTGTGTTCTTTGGCAAGGGATGATCTGCTAGGTGGAACGGCAAGGCCTGGGTCATTCGATCTTCCATCGTACATGCCCCGACGTAATTCGACCAGGCCACGGCCCCCAGATTGCCGGCCCAAGGATCATGAGCACTGAAGTACTCAGCATAGACCTTCAGGAAGCGACTGAACATCGCACACCATTTGTTCTTCGGCGGCGAGCCTTTCCAGATGTTCAGCGCAAAGTCCTCCATGTCCTTGACGCTCGAGTCCAGCGACGCGTCGTCGATGGTGAACGCCGCTACGCACCCCATCGCCGCTTTCACTTTGGTGTCGTGTGACGCGAGTGGATAGAAGTACTCAGATACCTCGGCGGAGAAATCAATCAGCCCCGTGAACCCGTCTTCGTCGGTTTGCACGAGCGGACGGATCTCTTCTTCGGCCCATTGGCGGAGACTTGTGCGTAAGGCAGCATCGTACTCGACTCGGTGTTCGTAGTCGACTGCATTGAGAAACCAGAGGTGCACGAGTTGAAGGCGATTGGCGATTCCTCGGCGGCTTTTAGGGTCGATATGCTCGATGTTGTGGAAGTCGAAACAGTCGAATAGACTGTTCGATAAGAATTGATGAGCGGTCATTGTGCGCTTTGTCCTGCCATTCAACTAGGACGTATCTGGAATGGTCCTTTTATTTTGGTTGATGGAAGAGAACCCGGTCTCTGGGAAGTTGGTTTTGGACCTTATTTGTACCCATCTCTGGGCGAGTGCCATTTCTTAGGATAACGACCTAGAAGGCGACAATTTCATGCATTCTCTCGGCCTGCAAGAAAAACGTAGACCATTATGGAGAAAGTCAGCGGCATACAAGGCTGAGTTTCACCCAGCGACCAGTGAGATCCGTCCTGGGGTAAATCCAAGTCTTTACAAGCAGTGGTCGGGTTAAGCTTGAATTTGGCCAGCGCGTCATCTGTGACCGGATCTGGAGAGCAAGGTTTCGAATAAGCTGGAAACTTCGAGGCAATCCCTGCTACACTTCCAAAGTCAATCGGATGATGGACTGCCAATATATGGTGCGCATCCACATGCTACCAGCGAGGGCACGGTCGAAGGCAGAAATCCGCTAGAACACAAGGCTTTGCCGCTCTGTGACTGACTCCAGATAGGAGCAGATACGTCCATCTGCCGTGCTTCCCTGCGAGGATCCTTTTAGGGTCTTTGTACTAGTATGCTCCGAGAGTGATACGATTGGGTTAGCATGATATAGTAGGGAGTAATCATCTGCCAGGTGCATTGCCATTATGATAATACTGTCCACATTCGTAAGAGTGTTTCACGGCGTGTTTTAGCATTTCCAGCTCTGATGGATGGTCTCTTCAAGCAATTGACTCCCACGCGATGAAAAGATGTAGCAATGAAGGAACGAAGGAAGAAGCGGAAGTGGAGGAAACGGAGTTCAATCTAAAAGTGGTCCGTGCGTCGAACGCGAAAAACCGCGTCGGCGGCGACAAAGACTTGCGTCAAACGCGATCCGCATCAACGGTTTCACTTGCATCGCTCTGAGCGAACCATTCCACTCTTGGCACTGGCGTCATCCGTCTGTCCTTTGTTGCTAGTTTCTTACCATTGCGCTGCAGGTCCTTTGTATAGGATTTGGGTGGGTGACCGATCTACGCCACCCAGAAGGGTTTTTCACCAGCCCCTGCTAACACCCTCCTAACTAGACCTTGCATTGCTAGTTATGCGGATCTAGACTTGTCTCCGGAAATCCGATCTCATGTCTAATCCCGACACGCCGATTACCCTGGCGGAGTCCCAGGGCGAAAGTGCCCTGCGCCAGGACTCCACGCAACCTTCGTCGCCAGCGACTGACGCCGGCGAAAGGGACACCAAGCCCACATCGGACGAAAAGATGGACGCTCCTGAAGATTCCGAGGAGATGGACTCCGGGTCGAAAGCGCTAATGACCCTTTTGAAATCCAGTGAAGTGCGTTCATCCCCCAAACCATGTCGCCATTGAGGAAGCCGGAGGTTGAGTTGCTGATCGTTGCTCTCACATGTGACTTTAGGTCTTTGTAGCTATCATGGCCGATCGAATGAAGGAACAGCAGGAACAAGCGCGACTCGAAGCGGCGAAGCAACAGAAGCCGCAAACCTCGGAGACGAAAAAGAAACCCGCTACCTCCAAGGAACCCACCCAAAAGCGCGAGACGCGCACAAGTGCGCGGCGGAGTACGACGAACGAGATGGCGCCTGCCGAGAAGACAGAAACCGATGAACAGACAGAGCAAAGGCCGAAAAGAGGGCGAGGCAGGAAGGCCGCCCCTGCGAACGGCAATGCTATTTCGAACTACTTCAAGAAAGCGGATGTGAAAGTGTCGGAAGATAACCCTACGGTGAAGGAGGCTCTGGAACATGCTGCAGATGAGTATGAAGCGAATCCCACGGCTTTGGGCGGACAGGAACTTGTTGCCACACAGCAGCCGGACTTGGTGACGGGAGGTAAGATGAGAAAGTATCAATTGGAGGGATTGGAATGGCTCAAGTCCCTTTGGATGAACGGCTTGTGCGGAATTTTGGCGGACGAGATGGGTCTTGGTAAAACTGTCCAGGCCATTTCTCTGATTGCCTTCTTCAAGGAGAAGAAGATCTCCGGGCCCTTTTTGATCTCTGCGCCGCTCAGTACTGTGAGCAACTGGGTGGATGAATTTGCAAGGTGGACTCCTGATATCAAGACTGTGCTATATCATGGCAGCAAAGACGAGCGTGCAAAGCTCCGGAGGAAGCTGATGAACCCGAGGAATCAGAGAGACATGGATTTCCCGGTGGTTTGTACCTCCTATGAAATATCCATGAATGATCGGAAATTTCTCTCGCAATACCAATGGCGTTACATCATTGTGGTATGTACTGAAGGACTCAACAACAAGACCGGTTGCTAAGCACAAAACAGGATGAGGGCCACCGTCTGAAGAATATGAACTGCCGGCTCATCAAAGAGCTGCTCACCTACAACTCCGCGAACAGACTACTGATCACCGGCACGCCTTTGCAGAACAATATAACCGAGCTGTGGTCGCTGCTGCATTTCTTATTGCCCGAGATTTTCAACGATCTCAACAGTTTCCAGAGTTGGTTTGACTTCTCCTCAATGCTGGACAATAGTGGTCAGACGGATGTCGTCGAGCGACGAAAGCGCAATCTGGTCTCCACGATGCATTCCATCCTAAAGCCCTTCCTTCTGAGGCGCGTCAAAACGGATGTCGAAAACTCTCTGCCCAAGAAACGCGAATATATTCTATACGCACCTCTCACGGCTGAGCAGAAGGATCTGTACCGAGAGATCTTGAATGGCACAGGGCGTCAATACCTCGAGGATAAAGCCCGCGAAAGATTGTTTGCTCGGAATGAGAGACTGTCGCGCTCAGGAAGCGTGAAACGTAGCGCTGATAGCAGCGGTTACACCACTCCCAGTAAGAGCTTAAAGTCGAGTCGCGGTTCTACTCCTGCCAGTGCAACCGGATCTACTCGTAGAAACCGAGGGCCGCAGACCTACAAAGAACTGAGTGACCGTGAGTTCAATGCGAAACTAAAGAGACTCGAGCAGGGCATCGAAGATGATCTGGATATCGAAGGCCCGGGTGAGAGCGAGGAAGAAGAGATCGAACGAGCGAAGACGATCAAGCTCGCAAGTAAGTCGCGCTCCCCAGACATTCACAATCAGATCCTAACGTACCCACCCAATTCAGAGAAAGAGATTGCGCAGAAGAAGATGCAAAACCCCGTCTTGCAAGCACGTCTAGCATGCAACTCCCCGCACAACTTCTACTGGCCCTGGGAAGATGGACCTATCGACAAATCGCTTGTCACTGCTTCGGGAAAAATGCTTCTTCTAGACCGCCTAGTGCCCTGTCTTCTCAAAAAGGGCCACAAAATCCTCATCTTCTCCCAATTCAAGACCCAACTAGATCTGCTCCAGGACTGGGCCACCCAGCTTCACTCCTGGCACTGCTGTCGCATCGACGGCGCCATCAGCCAGATTGACCGCCAGGCCCAGATCAAGGCTTTCAACACCGATCCTCGATACAAGCTCTTCTTGCTCAGCACGCGTGCCGGCGGTCAGGGCATCAACCTGACGGCCGCAGACACCGTCATCCTATATGATTCCGACTGGAACCCGCAGCAGGATCTCCAGGCCCAGGACCGGGCCCATCGCATCGGACAGACCAAGCCCGTGATCGTCTACCGGTTCGCAACGAAGGGAACCGTCGAACAGACTCTGCTTGAGAAAGCCGACTCGAAACGCCGCCTGGAAAAGCTCGTCATCCAGAAGGGTAAGTTCAAGAACCTTCTGGATAGCGGCGCAGGCATGAACCAGAACGACGTCGACGATCTCAGAAAGGCCCTTGGGGAAGACGAATACGAACTCTTCGAAGCGGGTGCCGACTCTTCCACGCTGCTGTCCCAAAAGGACCTTGACATTTTGACCGATCGCAGCGAAGAGGCGTATGTGCGTGCTGAGAAGGGCCTGGACCAGAGCGGACCGGCGTTCCTGGCCGTGGAAACGAAAAGAGATGGTGGCCTAATGGCTCAGATCGCTGGGAAGTGAATTGACCAATATAATTCCTTCAATTGTCGTCGCATCATAGACACGCCCTGCATTAATCGAGAAGATAGAAACCTGGTTGGAAAGGAGTTTGTTGGCGCCGATGTTTGGAGTACTGCTATATGTGATTTTTGAGCCTGCTGGAATCTTGTTTTATGTTTTTCTGGAGGATATTATGTACTGTACATTAGAAGTGTCTGCCCTGATATGTAAAAGAAACAGGAGCAGATGGGGTGAATCCTCTAATCAATTTAAATCATTCAAAATAAGAAAAGACATGAGAACATCCATTTAGCGCCTGATGCTCCTCGCCAAAGAAATGGCTATACACAAAATGACAAGCGTCATAAGCAGAGACAGACTCCCACGAAGCAAGAAAAGTGGGAAGGGAATGGGAAATATGGGATACAGGAACCAAAAAAAGGATTGGGGGTAAGGAATTCCAAATGATGCTCTACCGAGATACTCGTTCCTCCTCAACCTGTCGTCGCAAGTCGGCGAGGGCCTCTTTCCGTTGAGCAAGGTGGCTCTTTAGCCCTTCAACCTGCTCTCCAACGGCTTTGACATCTTCCCCGAGCCGTTCCACGTTTTGACCTTCTTTGGACCGGCCCGTGCCTTCACGCAGCTCCCGTAGCTCGCGCTCCTTGTACTCCAATAGCTGCAGGGCCTCCTTCTTGATCAGAACCCAGTTGGGTCGACCATCGTTCCTGGGCTGGTCCCTTCGTCCTTCCGATGCCTTTCTAGCGGAGTCAAGCTTGGACTCGATCTCCGCGAGCTCGCGCCTCAATCGGACCCTCTCCCATTCCTCGTCCTGAATTGTTTCGCTAAAATCCGTTCCCTTGGGGGTGTAGGACGTTTTGCCGCCCGCGCCCAGTCGGCTCAGGTACGTATCACCAAACTTGGCTTTCCGGCCAGAGCGTGTCTCCGTTTCTCCGTTCGAGCCCCATTTCTGCGACGGACGCGCATTGTCAAGTTGGTAGTCGATCTTATTGTTCTCGAACGAGGCGCGCAAAGAAGCCGGGATGGAGCGGGGAATGCGGACTCCCTCATGTCGATAGTTTAGGATGTGTAGGAAGGCAAGGGTGGCATCTTTATTGATCGACGACGACGCGGAGGGGTTCACCAGGTTCCATGCGGAGCGGATATCAGTATCGGGGACATCGAGAGAATCGTATAGGGGTTGTAATGATTCGACTAGACAAGACAAGGAAGGTCATGGTCAGCTATTGGGAAGGTGTCAAAAATAGGGGTGTATCGAATGCGGTGACGTACATGCGATTTCCCCGCGGTGGTTCTTGTTGGCGGAGTAGATTTCTTCGTACTTGGTCTTATCAGCTGGGTTCATGTACCAGTCAAACCCATCTTTAAGACCCGGCGTTTCATCTTCATCTTCTATCCGTTCGAACTGCTCCTGGCTCCCTAGAGCACGGGTAGCGTGGACGAGATGGGCCTTGGATTCGGGGACGAGCCAATCAGGCAAGACGGCGGGGACATTTTGAAGTTCCTTTTAAGACATTAACACTCAGCATATTCGGTCCGTATTCGGTGGATGACAAAGAAAACAAAAGTGTTTGCGAGTGAACAGTAACTCGAATCGCCATGTACTTGGTCGGGGCGGAGCGGGAATCTACTCCGGAGTAGCAGTAGGGGGGTGACATACGCCGTTGACAACGTCAAAGATCAATCGCATGGCAACACAGAACTCTTCAAAATCCAATTCGCCGTCGCCGTCGACATCAGCCAGATCCCAGACCTTTTCCAGTTGCTCATCGCGAAGCCGACTGTTCCTGAGCACCGAGGCCGCTTGGGAGTTGTTCAAACGCGGCTGGCCATTGGCTAGTGATGCGAAGATCTCCCAGTATCGTTCGATTTCCCACTGCTCGATTTTCTTGGTTGACATTGTGAAATTGGCGTGTCGGCTGCCGTTCTTGCGCGGTGAATCTACTCCAACAGTGAGATGCGGGAGAGGAGGAGGCCGTAATGGGGGGTGTTCGTGATGATGGAGGTGTTCAGTCAGGTGTGCATTTAACCGTTTCGGGCAGCCCGCAGTAGGCATCATCGGATCAATGATGGCCCGGTCCGTGATATACTTGGGAGTTGCGATGATTATGGAGTATTGATAAATTGATTTGCAATTGGTGTATAATACATGGCCCGATCATTTACGACTCTACGCTTGCACGGGCGGAAGTGGAGGATTTACCTTGTATGTGTCAAGTCCGTTGCCAGCCGTTCAAGTCAGGGGAATGCGACTGCTCCTGAGCAGATGGAGACTATTCATACCTCCTTCTTTGAAGATTCTTCTTCCTCTTTCTTCTTCTGTATCCGCAACTGCTCTTCGACCTGTACAATGGCCCGTTCTGCTTCCAGGGCCAGCTCCGGGGCATCCAGGATCGTTGCCAATTTCTTGGCATCGGTCATGCGGAGTAGAAGTGTGTCTTTGCTGTTTTCCACATCCTCCACCATCTGAGGAATGGGCTTTCCGACAGGGATATTTTCTAATGCGCGCGAGACTCTCTTCGCGTACAACTGTTCAAGCGCGGGGTAAGAGACCGGTTTTAGCAAGTTCTTCTCAACCAGGAACTCCAGGTGTCTAGAGCCATTCAATGCTTTTTGGTCCGTTAGCTTACAATGTAGAGGGAAGCCAAATTATAGAGGTCGACATACCTCGCCAATGCGACCAGCCTCGATACGCAAGGTAAAAGAAGGGGACATTAGGTATTCTAGAAGCACCCCGAACATTCACCGGTTAGCCATCATAGTATCCGAGAGATAGACAGCGCAATCATATGGGAATCTTTCACACGTACAGAGGAATCAATCCAATCGGGGCCGTTATAGGGGCTGCAAGAAAGCTCCACCACATTTTCTTGCGATGCAGATCTTGCCGTTCAGTGGCAATAGCCCGCAATATTGTCTGAAGCTTTTCCTCCTTGATCGCATTGCCCGGGAACAGCACATCCACCTGCTTCGACCCATGCGACGGGTCGAGTCGCTGTTGGGCATTGAGAGAAGGGATACTCTTGAGTCCCCATTCTTCAAAGGGGATCCGCTGCTGGACACGATTGCCCCAGGAGACGAGATGTTTTTTCCAGCCTTTATCGGCTTCTTCCCATTTAGCCCAGGTCTGGGCGACCTTGCTTGTGATCCGATCGGTCAGGGAAATTTTCTTCGAGACTTCCTTGCTGAAGGTTCGCGAATAGATAAGAGCTCGTCGAGTCGAGATCGGGATGATGAAGAGTCGCATAGCGACGAAAGACCCTTGGTTCCCCCCTTGATTCTGTCTGGTATTGTTATACTTCTTTTTCTTCTGCTTTAATCCGGAAGTTGGAGTCGATAGCGTTTGGGAGGTAAGCAGACGGAGAAAACAGGTAGGTAGGGATTGTTGGCTAGGGAGAACTATCGATCGACTAGACGAAACAACCGATTGAAGAAAGCGTACGAAAGAAACATTCCTCCTTGATGAGTACGGAGCAACTCCAAGGTCCTATGATGAGGGGGTGGTGTCGCTCTCTGCGGTCGTCTCTTCTGCCTTGATAATAGTAGTGTGGATGTGGATATTCCGTCGTCCGTGAACTGAGAGACGTCATTCTGCTTGGATTTATTACGGGTACAATACATGTATTACTTCCCCATTTTGTATGAAAGTGTCCACGATCTGAGGGGTAAAATACGGTATGGTCTGGGAAAGGTCGCAGGTACGCCGGAATGGGCGCGGGTTATCACAAGCCAGCAAGTACCAGCTACCTCCGTCCTCTCCTCGAAACTTAAGCTTCCAGATTCATTTTAACCTCCGAGTCTCTCCTCATGTTTGTCGCCCGTTCCTTGCCTGAAATTTCAATCTCGGCGTCGCACCATTCTCAAAAGGTTCCAAGTTCGACCCAGTTTCCAGAGAAACCCTGTACCCCCTCCGCCTAAAAGGGAAAGGAAATGAGGCGATGCAGACTGGATCCGTCCGATCTCTCCCACAACTTCCGACAGCCCGACGCAATCTTACCCGGAACCACCTTTGAACTTTGAGAGGCAATGGCACAGGATGTGGACCATTCGCTTCTCCAGTCTCCAGATTCCCAACCTTCTTTAGATAATCGACCGTCGGGGATTCCGTCTCCTGCAAAATGGACCTCGGAACAGTCCGCCCTCGCTCTGAACGGGCAACACGGCGATCGCCTGCCCACGGAGCCTTTTCCAAATGGTACGATGGACCAGCTCTCTAGCATGTCGCAAATTCCGGAGGAATCGGAAATGGAAAACGGGGTGGTTCATCCGCAACAACAGCAACCACAGCAACAGAAAGCGTCGAGGACCCTTCCCGGTAGGTCAATCCAATTGAGAAAGGAACCCCCTCTCTGCACGAAGCGCTTACCGATGTCGATGCCCTGGCAGCTTGGATTCGGTCTGTCGAGTACCCGGAAGATGAAACAGAGGCTTCTGTCACGTCGCGTTTATTGCCTTCGAGCCCCCATGAAGCCGTCGTTGCGCAGCACAATCATTCGCCTCATGCGACTAGACGGCCGGACCCTCCATTCGCAGATCGAGGCGATTTAGAGGATGGACGTGCTATATCCCCTCGTCGCGAATCGCGCTGGATGAATTTTTCGAAATCAATAGCTTATCCCCGCGAGCCTGGTGTGGAAGAGAAGTCTGTGACGCCCGAATGGCTGAACGAAAACCATGGCGATTACTCGCAGCCCTGGCGCGGACAGCGCGCGTCATGGGAATGCGAAGACACTGAAGATCCGTTGAGAAAGAAACGGCGCAGGGAAATCTGGTTCAAGCGCTTCCACAACACTCTTCTGAAGAGCCCGATCGTCCCGCTCATCTTCCGGCTCACCGTGTGGTGTTTCTCCCTCACTGCTCTGGCCCTTGGCGGCTCGATCCAGCATTTGTCCCAGGAATACGTCCATCCCCAGGGCCCTTCCGCGTTGATGGCCATCATCGTCGACGCGGTCGCTCTGGTCTACCTCGTTTACATCACCTGGGACGAATATACGGCTAAACCACTGGGTCTACGTTCCCCCTCGGCCAAAGCACGGCTTGTTCTCTTGGATATCTTCTTCATCGTCTTCGATTCGGCCAACTTGAGTTTGGCGTTCGAGTCCTTGTCGACTATCAGTGGCGCCTGTACCGTTGGAGAGATCAACCAAGAGATCACTCCTAAGAATGATCTGATATGCGACCGACAGATAGCCCTCGCATCTGTGTTGTTGATTGCTTTATTGGCATGGCTTACAACATTTGCTATTAGCGTCCTCAGGTAGGATTCCAACTCATATTTTCTCCCAACCGCGATGCTAACTATTGCCTCCTAAATAGACTGGTAGATCGCGCGGCCAACTAGACGTCATTTTTGTTTACTGTGTTGGTCTGCCTCGCAGGGCTCGGTCTTTCCTTAATATTCTATTCTTTCTTTGCCCTTTCTTTTGGTTGCCCTTTTCTTAGTACATGACTTGTTTTCTCTTTGTGATACCTACTATTTTCTCTGTTTTTGCTTTTCTTTCTTTTTCTTTTTTTTTTTTTTTTTTTTTTTGTCCGTTGGTGCTGGGGTCACTGGTAATGTTTTGGATACTGCGCTATGAGCTTGCAATTTCAACCCAATGTACAAGTACTATATCAAAATACACGTTGGAATAGAAGGAGAGCGCCGTCGTACTAAGCATGCGTCACCGGGCCATCGGATCCAAACAACGGATCCCTCTGGAACCAATCCAACGCTTGGATATTGCGAGCTTTGTCTTCCTCGCCTGGCTGCCCGTAGCACATGTCCCATTCTTTGCCCCGGGGGTAGGCCCCAACCATCGTGAACTCCCGTCCATTCCCAATATCTTCAAGCAATCGATGGCCCACGCCAGCGGGGACGATGATTAAATCGCCTTTTTCGACGGTCGGCTCGAAGCGATCCGGATTCCTTTCTCCGCCGAAACAAAGGCGAGCGCGGCCGTCGACAACGCCCAAAACCTCGTGGGTTGTGCTGTGATAGTGGGTTTGTCTGTACATGCTATAGACCCACTGTGGCATGACTTCGCCGACCTCCTCGAACCGAGCGGCGAGGTCACTGGACGATGCATTGAAGGCTTGATGGTAAATCATGAGGGGTTTGGAGTGAATGGAAGTGTTAGGGATATGGTCCCATCGGGGAATCTGACGGGACGTGACCTTGATATCAGCTGGAGAAATGAAGGGCATGACGGGTTTCCCGCAGTCAAATCAGGGTAGAAGATGGAGTACTTTCGAGATTGAAGCTGGTCAGCCCGAGGCTCTGGGCATCTCGCGGTCTCGTCAAGGGATGTATATCATGACGTCATTGTTCGGATGGGCTCAGGCGGTTGGACAAGAATGGACTGTTTTTTCCCTGCTGGGGGCTTCCGGCGATTCAAGATTGGCTCTAGAAGATTGCTTGGAGCATGGACCTGAAACCGATGGATTGTGGGCCCTGTAGTTAATACTCAGTAAATACTCCGTACTTCTTTGAGTAGAGCGTAGATTATGGGGGGGGGATTCGGCGCGTCGCTGCTTGCGGACAAAACATCACCGACCAACGCTGCACTACTGTAGTTCCACCGCGAAAGGGGTGAAAGAGAGAGGAGCAACAGTACTGACTGCTCCCCACAGACATTCCGATACCTTCTTCATTCCAGATCAGATGCCGATCCGATCCCTCACGAGACGAAGGCAGGCCGGGCCATGGAGCTGCCTGACCGCCTGCCGCAACGGGCAGCCAGCCTCCCCCACGGCGACCGCCCAACGCAACGCCTTCGCCTTTTCGTTTCCTCCTCTCATCCTCTCACTCCGACCCTCTCGAGCCCTCCGTCTCAGTCTCGGGTCTTGCGTTTGAAAGTGCTGTCCGGCGGTCTTCCTGGTCCGTCTGTTCGTCTGTCTCTTCTGTCGTTCCTGTGCCCAGTCTCCTTCCCTTCCCATCGATCGTAAGGTTACCTAGTACTAGCCTTGCGAATCATCGCCGCCGCTGCCTTAACCGCCCACCGCCGAACTTGAAGGGCTGTTGTCTTAGCAAAGCTCAGCTCCATACGTACGTTGAATTCTGGTGCCTGCTGTTGTTTGTCTCTTCGTCTCCCCCTCCTGTCCTGTCAAATCCCCAAGTTCGCCTTCGCGGCGTGTCCATTCTCCACCCCCCCCCCCCCCCCCCCCCCCCGGGGCCATAACTCATCTTCGGCGCTAACACTGTATCGCTTGACAGTCGTGGTCTCATCTCCGGCATACGCGCCCATAAAATCAATATGCCTCCTTTGATCCCGCAGACGCCTCACAAGGACGATCTTGATGAAACGTGGGTTTAATCGATTCCAGGAACGCCGTAACTCGAGGTGATCGAGCGCGGTTCCGTCATTGAAATAATACTTACGTCGCGTAGATGGACGTTCTTGGAAAAGGGCATCGACAGCGTGATGCTGAAGTTGGAGGACGGGGTGGATATGAAGACTGTAAGTGTGGCAACACCCTTCGTTCAGTTCTTTGTCAAATACCCGAATGTCTGGTGACCATGCTAACGTTTCTGGCTTCCCTGCTTAGTACATGGCCTTATATACGTACGTTGCAAGCTTCCATATCAAACACTTGCCATGGTTCTCAGCCGTTTACTAAACCGATCACAGCGCGGTTCATAACTTTTGCACGTCGCAAAAGGCAGTCGGAGGTAACCCGAGCTTAAACGCACACCGTGGTGGTACGTTCGTTCCCCTTCTTCTCCACATATCCATCATTTCTTGAAAGCCCGCGTGGTCTGGCTAACTCAATCAGCAGCACACCTACTAGGTGAGGAGCTGTACAAGCTGCTAGGGGAATACCTTTCGCGTCACCTCGATGCGGTCCATAATGAATCCCAAGGTCATACCGAAGAAGCGCTGCTTGCCTTCTACATCCGCGAATGGTCTCGTTATACGACTGCGGCCAAGTACATAAACCACCTTTTCAGATACCTCAACCGTCACTGGGTAAAACGGGAAATTGATGAGGGCAAAAAGAACGTATACGACGTTTATACTCTGCACTTGGTCAAGTGGAAGGATGATTTCTTCCTCAAGGTTCACGACAAGGTTATGGAAGCAGTCTTGAATCTCGTCGAAAAGCAGCGGAACGGCGAGACCATCGAACAATCTCAGATCAAGAGTATCGTCGATTCATTCGTTTCGTTGGGTCTGGACGAGAATGACAGTACCAAGTCCACCTTGGAAGTCTACCGCTTCTATTTCGAACGGCCGTTCATCACCGCCACAAGAAACTACTACGAAAACGAGTCCCGGCAATTCGTGGCAGAGAACAGTGTGGTTGAATACATGAAGAAGGCAGAAACCCGTCTTGACGAGGAAAAAGCCCGTGTTGGCTTGTACCTGCACCCCGATATTTCCAAGCATCTCACGGATACATGCTTGGACGTCCTTGTCACTGCTCATTCCGAGCTTCTCCGGGACGAGTTTCAGGTTCTTCTGGATAATGAGCGCCAGGACGACCTGGCCCGTATGTACCGACTCTTGTCACGCATCAAAGAAGGTCTGGACCCTTTGCGAACGAAATTCGAGACGCATGTCAGGAAGGCTGGCCTTGCTGCGGTCGAGAAGGTTGCGGCGGAAGGCGAGGCGTTTGAGCCCAAGATGTATGTGGATGCGTTGTTGCAGGTTCACACCAGGTACCAAAGTCTGGTGAACGAGGCTTTCAACGGCGAGTCCGAGTTTGTCCGATCTTTGGACAACGCGTGCCGAGAGTTCGTCAACCGTAATAAGATCTGTGCCTCCAGTTCGACGAAGTCGCCGGAGCTGCTGGCCAAGTACACCGACTCATTGCTCAAGAAGGGGTCAAGAGCTGCCGAAGAGTCGGAGGTCGAAGAGATGCTGGTACAAATCATGACTGTCTTCAAGTACATTGAAGATAAGGATGTGTTCCAGAAATTCTACTCCAAAATGCTGGCCAAGCGATTGGTACATGTCAGCTCGGTGTCGGACGATGCGGAAACCAGTATGATCAGCAAACTCAAGGAAGCCTGCGGTTTCGAATATACGAATAAGCTGCAGCGTATGTTCCAGGACATTCAAATTTCGAAGGACCTCAACGCCAGCTACAAGGACTGGCAGGAGAGGGCACTGGACGACGACGATCGGAAGAGGCTGGTCGATACCCATTTCCAGATCCTAGGAACTGGATTCTGGCCCCTTCAGGCACCCTCGACGGACTTCTTAGCACCGCCGGAAATTGTCAAGACTGCCGAACGCTTCCAAAGCTTTTATTTCGACAAGCACAACGGTCGCAAGTTGACTTGGCTTTGGCAATTGTGCAAGGGTGAAATCAAGACGAATTACATCAAGAACACCAAAGTTCCCTACACTTTCCAGGTGTCAACCTTCCAAATGGGTATCCTATTGCTGTTCAACGAAAATGATACTCTAGAATATTCCGATATTCAAAAGGCCACGTCTCTCGCCCCGGAAATCCTCGAGCCAAACTTGGGTATCCTCCTCAAGGCCAAAGTTCTTATCATTGGCCCAGAGGGTTCCAAACCGGGACCTGGGACGACATTCTCCTTGAACTACAACTTCAAGCACAAGAAGATCAAAGTGAACCTAAACATTCAGATCAAGTCCGAGCAGAAGGTCGAATCGGACGACACGCACAAGACGATAGAGGAGGACCGTAAGCTGCTGCTTCAGGTACGTTTGACCATCTGCATCCCTCAGAATCACATAATTCTAACTGGTTCCGTCTCAACAGTCTGCCATCGTTCGTATTATGAAATCGCGAAAGAAGATGCGACACGTCCAGCTCGTCCAAGAGGTGATCCAGCAAGTGAAATCCCGCTTCCCCCCCAAGGTTCCCGACATCAAGAAAAATATCGAGGCTCTCATGGAGAAGGACTATATAGAGCGTTTGGATGGCGACGAAATAGCCTACATTGCATAATCTTCCCTACTTCTACCCCCAACCTCCCTCCGATTTCTTCCTATACACTATCTTATTCATTCCATCCATCCAGCCTTTGGTCTCTCACATCAACTTGTGTTAGCGTCAGTTTTCATGGTTTCTTTTTTACCTTTTGCCAAAACCTCTCATACTTGTTTATTTTCTTCTCCATCCATTTCCAATTTAGTCCTTCATGCTTCTCTCACTCTCACTCCTGCGACGAAATTCAACGCCTTCCATATAGGAGAAACCGGATTTCCTGGTATCACTTTTCCTCTTTCGCTTTTTTTTTTCTTCTCTCTAATCTTAGCGCTAATGAGGACAAACGATAACCCAATCTATCAATCAAAAATGAACTCGTTTTGTTGGACTTTTTTTTTTCTTCTTCTCTCTAATCTTAGCGCTAATGAGGACAAACGATAACCCAATCTATCAATCAAAAATGAACTCGTTTTGTTGGACTTTTTTTTTTCCCAAGTTATTATATCTTCCCAGGGTTTGTTCTATTCGTTTAATTCTTCCATCTGACATGAAAAAGAGATACTATTTTACCATAGAAGTTATCAAGGAACGATGACCGACCGGTCTTTGAAGAAGTAGATTGATTATCAATTAATTGCTTGATTCTTGACTGTATATGTGATCATCACGATCTAAAACATGCTAAGTGAGCAGGTAGTAATAAAAATATGCCACAGGCTGTTGCCCTGGAAGAGAACAATAAGGATCCCAATGTCAGATATATGCGTTATGTAGATCGACAATATGACAGGCGTTATATAAAAAAAGATGTTAATCAAATACAAGGATGAAAGTGAAAGAACAAAATGAAAAGGAAAGTGTACAGGCTTGGTCCTCCCTTGGGGTATCAAGGCCCCCTAAGAAAAAAGAAAGGGCGTAAACAGAGGGACGGACAAGAAGAGTCGACCACAAACAGACCATCGTTCATGGGAAGTTAGTATGCATATTAGAATTAGTTGGTACAGAGATCTTTTCGTCAAAGCAGCCATCACGTCGTGTCCAGTACAGCTGAAGGGGAAAGGGAAATAAGGAGCCGTTTCATTGTGCTTTGGATGAAGAACTACCGAGCCAATTTCTTATTTGTTGGCAGATGCGCTGGGGTCCTCCACAGGTTCTTCGTTGATGGTTCGCTGCTGGGGAAGCGAATCACTGCCAGCTTTGCTTTGACCCTCGGGGGCGTCCTTGGAGGCATCGGTAAGATTTCTCTGGATGGCTGGGGCCGATTTCGGCTCCTCTTCAGGAATCTGAGTTGTCGTGAGATCGTTCGCTTTGGGCTCCGGCTGGGTTGTGGACTCGCTAGCTCGCAGGTCTGCCGGATCTGGGATGTCGTCGCCGAGAATAGAGGCCTCTCTTGACAAGGGAGATCTCGGGTAGACGGTTTCACTATCGTTGTTTTCACTACTTGCGTCATCCTTTTTCTGCGAGGAGGATCCGAACTCCCCGCTCTCTCGTCTGAGAAGTATGTTGCTCCATCTCTTTCGTCGGCTTCCGCTACGGGACAAGGAATGAGAATCCTCACTGCGTTGTGCTTGCATAGACTCCCGTCTTCCTCGTTCGGCATCAGTGGTCTCCGTTGCGCTGGCTAATGTGGTCGTTGATGGGGACTTGATCGAGGCCGGAGAGGACGGAGAGGACGGTGAAGGTTTCTTCTCCTGCCACTCCTTCCGCTTCTCGCTGGCCCATGTTGTCCACGAATTGAGATATGCGCCTGCGCGCTGACCCACTGCACTAACAGATGTCTGGGCCTGCGTGACATCCACAGGGGGGCCTTTGCGGCCGGCAAACCAAGACGAGCCACTGGTGGAAGTAACCGACGCTGTATCGGAGGGCGAAAATGGCGGTGAGGAGCCTTTATCGATTGAGGATCGCTGCGATTGGGGTGCCTTCTCCTCGGTTTTTTTCCGTTGTGCTTCCCGCATCGACTCAATGTCATTCCAAAAGCTATTGAATGCGGCGCTCACTTTCTTCTGGCCCGCGCCCAGATGCCTGTTGAAAGCTTCACGGCCTTCTCGCACTCGCTCATCAAGGTGAAGATCGGCGACTTGTTGCGATAGCCGACGTTGGACGTCGTCAATCGTCAGGCCGCCTGCACATGGATGGCGGGGCTCAACGATCGAGAATAAGAGCGCGTCAGAAGTCAAACGTTTGAATAGGGCATAATTCGGGGTGTTTTGCCACAGCGTCAGGAACTCGGAGTTAAATTCCAAGGCCGGATCGCCCTCGATGTTGAATGCCTCCAGCTGGGCTCTGCTCTTATGGCCTGGATCCCCAGCATTAAAAGAATTCAAATCTTCGTGATATTTCATGCAAGCAAGCAATGCAAGCAGATATTCTTCAAACTGGAGTCGGATAAATTCTTCGGACCCCATGTACCCGTGGGTCTTTGGCTGCTGCGGGTGCGCCTCATCCCACGTGTCGTTAATTATGGAAGTAAGAAGGTCAATCCAGCGTCTGTCAGCAACCGATAGAGCCAATGCGGTACGAAGAGTAGGATTGGAGATATTGATGGTATCTTCATCGAGCTATAACACAGTTAGTTATATACAGGCGACACATTAGGCTGCCCTCTTACGTTGATTAGAATATCGCTGTAGCGATCTTTCTGTTGTAGGAGGAGCGAATTCGTAGAGCCGACAACGTATGATTTCGTTCCATCGTCTGCCAGCAGATCCAGCTGCTGTAGAGGTGTATAAGGTCCAAACATGCTTCCCTTCGAAAAAGTTAGAAGGGTATCGACTTCTTCGGAGATCTAGCACAAACCTTTCCAAAAATCTGCAATGGCAAACCCATATATGCAAGCACTGCATGGATTAGCATCTCTGTCAACGCGTAGACACCATCGTCAGAATCATACAAGAATTCCTATCGCTTGTCTTTAGAGAAGTCGGCTTCTCGACAGTTTGCGCATACGTGTCGGAAGCTGGATCGGCGCAATCCTCCAGGCGATTCATAAGACCAGGGATCAAAGAGATCAGTGAGAATTGGATCATGCAAAGACGTTCACATCTTGAGCCGAAGAATAGCATCTGCAGACGGTCAGATTAAATGGGAAAATGGCATGTACGTTCGGAAGATCCGCACCTTGGGCTGCAGGAGTAGAGCCTTGAACAGAACCAGAGTCTGGTATTTGAACTCGTGAATCATTTCCCGCAAAGAAAGTCCTTCGGCAAGTTAACATAGCAAGTCCCAAAATCATGATACAGTACTTTGTTTCTTACCAAAAGTGTGGTCCTTGGACGCTTCGTTTGTCTTCACACTGATTACCAAGTTCTCCCGGAATTTCTAGTTCATTTCCACGTCAGCGCCCGTCCAGATAGTATGCAATGACTTCGAACCCACCTTTAAGATGTCAATATCCGAAAAGTCCCTATCATTATGCGAATCGTATTAGCCCGCATTCATCTCAACACCATGCCGTTGACCGATAACATACCGCTGGGCGAACCAAGCCGATGTCACCATAGACAATTTCTCCCTAAGCTGTCCCAAGCTCTGCGGGGTATCCGTTATCACCACCACTGCTTTTTGCACTGTAGACCGGGTCACATCTGGCGGGCGATAGGTGAGAATGTTTGAATCGATCTGCCTCGAGCAGGCAATGCCAAACAGAGATGTCGCTGGTTCGGTGGCGGTCTCCTTGCGGCGGAGGGTGAAGTACGAGAACTCCTCGGTCGACCTGAGAGATCAAGATCGCGTCAATAACTCCGGGCGCAGTGTTTCAAGGTCCCCGGTGATACGGAGGGAGATCGAATCGTACATATGAGCACCGTCCGATAGCGCCATGAACGGCAAGAGGGACCAGTCGTTCTCCACCGCAGGATCGGTTCCATCGTCTCCAATGCATAGTTCGATTTCTGGGCCCCTAAATTGTGATAAAAGAGACGGTAGAGGTTAGTCGATCGTCTAGCCGGGCGACGGGAGGACAGGCCATCCCATGATCTAGGGGTGTTTGAGGGGTTGAAGAGAGAGGGGAGGGCGGGGGTCGTTTCCTCGAAATGAGTCGCAAGGAAGGCAGTCAATTAGGCAGGGGCACCGATGAGGAATGCATAGAACATGCTCATTCTTCTCGTGCAGCCTCCGCCGACAGATTCCCTTTTGGCAGTCACTTACCTCGCATGGTGAAAATCTATTACCAAAACAATGGGCTCCTGGCCACTTGGGGTGCGAGACATGGCGTAGATTCCGTCCGCGATATAGTTGAGACTCGAAAAAAATGACACGTCCAAGGGCCAATGCCTTCCAAGAGAAAGGGGGGCACCCTTCGAAGCGAGAAAAGGAAAAACACGAAAACACGAGGAAAGCCGGCGTGATCTCACGTGCGACAAGACTAAACAATCGCCCGTTGACCCCAGAGTCGAGAGAATGGTTCCATCGCCTTGAAACCAGGGGAAATGAGTTGCAGCAGACTGGAGCCTCGGCGGGCGGTGACAAAGTCGGAGATTGATTGACGATGGTCTTCGCCCCGCAGCCAATAATGGGGCCGATGATGTATTCGAGGGACGATCAGGGCTGAAGGAATCCGATTCCTCAAGGGATTGGGAAATGGGAATACGCCGTGGTGGTGGATACTGGATGCTATTTTCGAATGATTGCGGGGGGGAAAGTAGATTAAGGTGTGTCGGTGACGCCACAGCAGAAAACTTGGAAAAAAAAGTCCCAACGATCCATTATTAGATAAACAGTTTATCTATCACTTTCATTCAATCAGGAGAGGCTAACAACACAAGAGAAATCCACATGGTCATCAGTCATGGACCAGACAAAATAATATGTATGAGAAAATGAAGAAGGAAAAGAAAAAAAGAAAACATGCGGTCGTGTTACAGAAAAGCATTTCGTCCCAACTCTAGTAAATGTCGAAGGATAAATAGCCAGAAAAGTCCCCAACTGCGATTTCATTAACACCTCAGAATGAGGGCAATGAGATAAGAATGAGAGGAGAAGAAAACCAAGGGGTGGCAGCGACGTTTTGGGACTGCATTCGTAGGCTGACAAGGATATCCTCATTATCACGCGACACCGTCGGCATGTTTCTTGCCAGCAATATTAATTATTTTCAAGCCTCTCATGCAAAACTCTGGCCATTCCCAACTCCCTCGACAAGAACTTGACCAGCGTCGTTACCTTGTTCAATGTTATGGAAGTCGAGGATCTCGGAGTACCTAACAACCAAACATTAGCAAAGAGCAATCGAAAGGATCTGGCATGGAGATAGATACGCACATCATGATTTTCCAAGTATCCACTGGTAGCTCAGCATCATTGAATGACCAGTCAAACTTCTCTTCCGCCTCGGGTTCATCGGTCGGGTCGTGGTAGGGGGCCAGATACTCGTGCGCAAGGGCTTCACCGGCACGGACTCGCTTCTTGGGGTCAAACACAAGCATTCGCTCGAGAAGGTCAACCGCTACATGATATTAGTTGCTGTGGATCCCATAATCCTTCAACGAACAGGTGATACACGTACCATCCGGGTCGGCGTTCTTGAACTTGTTGGCGAGAGGCTGGCGCTCTCGCTTGGGCAACGATTTGACGAATCGCAGTGTCTAAACCAGTTGTTAGCGATTTGCTGGGCGCGTTTGTGTCTGGGACAAGCATCGTGCTCACGTTTTCACTGCAGATGGTCTGGGTCACGTCGTCCGGCGGGGTACCCAGGAGTTCTGTAATGATGGAAAACTGGTTGACATGGTCCTTTCCGGGGAACAGGGGCTTTCCCTCCAGCATCTCCGCAAAGATACATGCTGCACTCCAGATGTCCACCTCCACGTCGTACTTTTGCCATGTAAGCATGATCTCGGGCGCGCGATAGTACCTCGTCGATACATAGCCGGTCATCTGAGGGTCTTGGATACGGGCCAGGCCAAAGTCGCAGATCTTCAGATCGCAGTTTTCGTTGATGAGGATGTTGCTGGGTTTGAGATCTCGATGAACAACGCCTGCTGAGTGGACAAATTTCAGCCCTCGCTGCGGCCAGTTAGCGACAGACCAAGAAACCCGGGGAGTAAACTGTCGCGGTCACGCACCAGAATCTGATACAAGAAATACTGGATGAACTGTTTCTCCAACGGACGGGAGGTCAGAAGTCGGTGCAGGTCGGTACCCAACAGCTCAGTCACAAAGTAGCTATCGCAGGGAGTTAGCAAGACAAACTTCCGAATCAAAAAAAAGACCGGACCGCATACATGTCCTCCAGCGGGGAAATGAAAATATCGCTCAGGCTGATAATCTACTCGGAATTGGGTTGGTTAGTACTTATATGACGATGGCGGGGGAAGGTGTGTTAATGCGGTGGCGGACGGACATTTTCGTGGCGCAGATGTTTCAACAACTTCAGTTCCCGGTACGTTCTCTTGGACAACACCGGCGTACTGAAGGGTTTCATGATCTTTTTGACGGCGACCGGTTGCGCAGTCAATTGGTCCTTTGCGGAACTGTTGTCCTCCGTGGGGTTGCGTGTCAGCCCACGATGCCTAACGAGGGGCACCAGGGGGGTGCCGTGCAAAGTGAGGGGTTCTCAGCCATACCAGACCAGTCCAAACGCCCCCATTCCCACCGGTTGCAGGTCGGTGTACCTATCGACGAAGCGACCGATTAGCTTGTTGCGATGATGAAGAGGAAACCCTCAAGGTAATACCTGCTGGTGATCTCGAAAGTGGTGCCAAAAATCTGGGCACGCACGAATTCCGCCATTTTGAATCACGGACGGGTGGAAGACCACAGCCCAGGGGAGTGTTGCTTGCGGAGGGGAGGAGGGAGAAATTCAGGAGGGGCTGAGAAACGGGGGTTTTTTTTTAAATTATCTCGCGTCGACGCGAAAGGGAAAACCAGAAGAAGAAGGGAAAAGGGAAAAGAAGATAGGAGGGTGGGGATAATAGAAAAAGCGAGGCCAGGCGATGATAATAATAACAGGGACGCTGACGGCAGAGAGAGGAAGCAAAAGCCGTCGGTGGCGGCCAGCAGAGAGAGAGGAGGAGGGTGTGTGGGGAAAATTGCTGCGTCCCTTCGAGTCTCCGGCTCAAGGCTCTCCTCAAGACCGATGACGTCCGCGACCATCGCAATGCAATTTCTGTCGCCCACGCGGCATTGGTTGGAAGAGGTCTCCCTGGAGTCCTCTGGTTGAATTTTCTTGGAATTTGCTTCCAATTTATTCTCCTCCTATTATTTACCCTACGAGGTCAAGTCAGTATGAACTGGCTTATCTAACCGTCGGTCGGATTTGCTTCAACTTTCAAGGCACGATACATCCCCTTGGCCTTGCTAGTGTTCGGTTCTTTTATCTCTTTATCTTCTTTATATATATGTTCTCTCAAAGAAGGTAAAGGATCACTATAACTTGAGTGTATTCGAGAGAACATGCAGTACTATACTAGTTGAGAGCCTGAAAGGCTTCCAGCCAAGGTCCAACCGTCGTTGCACTCTGTTCAGGTGTACAGCTCATCATCTGTCGCTAGGACACCGGCAATCTTTGGGCAGGGTCTTGCAGGGTTGCATGGAATAAATGTACTAGAAGGATTCTTGGAGATAAACATGCTATTATCCATGTTCCCCGAAATCCATCGAGACCAAGTTTAACTTAACGCGGTTAAGGCAGTGACCGCGCTATGATATCATAGTTCGCCCATGCCAGGGAACTGGAGAGAAGGGATATTCGTCTCGGACTAGAACCCCAATAATGCCCAACCCTTTTTAATTTTTTACTAAGATTATTGTGTCGAGTAAACTATTTGGAGTCATTTGGGGTTGGAGTTCTTACATTTCTGTGGTCTTCCTGGTGTTCCGTTTCCTACTACTTGATGTTCATTAGGGATGTCATCTCTGTGATCTCAGCATCTTCGGCTCCCTTGTCTCCACAATAAATAATAAGCACGTTCCTCTAGTTAGCGTTCGGTCATTGGATCACTGCCCATGCAAGATGTTCCTCGTCAACTTTAGATGGGTTCGTTGCAGATTGTCAGATACAATCCGGGCTGTATGTGTAGAACGTGTACCCACACCATCCTTGACAACTGCTATTTTTAATGTGTGGCAATCTTGCGTCTACTCAGGAACATAGTAAAGCCACATGCGGATCTTATAATCAAGCATTCTGTAAGATCTTACGTTGGGAAGTAAGTGATGCTGCTCTCACAGAACGGGCTGATGGAGAGCAATGGCAACCATTGGGTGACGGTGATACGTTCCAAGGTTTATGCCATATAATATGAAAGAAATTCTAATCCAGTATGCGCATAAGATAGCTAGTCTTTGGTGATATGTCATATACATTTTTGATTCATTCATTGTCTAGATCTACGGAGTTTGCCCAAAGAACTACACCGAGGTAGGCGCAGAAAATTCCAAGTCTATGACTGAATCGTTCTTAGATAACCCCTTTGGGACTCGACTACAGAGGAAAGGGTGTGCTCTTTTGGGAATCCGGCTTCTATGCAAATGCCAATCTGAAAAAGGCCAGGTCACAGAGTACCGGCTCCCCGGGTCCGGGGAGTTCAGCCGGAGAAACATAAAGCTGGGTGGACTGTGACCTGTGTAAGGGTTGATGTTGATCGTCACAGGTTAGGGGAGTTAGGATTCCACAAGTTTCTTGTGGTAGGCAGGTCTGAGAATGTGTATGTATGTTCTCCGTACCTGGCATATCTTTTCTTGTATACATTGTGGTTCTTGTCAGATTTTTTTACATGCGAACCACTCCGCTATAGCGTCTTAATGCAGGAGTAAACCCTCACTGCACCCGAGAAGTGTACTCCGTAGATGTGCTCCTAGCCTCCTACAGTACTGGATACGTCAATTTCATCATCAATTTGTGGGGCGCGATCCAACACGCATATTCCACCCACCTCGGGTCGTGTACAACTGTCCATCATGTCATTCATTACTTGAACCAAAGGTTTTAGGTTCCGGTCAGATTTCCATCCTCAGTATAACCATGTCTGCCAGCAGGACGGGATAACTGGTAGGCTACACAGTAACGCCCGAAGAAAACCTATTTTCAGGTACTTTGTACCTTTTAGCCTCCCTAAGCACTAGTTCCCCTCTTTCAACAAGTCGGCGGGCCCAAGCGCCTTCGACAACAAAGAACTCGGTACTATATCAGTTTCAAAATGAGGTGTCAAGTTGACGATGGTTCCTGCCTTTCTCTTTGATGCTTCTTCTCCTTTCCGGGCTCCTCACCCCTTATTCCGGGGATGTGATTCAGCTTTTTCCTCGACCTCCCTCCCCCTTTCTTTGCCTTTTCTTTTGGGATTAGTAGTTCTCGAGGCCCTCTTGGCTTGCACATCAAGTACTGGTGCTTCCAAGATACCGGACACTGTACGTAATACGGTGTAATCATAATCCCAGCTTGGGCGCTTCGTATGGGAATAATTATCCTCTTTCTTCTTCTTTCATATTGAATAACTCCCAAAAAAAAAGACTAAACTATCTGTTCGATCCCACGCACGTGAAACTCGTGTACCACACCGTAGCGAAGAGATGCGATGCCCCTTGCTGTATTACCCTCCCTCCCTCTCTCTTTTTCTCTCTTTAGCCTCCGCGGGCCTAATTATTATTGGGACGCAGGTGAATAAATTTAGATCCGGCGCGACCACCCCCGAGGATGCAATTCTCCAATCAAGAGGGTCGAGGGACATAGCCCCAGTCTTGACATTCCCCAAAACAGCGCATCTGCGCCCCGGTGGGAGGGAAAATGTACCGGGTACCCAAGGTAGTACAAGAAGGTTCAGGGCCAGGCAGGTCTTGTTTGAAGTTTGAGCATGTCAGAGATGCATGAGATTGTTACATCTGCACTGTTGAATTCTGTTTGGCATTATTAACATGCTCGTTGCACTTACTATTGAATGTTATCGACTGGGACCTTTGGGCAGGGAGAGGGGGAGAGAAAGAGAGAGAGAGGATTCAATGATGAACTTGTGGCGTCCGCTAATCTGTAGGCCAGTCCAGACGGGGTTTACGCCGTCGAGTGTCAAAGTTGTCAAGTCTGGGAAGTACGGAGGAGGTATCCGTATTGAACTTACTGGGGCAGGTCACGAGTATGTACTCCGTACTAACTATGTAATCCACTCTCTCTCTCTCTTTCTTTCTTTCTCCCTCTCTCTTTCTGTCGGGTCTTCTCGCCCTCTCCACTCTCCAAACGGGTCTCCTCACGTATATGACGATTAAGTACACCCACACTATTAGGCCATAATAATAAGTAATTACCGCCATACGAACGACTTAATTTATCTTCCGGGTCACGGATCATCCCCATATCGTCTCTGATCTGCCTTTCTCATTATTTTTCTTAATCTTATTACTACTCCTACTGACTCCTCCCTCCTGACCGACATTAACCTTTGCAACCCCCCGATTGCTTACATTATCTCACTCGAGATCCGCGATCCCATCCGCTCTCCCACATCATCCCCCCCGATCGACCAGCTACCCTTTTTAGCGTCGGCTCATCACTCTCGCTCAACCTCTTGCTCCGCAGTCGAAATCCTGTCGCCCCTCTTTCTCTGTCAACCTACCTAGACGAAATTCCTTCTTCCGTACGACTGAATCCCTCCAGCCTCTCCTCTGATCCCCCCTGCCGCCAGTCGTCTCCCTGGTTTCATCACCTGCGTCACGAGCCTTCACCTCCGCCCCCCCCGGGAGCTTGCAGTTCTCGCTCAGGCCTTCATTCGACAGACCCAGAACCCTTTCGTCGTCACCCTGTATCCGCCCTCTGTGCGCCGAGTTTAATTCCAGCCTAGTCACGTTTGATCATCGAGCACCGAAAACAACACCTCCCCTTTTACTTCCGTCGGGTTATCCCGCTCCTCTCGAGACCGCGCTTCCGCTCGTTCGCCGGCAATTCCTCCGAGTCCCTACCCAGGATCATCTCGCCGTCCGTGGCAATCCCAGCCGACAGTGTCGGGCGTCGGTGTTCTGATAGATTGAATGAAGTTCAATTTCGCGGGTAGCTCATGAGTTAACGCTTCGTTGTCGAACATATAACCGAGAAAATGGGTTCGTGTATGAGTTCAGAGTCGTCGGAGTATTCGGAGCAACGAAAGAAGAGTCAAGCGATCGATCGCAGGCTAGATGAGGACTCCAGGAAGTTGCGGAGAGAATGTAAAATCTTGTTGCTTGGTACGTTGGCGGTTTCCTTGAACTTGGTGTCTCCCTTTGATCTGACAGGTGTTATTTTTGCTGGGCGCTACTAGGGTCTGGAGAAAGCGGCAAATCAACGATCGTCAAACAGATGAAAATCATTCATCAAAATGGTTATACAGTGGAGGAACTGGCTTTGTATCGTTTAACGGTATACAAGAACCTGATGGATTGCGTCAAGTCGCTCATCGGAGCCTACCACCAGTTCAATCTCGAACCAACAAGCCAGAAGGTCCGAGATTATATCCAGTATCTTTCCGATTACAACATCGACCCAGATCCGAACACGGCGTTAGAGCCTAAGGTCGGAGATGCGATAACCTATATATGGAGCGACCCGTGTACCTCGGTAGCTCTGGAACATCAAAACGAGTTCTATCTGATGGACTCCGCGCCATAGTAAGCAATGGAGGCATCCGGATCGCGTTCACGGGCTGTGTGCTAACGGGGGCTTCTTGGCAGCTTTTTCGAAGAGGCAAAACGGATCGCATCCGCGGACTACATACCCAATGTGAACGATGTGCTTCGTGCAAGAACGAAGACCACGGGTATATACGAAACTAGGTTTTCCATGGGTCAACTTAGTATACAGTATGTGGGATGCCTTCTGCAGAAAACCTTGATGCTTACATCCTCGGCAGCATGTTCGACGTGGGCGGTCAGCGCAGCGAGCGAAAGAAGTGGATTCACTGTTTTGAAAATGTTACATCGATTATTTTCTGCGTGGCATTGAGTGAATATGACCAAGTATTGCTGGAAGAAAGCAACCAGGTAAGTGTGGCTAGAATCGGTCGGCAGCACGTGCCCAGCTAATCCATCGCAAAGAATCGGATGATGGAGAGCCTGGTACTTTTTGATTCCGTCGTTAATTCTCGGTGGTTTATGCGAACGAGTATCATTCTCTTCCTAAACAAAGTCGATCTTTTCCGACAAAAGCTTCCCCGTTCACCTCTGAGCACCTACTTTCCGGATTACTCCGGTGGCAACGACGTCAATCGCGCTGCCAAATATCTTCTATGGAGGTTCAATCAGGTCAATCGAGCGCACCTGAATCTCTACCCTCAGTAAGTTTTGGCCCCCGATCAACATGACCCTCGTTTATCAGATGTCAGGAACTAACATTAATTTACCTGCAGTCTGACGCAGGCAACCGACACCACGAATATTCGCCTAGTTTTCGCGGCTGTCAAAGAAACGATCCTACAGAATGCCCTGAAGGACTCGGGTATCTTATAGAGACGGCGCGGGTCCGTCGATTCGGAACATCTGTCTACGCTTTCATGGCAAGGTCGTCGACAACCAAGCCTGCCACGCTCTGATCACGGTTTTACGTTCTTTCCTATTAATTACCATTACTTGGCTTCGTTTCCTCTGTTTCTGATTTTCTTCGCCAAATACTCTCTTATGTTCAGTGGATAGGCATCGGCGTTGCGGTGCTAATCCTATCTCAGTTCAACATGTTAAGGCGCTGGGTTGGGCCATATCGGGATCACTGTGGCTATGTGTTCCTTATCCCACATTGTTTTTGAGGTTTTGTTTCTCTTTCTGGCGGGAATGTTTGGGGGTTATCATTCTTCTTTGTTTTATTTTAATCGCATTGGCACCGATTGGCTTATCTATCCACCTTCCCCTTCCCTTTCCCGCTTTTCTTTGGCGTGGGATTTTATGAGCATGTTGTTGTGAAAAGTTCTATTGCCCTCTGCACACTTTTTGCATATAGCCCGTGCGAGGTTTTTGTTTTCTTTCCTCTTTCGATATCCTTTCCTATGCGCAACAGGGACGTTGTCCTGTGTTAGCTTGCTTGGCTTCCTGTCTTGCTTCCGATGTTCTACCTTTTACTTTCGCATTTCTTGGTGGTCTCTCTCATTTTTGACAATTGCTTGTGATTCCTGCGACTTATACCATTCAATGTTAGCGTGTTCTTTTCCACCGAATGTGTTACTTGTCATATCTTTTCTGCGACTTTATCCTCTGACTTCCTTGTCTTCTAAACAGCATACATGGCCTTTGGAAACAGGTCGAGAGGCCGGCTTCGACGAGGTCTTTCTTAACTAATTAAACAGCTACAATGAGAGTGTATGAATGTTGAGTTCCAGATCCTCCCATTCTGCCCCCGGCATATGATCGTCGGGCGGGGCAGCATGATTGGGCGATGTAGATGTGCTTTGCTTCTTAGCTTGGGCATATAAAAGACACGAACGGTTTCCAGAAATAGCTATATTACTGTTGGTTGGTTATTGGTGAGATAGAGAGGACAAAAGAAAAGCCAAAAAGAAATGGTAACTCCGATACGGGGAATCGAACCCCGAGCTGCCGCGGATCTTTGGACTTTCAGTACTTGAAAGGCGGCGATGTTAGCCGTTACACCATATCGGATGAATTGATGAAAGGTTTGCACAATTTTAGGTATAGGAGGACACCAGACAGTCATGATGTATCTGAATTCTGATTTCCCCTAGTATAAACTATGAGCATGATGAACCCGTTCTACGAGTAGTTACACATCTGCCCACTAATTTATCATTTACACATACTGGTCATAGGGCATCAGTGGGTTTCCAACCCAGAACAACCGAACATTCTTTCGGGACCTCTTCTCCCTTCACATTCACGTGGACCCGGTACCCATCCTTATACTAGACACTACTCCTGTCCAACGCACCGGGCAGTTTCAGGACCAACCCTAGCTACATTACAGGGTGTGGGTATCTGCTGAAACCACGGCGGCTACTTCATCTCGAGTTCACATGTTTTGGAGTCAAGGCAGGGTCCGGCGCATTTATCGGATTTGTGATGGCCTCAGTTTCGATCTTCGGGTCATTGTTGTTCACTCGCTTTTCTTGCGCACGTATATCTATGTGGATCTTTGGGGGACCGCTATATTGAGAACCACGGGAAGCCGTCTTCTGCTACGGAGTACTGCGGTGTGTAATCGATTATCTGGATTGACGATCAGTTACGCATGCCGTGGACGGGGACCAGGAATATATCACGGGAACCGAACTGTACCTACCGGACAAGATAATCAAGTGTCCCGGGTAAACCAAGGCAAGACCAGAAATCCAAGGCGTGGACTCAATCAAGCACAGGGAATATTTACCACCGGCAGTCGCTGCAATTCTGCACACAGCAAGGGGTCGAGATATATTTTCAACTGTACTAGGCCTGGGACGAAGGGCTGTCATACATTTGGACTCAGGCCTTGGATCTATACCGGTGCATGGCTTCTGCTAATCTTGGCCAGGGGAGGGAGGTAGGATTTTAAACTTGAGAGGTTCGTAGACAGCCGAGAGGATATGGAAGACACATGAGAGTGAAAAACAGGAGAGCAGAAAAAAGACACATTTAAAAAAAAACTAAGTATCTTTATGGTGGGTGTGGATGATAATGGAAGAAAAAAAGACAAAAGAAATGACTCCGATACGGGGAATCGAACCCCGAGCTGCCGCGGATCTTTGCTTCCAGTTTATGAAAGGCGGCGATGTTAGCCGTTACACCATATCGGATTGACTGTGGAAATTGGACTAGAACTTGACGTCATGTGCTACAGTGCCATAAATACCTCGACAGGAATCGTAGTCTCATCGATGGCGCCGAATCCCCTCCTTGTCAAGGCCTCACTACTCACTAGTTCCATTGATCGATGATCAATTCCACAACGCTACAACCACGGACACTGGTAAGACATGCAGATGGCATTGCGGGGCAGAGGAGCTTTGACGATGGAAAAGTCACTGAGCTGCAGCGACCACGGAGGGCTGCGGCGAGCGAGTATTGGTGGGCGCCAGACTTCATGTACTGCACGGACGGCAGCAGCGGTTGATCGGAGATCGCATGATATGATTGATGTCCATCTCAATTGAAGTGCGGAGTTGCAAATCCCTTTTTCTTCCCCCCCCCCCCCCCCCGCTTCGTGTCCATCCGGAGCATCCTGAGCATCCTGAGCATCCTGAGAGCTCTGACGCTGACGGAGCCCGATATCTTCTGCTCCCTGGCGACATCAGGCAATAAAACAGGAATCCTGGTATCTTGTCGGCCACTTATCAGATCACGTAACGGCCCTAGTACTTTCAGTCAGTCGCGATGGGCAGATCGCCCAGCGTCGACCGGGGTCTAGAAACCTGACGTCTGGGGCTTGCTTTAGCTCCTCAACGTCCGTCTTTGTCATTGTTTTCTCTTCTCGCAAACCCCGCCCAGTGCACGACCTCCTTCCATGTCACGGGAGGGGCGTTTGTTATATAATGTCGCTCGTCCACCAGGTCTCCTTCCCCTCTTTCCTTCGTTGTCGCGACACCGGGAGGAGCCTTCCTTGACTTCCCTCCCCCTCCGTATTGTTATCATCTTCCCCCAGGATCGTTTCATTGCTTTGCTACAACCAGACCCCCAGTGTTTATCCCGTTAGACTTCAATCATTCCGTCGAATCATACATACATACAAGCATCTGTCTTTCCATTCCATATCATTACATCCTTCACATCTTTCCAGCCACGTCCACCACCATGACCGAGGAACGCCGTGAGAGAAGACCCTCCGTCGGTGCTCCTGTCTCCGAGCTCCAGGGTCCTATTGGCCCTGGCTTCAGTCGTCCCAAGCACAAGAGAACTTATACTGGCTTTGGACCGGCTGAGACCAAGAGCGTCGAGGCCAGTATCCCCGAGCCATTGCGAGAATTGTGAGTTCACCATCCTGCACACGTCGCGACAATCCCTTGCTCCGAAAGACAATCAGGATCCTTGCGACCCTAGCTGACCTGAAGTCGCACAAAGATGGAGAAATTACGTAGGTCGACGCCAAAGCGTAACCCAGCCCCGTTGGGGATCGCGATACTGACGAGAACACAACCTGCTAGTCTGTCCGAGGCTTTACCAGCAAGGAGGAGTTTGAGGTATGCGATCTGAACCGGGCCCGATGGTTAGGCTGCTAATGGTTACACTAGAAAGAACTGGTTCGCCATGTCGAGACTACGCTGGCTCGGTCTCTGTACAACTGTGATGAGCTGTATGTCCTGTCTCTGCTCATGAACCAAGCAAGGGTCTAACGTACGTCCAGTGCCGCATACTCAGGAACTGCACTTGCCTTCCGAGACCGCTTGATTATCGACTGGAATAAGACCCAGCAGCGCCAGTCCTTCGCAGACCAGAAGAGGGTGTACTGTAGGTGGTTCCGTAGACAACTCTACGACAGCAGAGTATTGCAAGCAATATCGCTGACTAGATCCCCAGACCTCTCGCTCGAATTCCTGATGGGCAGGGCACTGGACAATGCTATGCTTAACGTTGAAAAGAAGGACATTGCCAGAGGTCAAATCTGCCCAAAGGCCCAATTAGCGGACCACGATGACTGACAAAGCAAATAGATGGCTTGAAGGACCTCGGTTTCCGCATCGAAGACATTATCAACCAGGAACATGACGCCGCTTTGGGAAACGGCGGCTTAGGTCGCTTGGCAGCATGCTTTCTCGACAGTCTCGCGACGCTGAACTACCCGGCGTGGGGCTATGGCTTGCGTTACCGCTACGGAATATTCAAACAAGAGATCGTGAACGGTTACCAGGTCGAGATCCCAGATTACTGGCTTGATTTCAACCCGTGGGAGTTTCCTCGACATGAGATCACGGTGGACATTCAGTTTTACGGCTGGGTGAGGAAGTACGAGGAGAATGGGAAAACCGTCCACTCGTGGCAAGATGGTGAAATTGTCCAAGCCATTGCCTACGACATGCCCATCCCTGGCTATAGCACCAGCACTACGAACAACCTTCGGCTCTGGTCTAGCAAGGCCAGCAGCGGGGAGTTTGATTTCCAAAAGTTCAACGCTGGCGACTACGAGAGTGCAGTGGCTGAACAGCAGCGCGCAGATACCATCTCGGCCGTTCTGTACCCGAACGACAACCTTGAAAGAGGTAAAGAGCTCAGACTGAAACAACAATACTTCTGGTGCGCTGCTTCGTTGCATGACATTGTTCGGCGATTTAAGAAAACCCAGAGGCCATGGAGCGACTTTGCCGATCAAATTGCCATCCAGCTCAACGACACCCATCCAACGCTAGCCATAGTGGAGTTGCAGCGTATCTTGATTGACCAGGAGGGTCTTGAATGGGATGAGGCCTGGAACATCGTGACTAGCACGTTTGGCTATACCAACCATACAGTCTTGCCCGAGGCATTGGAGAAATGGTCTGTCCCATTGATGCAGAACCTCCTCCCGCGACACATGCAGATAATCTTCGATATTAACCTATACTTCCTTCACTCCGTGGAGAAGAGGTTCCCCGAAGACCGGGACTTGCTCTCTCGTGTTTCAATTATCGAAGAGTCGCACCCAAAAATGGTCCGCATGGCCTACATAGCCATCATTGGCTCCCACAAGGTCAACGGAGTGGCGGAATTGCACTCCGACCTACTCAAGACCACGCTTTTCAAAGACTTCGTCGAAATCTATGGCCCCGACAAGTTCACTAATGTCACCAACGGAATCACTCCTCGCCGTTGGCTACACCAGGCCAACCCGCGGCTTTCGGAGCTAATCGCTTCAAAGCTTGGTGGACGTGAGTTCTTGACCGACCTGACGCTGCTCGACAAACTGGAAGCGTTCGTCGATGACAAGGAATTCCGTAAGGAATGGGAGGAGATCAAGACGGCCAACAAGATTCGTCTTGCCAAACACATCAAAGACACTACCGGCTACAGCGTCAACCCGACTGCCTTGTTTGACATCCAAGTGAAGCGTATCCATGAGTATAAGCGCCAACAGCTGAACATTTTCGGGGTGATTCATAGATACCTGACGATCAAGGCCATGTCACCCGAGGAAAAGAAGCAGGTCTTACCTCGAGTATCCATCATCGGTGGAAAGGCGGCCCCGGGTTATTGGATGGCCAAGACGGTGATTCATCTTGTCAATAACGTGGCTTCCGTCGTGAACAACGACCCGGATATTGGTGATCTCTTGAAGGTGATCTTTGTTCAAGACTATAACGTTAGCAAAGCCGAGTTGATTTGCCCCGCCTCGGACATTAGTGAGCACATCTCGACAGCCGGTACCGAGGGCAGCGGAACGAGCAACATGAAGTTTGTCTTGAATGGCGGCTTGATCATTGGAACCTGCGACGGTGCTAATGTATGCCTGCTCCTTCTCCTTTTTACATGAGCATGCAACAACTGACACGACTGTACAGATCGAGATCACCCGTGAGATCGGCGAGCAGAACATCTTCTTGTTCGGAAACCTTGCAGAGGACGTCGAGGAGCTGCGCCACCGACATCTGTACGGCGATTTCCAGCTCGATTCCCATCTCGCCAAGGTCTTTGATGCCATCCGAAGCGGCACGTTTGGAGACCCCAACGACTTCTCCGCGCTCATTGCATCAATCGCAGAGCATGGTGATTATTACCTGGTCTCCGACGATTTCAACTCGTACATTACCACACAGAAGATGGTAGACGAGGCATTCAAAGACCGAGATGAGTGGCTTGCTAAATCCATCACCAGCGTCGCTCGCATGGGCTTCTTCTCCACAGATCGTGTGATCAACGAATATGCGGACAGCATCTGGAACGTGGAGCCTCTGGCTGTGAAAGATTAGAACACCTGCAATCCTTGCATACAGCATTCTAGTCTGTCCTTTCAATTTTTTGGGGAACGTCCTTCACTTGTTCTGAATTATCGAGCATGCACTCACTTTCGCGTCATAGCATGTGGCAGATGGTTTTGACGATCGAGCCATCGCATCATCAGACTCAATGACCCGTAACGCAATCAAGTATTTTTTGTTCTACTCTAATTCCGACACCCAACAGTAATCATATTGTAAAGGCAGAAGAAGTATCTATGTGACTATCAACAACCCTCAGATAAATGCCAAAACCACGCTGAAATACATGTAATCGTAGAATAGCCAAAACAGCACAGAAAGAAGAACAAGGAAGAAGAACTAACACCTATACATATATGATAGATTCTTGTCCAGGACCATACCCAGCTTTCTAGAGCCCAAAAACAAAGAAAAATCCAGAAAAAGGAATAAATCGGTTTATCTATTTGGTTCCAAATTCAGGAAGCACTTAGTTCGGTTACACGTTTCCGTAGCTCCGGGACGGCGCGGAGGTGAAGGTCCAGTTCTTCCTTTTCACTGTGGTTGAGGTTGTTTGTTAGCATGTGATATTTGGCAAAGCGTAGTAAGTAGTAAGTAGTTCAGGTAAGGCATATGGAAGGTAGAGGGGGTGTGTGGGTGGGGAAGAGACGTACTCTTCTAACTTTAATCTTCGTTCCCAATCCAGTCCGGTAAAGATATAGCTGCCCTGGCCGTCAAACTGAAGGATCTTCTGATGATACTTCCAGAGACTGCGACGGTGGGAGACGGTCATCAAGGTGGTGCCGAGCTTCTTGGCAGTCTCGTACATGACGCGTTCGATCTCCAAGGTGACGGAGGAGGTGCACTCGTCGAGGATGGCGAATTTGGGCCGGTGGTAGAAGAGCCGCGCCATGGCAATGCGCTGCTGCAGGCCGCCCGAGAGCACGTCGCGCCATTCCTCCTCGGCGTCCCAGCCGTCGGGCCGGTCAACGACCGAGGCGATTTCGACGATGGAGAGGATCTCGTAGAGGTCGGCGTCCGTGATGCCCTTGGCGCGCATCTCGCGGAGTCCGTCCGGGTAGATGACCTGCTGGCGCAGGGTGCCGCGGGACAGGTACGGTCGCTGCGGGATGTAGAAGATTTCGTCGAACCGGGGCTTCTTGACGGTGCCGCCGTACACGGGCCAGAGGCCACCGAGGATACGGAAGAGGGATGATTTACCGCAGCCGTTGGGGCCGACGATGAGAAGGTGGTCGCCGGGGTGGACGGTGAAGGAGAGTTTGCGGACGAGGACGTCGCCGTTGGGGGAGACGATCGGGACGTCGGTGAATTCGATGGAGTCGCTCTCCTCGATGGCGCCGCGGCCGGAGAGAACGGCGGCGTTCTCTTCGGTAGAGGCGGACGAGACGAGTTTCTTTTCGAAGCGCCCGGCGAGGAGGTCGTCCATGACCTCCATGAGGGATGAGACGCGGGCTGTGTGGCCTGCGAGTTCGGAGATTTCTTTGTAGGAGAACATCAAGCGACCAAAGGCGTCGGATGACGAGAGGAGCATTCTTCTGTTTGTAACAAAACCTGTAGGATCGGGTTAATTCTCAAGGTCCGTGATAGGATTGACGGGCTACTTGGACTGAGGAGCCACTCACTTTCCGTTCGATCACCCATGGTCTGGCTGACTTGGCCGGGGATTTTGACGAAAACGGGTACACTGCACAGGATCAAGCCAAGAGCGCCCCAGAAGTATTTGATGACGAAGTCCTCCATGAAGCCATGGTATAATCGTCTCCGCAGAATGCGATTCACATGCTTGATCAGCGTGAAATAGCCCTTGTCGAGTGTGTCCTTCTCCGCTTCATGACCGTGGTAGAGGGCTACCTCCTCGCTATAGTCTATTAGTCTTGAATGGAGGAACCGGAATTCTCCCTCCAGACGGGCTTCGTCAGCCACATATCGGCCGAACGGGGGTGTCAGTGCACGCATGACATTGGCCGACAGTTGGACTAAAAGACCCATAATGAACAAGCCTTCGCTGCCCACGCTTTTGGAAAGAGAGTAATTATAGATGGCCATGTCGAGAACGGGTTTGGCCAGATTAGAGTAGAGCTCTGCCAGGCTGTCGGAGAATCGAGACACGTCCACCGTGATGAGTTGATCGGGATTCTTGACTCGGTCGTCTAAAGCCGAGATCGCATAGAACGTCATGTTGGTAAGGTATTTGTCATGAATGTGGTCCGTGAGTCGCTTGCGATAGCTAAGGGCAAGTCTGCATTGGTGGTAAGACAGCTGGAAATCGGGTTAGCACGAGGTTAATTCATCCCATACAAACCAAGCCAGGCCACGACTCTGACATACCATGGAATTCGTGAAAGTCGCAGGAACTGCAACGATCATCCACCATACTAGTCCCAGCAGGAAATCTTTCCCCCGTCCCCGTACCAAATTACTGACGAGCCTGCCATCTAGTTCGGCCACGTATAGACTGAGAACCGTCCGAAGCACCAGGAACACACTGTGACCAATCAACAATCGGAACTCCTTGCTCCGCCAGCCAGGAATCACGATCTTGAGCAAGCGAAGAAGATTCCGGAAGAACTCGCGATTGACCCCGACCTTTTTCCGCGGTCGCTCCTCTGCATCGTCGAGACTGTTGGTGCCTGGTCGTTTCCGTAATTCCACCTGGTGCCGAGAAGCGGCTTTCTGTTCAGAGATGGCGTTATGGATGCGCTTGGCTAGGGACGCGAAAAAGGCCACGTAGGCGGCGCGAGTAATCCCAACCCGATGGCGAAGGTACAGAGATGTTAAGCTAGAGAGGGCTTGGCGGATCGAGCGCTCGGGGGGAAGGAGTTTGGACTGAGCGGCCATCACGACGGCAGGTTTAAGGACCGCGCATAGAAGACAGAAAAGCGATCTTAACCAGAATCAACGAAGGGCCCCATGACCGGAGAGACACGGCACAAGAGGGGATGTGATAGAACGGCGATGGCGAAGAGAGGAGGTGGAGAGGTTAAGGATGGAGGGAAGTAGGAGGAGGAGAGAGGAGGGCGATGACATGGGGGGAAATGCCAAGTGCGCGTTAACATGTGAACGTCTCCCCGGCTTTCTGGGGAACGCGAGGGAGCCGAGGATGAAGACTGACTAAGTGGATCTCCCGCCAGGTGGATCTTCTCCCTGTTTCTACTTCAAAAGTCATACTTCTGACTTCATAGTTCGTACATCATTAGGTATAGCTTACAACATGGTAGAAATCCGTCGAAGAAAGAAAGAAGAAAATAATATGTACAGATTGGTAAATTGACCCGGGAGACTTCTCTCTCGCCCGAGCAAAACAACAACAGAAGCATTCGACTGCGAAACTAGCGTAGATTACAAATGGAAATAAGATCAAGGTCACGCCGGTCGCTCCCTGACGGACGATAGAAGAAGTATTACATGACAAAACAAGTGGACCAGCAAGGCAATAGTCGCTGGAGTGATTTTCCCTCTCATGATGATGACCCCTCTGGTGCAGCTTCATGGCCGGGCATCGGAGAGGCGGTTCTTTTCCCGCTGTTGATCTGAGCAGCAATCTGGCTCTGTTTGAATTTCTCAAAGGCCTCAGTATCTTGCCTCTGGATAGCCCACAGCTCATCCACGGTCGAGCCAAGCTCCCCGAAAGCCTTGTCCGCTCCGACGCTCTCGAAATGGGATCGGGCCTGGTCTTCATGCAGGCGATCGAGCTTCTCGCGAAGGGCAGACACGTGGGAATCATTGGAAAGGCAGGAATCTTCGTCTGCTGGATCCCAATTTGGACTGAGGAATCCGCGCCGAATATTTTGTCCAAGACGGTGTGCATGACCTTCCTCGGACGTCAACGCCCGCGAATGGAAAGATGTGATCGAACTGGACCGAGAGAGTCGGACGGCATATTGATCCGTGTCCTCGTCATCGACGGCAGTTTCATCGGTCGAATTGGCGAAGGGTGGGATGCCAGGAACAAGTGGCCCATTCCCGCCATCGCCGGAGTTTTGAGAGCTTGTTCCTGCGTTGACAGATATGACAGGCTGCGGGACAATGCGCGTCTCTGGGTATTCATCCTCAAATCTCTGGATCATCCTGTGCAACGTAAAGTCAAGGAACTGAAGACGTCCTGTTGCCAAAGTTGTTAGCACCACATCGAAGCCTAGACGGGATTCTGCAAGGGAAAGCTTACTGTAGTTAGCATCGTTCCCGGCTCTGTCTTCACGAACAAGAGCCGATTGGATCCTAGTCCGAATATTACGAGCCGAATCCAGTAGATTCTTGGACATGTCGCGAGGACGCTTGGTCATGTAGGGCCTGGACTTTCTGTGTCTAGGCGTCGTCGTACCACTAGGAGGACCGGACTGATCTCCTGGCAAATGATTATCCAGATTTCCGAGACATACACCGAGAGCTTTGACGACACCCGTGCCTCCAATAACGTAGTCCTCATCAGGAGCGGGTTCGTCGTCCTCCTCACAAGGCTCATCCCCACCATTGATTCCGACAATATGCTGTAGAATCTCTGGCACCGGTACCGCGTCCCGTGTCGCCGAGGGGTCGGCCGGTTCAGAAAGTTCCGCTTCGAGAGCACCCCGTTCCAAGTTCTGAAGGCAGTAAGCCACGATCTGGGATGCGAGAGCCTTGACAACTTCGTTGTTCTCTGCGCTGGGCACTTCGATATCAACTGCTATGATGGACCGCGACACCCGCACCGCTGCCATTAGGGAAGCGTATACCGCACAAGCTTCCTCCTGGCTAGCGGGGTCGGTCGCAGCGGCCAGTGATGCGATCGATGGGTTCTCCAAGATATTCAAGTGGCATAGGCTAGGACACTCCGGAAGCACCTCTGCAAGAGCGATGGCATGGTCCGCAGAAATGTTCACGTCAGCCAAGTGAATGCGTTTAAGTGAAGGCATCTTCGGCAGAAAACGCCTGAATGTTGCTAGTGCATCTGGCTGCCTCGAAAAAAGCTCCGGATTATGGGAGAAATCAATGAACCGGAGATCGGAGAGGCGGGTCAATCCTTGGAATAGTGGGTAGATGGCGGATGGTGTTAAGGCACAATCTGCCAGACTGAGCGCGTACAGTGGCTGGCCTTTCTCAATGGCGGAAGTAATCAAATCTAAATGATCACAGATGGGGTTTCCACCCAAGTCCAAGCCCTCGCATTTTCCTGATTTAAAGCAGCGAACGATATGCTGCAAGCCCTCCCTTGTTAGTTCGTTGTTGGCAAAGCCAAGCCTTCTCAAGCCAACGGTCGTGGCTGCGTCGCAAATCTTCTTGACCCCCTCTGTGGTCGGTTTACATTCGCTCATCAACAATTCTTCCAAATGATCACCGCCAAAGCGTTCAGAAAGTGATTGGGCAAACGTAGCTGCAATATCAAGGGATTTATCGGTAGGGCTAGCGTCGTTGAGCGTAGCAGGCGATTTTGGAAAGGGAATGCCCGACAAGTCAATAGCCTTCAAAGATTTTGAGAGGTGAATAAAGAGACAGATGTGGCGCCATCCTTCTTTGCCAATTTTGGGGTTGTCCTTCAGAGATAATTTCTCCACAACGCTGAACCGCTCCTGCCTCCCTAAAGTTTGAGGGTCTGATTTTCGGACTCGCCTGCGCCTGTTTTTCATGTGTTCGGCAGATTTCGTCGAGAGAAGGGCAGCAAGGATTGCCCGCACCGAGTCATCTGTCAAGGCACACTTATCAAGGATAAGTTTTCGAACTGGAACGACAGCCAGCCAGTCACTGAAGGTGGCAGTATCCTGGGAGGTCATGGGAAAGTTGGTCAAGTCAAGAACACCAACGGTGCCTGGAGACTCTGCAAGCGTAGAGGATGGCGAAGATATCTCGTCGACAATTCTCTTCAAGACCGGCGTCTCCCGTAGTTGGCAGCAACGTCGATAAATTCGAACCGGATCGGTTGTAGGATGACTCTGTGCTTTAGCGCGCGAGACGCCGGGTACGGGTGGTCGAGTGTCATCTTCGTCATCAGCAGTCAGCTGCATCGGTATTGAGCCGTTCGCCTCTGCTTGTCTCCGTTTTCGTTCTCTTCGTTCTCTTCTTTCCTCCTCAGACCGCTTCTTTTTCTCCTGCTTTCGAGTAGGTTCCTTGCCTTCCCCTGCTGGTTTGGCTTCGTTCTGGGAATTTTCTGATACGGATGCGGCTTTGGAGGGACTGGAGCTATTATCTGAACTTTGCTTATCCTTTTCGACTGCTGCTGCCTGCGGATGTTTCAGAGCAGAAGCCTCGTCTCGTTCCTTGGATTTCGAGTTTGATCTCTTGACTTTATGGCCATTTGATTCGGGAACTGTCCGCCGCTTGCTGCTCGCAGGGGGGCTTTCTTCATCGGACTCTCGACGAGAGATTCCAGCAATCTCGACATCGACCGAAAAGGCAACACGTCGTAGTTTGGCCTGGTTTAGATCCGGAATTTTGCAGCGGTCTCGGTCCTGGTCAAGGTTCATCACGCGGCGCTCACAAACAGTGCCGTTTTGAGTCGACCGCCCCGATCCACCAGCGCCAACCGAGAGCTTCCGAAACGCATTGTGAAGGAAAGAAGGCCCTTTAGGCGAGGTCGAAGCAACAGAGTTATAATCATCCTTCTTCTCGTCCTCCTTTTCTCTGGGGGAATAAGCGGCACCAAACGGATTGTGCATATCGAGTTTTGAGGCCGGCGAGCTTGTCTTGGGGCTGGGTTGTGCCCTGAAACTCGACTGCGACGGAGGCGTCGACCCCGAAGAGAACTTGGAGCTTAGACTCGAGATCCATGAGTTCCTCCTCCCGACAATCGGCTTCGGCGCACTCTTTTGAGGGGCCGGCGTCGTTCCGGCACTTTTCCCATCGGCCGGCTTGTCATCGGATTTCGCATCATTTTCCGCCTGAGAGGTAGATTTAGTTTCCGTCGTCGGTGCCGGCTGTGCTTGAGGAGGTTGCGCGGGTCTTCGATCGACAGAGGTTGTCCTCTCCGGTTTCGATTTCGATGCGACGGAGGTCTCGCAGTCGACATTCGGCCGGTCGCTAACGACAGAGGATGCTGACTTGCACCGGGACAAGTTATCTGGGGTTCGATTAGAGTCACGCTCATCGACGTACACACAAGGGCGTACTGCAAGCCAGTCAGCGACCGAGGGCGACGCTCACCTTTCTGCGTGTGATGAAGCCAGCTGACATCCACGGTTTCAACTCCCTCCATGATGAACATCGAGGCTACCGGCCAGCTGGAGCTAGAATTTCTGAGGATGGCCGAGGGTACAGGGAAAGTATATGATGAAGTATATAGTATGCGAATGTGGAATGACGGTTGCCCTCATGTACAGCGCATTCTCCGGGTGACGTGTAGGGCTATGCTCTGTGAAATCGATGGCGAGATGATGTCAAGACGATCGTACGATGGATGTTCCAAGAAAAAGCGATAAGATGCGTTTCTCTCCGGCGAAGGATTACAAACACTCCAGGTAGGACTGTTCCATTACGGCATGGCGGCGGAGCATGCTGGACATGATGTGTATGGAAGAGAACAGTGGCGACGGAGATGGAGCGTAGGTAATGCTGGAAAATTCGAGAAAAGGGATCGAGACAACTAAGGGGGGAGAAAAGGGGTGGGAGGGAAAGGGAAATGAAGGGCAAGAAAGAAAGCGTTGAGAAGAGACCGACGAGGCGACTTCGGAGATAGAGAGGGAGAGGGAGGATTAGATCATAACGGGTAGTACGGTCAAGTACGGGAAAGGGAGGGAATTCCTGGTGGAGACTGGAAGCAGGTGACCGTCGTAATTGAGTACGGAGTAATTTTAATAACTTAATACGGTGGACTTCCGGACGGAGTAGGTGGACATGCTACAGACTACAGTACATGTAGTCATGTATGTACATTTGGTGTAGCTACCTACGGTGTACAGTCCTAAGGTCCAAGGTACACCTCTACATCGGCCACTCCCCCTATTCTTCCGCAAAGGTCGGCGGTGTTCTAAGGTATGTATGTACATACAATCGCCACTCATTCACTCGACACACTGCCAAGAACACGCACCACTGCTACTGGAAGGGTCGACTTCCTACTTCCTAGCCCTATGCTGCCCCACAAATCAATCGATAGTACTTCCATGATGGACCTTTTGGGTATCATCTGCGGGCTAACGGAGTACCGCCCTTTATGTCGCTGCCCATGGAACACTTTCTTTATGATTTAAAGTGTAGATGTCTGCATAACCACGTGGTTCTATAGTCTAGTGGTTAGGACGTTCGGTTTTGAGAAAAAACCTCCGAAAATCGCCGGTTCGAACCCGGCTAGGACCTTCAAAGACCTTTGTTTTTTTTTCTGGCCGATTGCTGCCCTCCCGTAAAGGGCAGTCGGGAAGAGTGACTCTGACTCCCTTGGTTAAATCTTGCATTGAGTAACAATTTTAGGCATCTAATCAATTAATCTATTAGGAAATGTTACTGGAGGATCAGAGAAAAGGTGGTTTGATATGGCATATAGATTCATCGTTGAAGGTGATTGATTCTTATTGCATGATATCTATGAGATTCAGTGATACCTCGTATCAAAACTATTGCGCATGTCTACTCACTGTACTGTCTATGTAAGTAGACTACCCACATATACGTACGACGGTCATCGTACTCCGAGGAAAAGTTCTGGTCTTAGATAGTTCATGGTTTCCAAATTGCTTACTGGAAAGTTCCCAATCAGAGCGAAGGCATTTCTAGACCCGGCAAGTCCGGACAATTTCCTCTCTCTCTGTGCGTGTAACAGATCTAGTGTTAGACTGCTTTGAAAGTATCCGTATGACCGGCCGCATCTTAATTAAAAAACCAAGCATTCATACAGAGTTGGTATTGAATGCGTTGTTGATATTTTCTTCTCCCCTGGTCCACCGCGCTGGTGCCATAGTTCCATACCGAACAGCGGGGCGGTTGATCGGCTGGGTGTCGGTGAATCTCAAATGGAAGACTGGAAGCGTTCAATACTCCATAGGTACTGATCGCTAGAAATTCCCGCATATGATAGGTATCCCACGTTCGCTGACCGGCCGGCATGTATCACCACCCATCACAGCAGGAAATTATCCGTGGATGCATGCAACAGGAATGAAAACCGTCAAGAAGTGCCGACCAAATCATGGCGCGAGTCTATGGCGTAATGACCGCCCAACAGCCATGAAGATCGTCGGCAGAGATCAGGTGATGCGTGTGGGGCGGAGGACTAAAAATTTAGTCTGGTCTAGCCTCGAAAAGACTGCGAGAGAGACTTTGAGGGACGAGTGGAACTTGACTTCCTGAGGCGGTCTTCCTTGATTGTGCAGTACAGAGTACAGCCTGCAGAGTATGACAGGGAAATCAGATACCTACCAGGTAGGTGACTCATGGCCGTGGTAACTTGGTTGGTGACAATTTACGGCATTCTGGCACAAGGCATGATGCCTTCTTGGGGAAGATGTTCCGATGGACCCTCGATGCATGTTGCCCGAACAGGAATCGGCTAGGGCATCTAACCTCAGTGTTACACTGACACTTACACACCGCCTGCCAGGTGTTGGTGGGGCGTGAAAATTGAACAATTGTACTCCGTAAGGACTAAGGAGCCCGTACTCCACGTTTTCTACTCAATCGTCAGTGCTCCGTATGCAACAGAACAGATTCCCTACTGACTAGTAACTACTCGTCGATTTACGACCAGGGCAGTTTATGAATGATGAAGGTAAAATGAAATTCTTGCAGTCCCATCCCATAATTGCTCCGATGTAACAAATCAAAAAAACAAAATTTCCCTGGATATAACAGACACGGTCGTAAACAATTCATCAAAAATCTACAAGAAATGCAGCAAGATGGGTCTCTGGTTTTGGTTCAGAAGTAAACTTTTGTTTTGACTATCGTACCCATTTAATTAAAAATTTCAAGCACGATGAGCCGCTTAAGCAGCAAGCTCGCGGATCTTCTGCTCAACGCGGGCCTTCTTCTCGTCGTGAGAAAGCTTCTTCTGCTGGTACTTCTTGCTCTCGGCCTTCCACTGCTCCTTGGTCTTCTTGGGCTCGGCCTCCTCATCCTTCTTGAAGGGGTCCTCACGGATGGCCTTGTGGGCCTCGGTGTAGAGCTCCTCGATGTCACCGGCCTCGATGCCAGCGTCAACGTACTTGTGGAACTGGCCACGGAAACGCTCCTCATCGTCGTCGGCAAGACCCTCCATGTACTCGGCGACGTGGCCACCGAAGATGTAGTTGCGGAGAGTCTCGGCATCGAGCTCCTCGGACTCGATGTCGAAGCCGGGGAAGCGGTTCTCGGAGTGGGGGACGTAGATACCGCCGTCGGAGGCACCCTTCATGGCAGCGAAGACACGGGCACCGGTGGAGGTACGGGCAAGACCAACGTCAAGGAAGGCCTTGAAGGGGCGGCGGCTGCCGTCGTCGGTCTCGGCGGCCTCGGTCAGGGTGTACTCGCCGTCAGCCTCCTCAACGCCGGTGAACTGCTCGTCCAGGCCGAGCTTCTTGAGGGTACGGCGGGCAAGGAGCAGACCGGTGGCGTAGGCGGAAGCCCAGTTGGTCAGACCGTTGGTGATGCCATAGCGCTTGAGCTCGTGGGCGTAGGCGCTGGCGAAGACCTTGTCACCGGAGATCTCAGAGTAGACGATCTGAGTGATGATGTCCCGGTTGGTGAAACGCACAACGAGGCGGTACTTGGGAGCGTTGTACTTGTTCTTGGCCTGGGTGATCAGGCGCTTACGGGCATAGTAGTCGGTTTTACCCTCTCTTCTGCGGCGGTACTTGGTCTGGAAGCGGCTGTAAATTGTGACAAGTTAGCAAGTTGATTTCTTTTTGAACCCTGCTCGAAAAGATCTGATTGAAACTCACCTGAAGTACGCGCTGCTCTTGACAGTCTTGTGGTAAGGCTACAAGGAAACAGCCGAGTCAGCAATTCACGCTTCAGAAAATTCGTCCGAAGCAACTTGCGGGGACCCGTAAAACTCCAGCCCTAGAGCGCGAAATTCGCAACTCTCAGGGGCATCGAGAGGAAACTGAATCATAATACAGAGGATGTCATCCGCTTGGGATGAGAGTTCAACTCACCATCTTGACTATTGCCGCTGGCTGAGGACCCGGATGTCGACGTTGGCTGGGAAAGAAAAGAAAGAGAAATTCGTGGGCTGCTTTTGTGGATGGTTTCGCTTAGCGTGGCTGCATCCCGTCGCAAAACCGGGGTCGGCGACGACCACCAGGGAAATTCGCCATGGAATTAATCAGTACTGTATATTAGTATTCGCACGAACAGCGCTCAATTTACAGAAATACTATTATCACTCTTATAGTTCTGATTATATTCATTCGGATTGAGACATCTGCCCATGCGCTATGGTAAAATCTAGTATCCTCCCTTTCCTGTCGCCACCCGATCTTATCTTAGTGCGACGCTTGGTGGCCTCAGGCAGAACGACAAAAGGTGTTGGTTATAGCTAGAGAACCTCCCCAGAATCCCATTTTGAACTTCTACCTTGATTCACTGGATTGATTATGGTCTTTCAAGGTCCGATAAGATCTTTGCTCTATAAAAAAGGCACTGTGCGAGTTGAAAGGGTGGATCAAAGGGTAATGCTTAAGTGGAGTTGATACGCTTAAAATATAGTCTGGAATAATAAAAGCGATCGGATCTTTAGAATTGAGCCTTACTTTCGTCAAAGATTGGCAAGAAAGCGGGCCTCCATCTTACGGGCTTTGTACAGTGAAAGCTGCATGGTGCTGAGTTTGAATAAAATGATTATCGGCGTAAAGAACTTGCTCAAAATCACTCGAAGTATCTGCATCGATACTATTTGGGAACCACATTCTCTAGATCGCACGGCTCTAATGTCTATCTTATCAAGTTGTGCCACAGTTCCAGTAATTTCTGACATGTATCCAATATGTTAACTCGATCGTGTGTACGTCGCCTGGTAGGTTTGTACACGGCCACCAAGTGAACGCCTTGGTCCCTCACAATCTAGCCCTGTCCTGATTATCCAGAAGTTGCAGGCCGGTGATTTTCTCGAGTTCCGTGACTGCATCTTGCGTCTTTCCAAGGTTGACCTTGACCGTTCTCATCCCAGCCTTCTTTGCGCCCTTCAGGTTCTCCCCAATATCATCGAAGAAAACAATGTCGGATGCGCTGGCGCCCTTCAGTCCTTTTTTCTTTGCCACTGCATCCATCTCATTCACTGCAGCCTCGTAAATCTTCGGATCCGGCTTCCTCAGCCCCGTATGCGCCGACGAAATAAAGAAGTCGAACGGCGCCCTGATCTTGGCAGTGTCGTTATTATAGGGGTGTCCGTCAGGAAACTGGACCGTGTTCGACAGAGCACCGAGAATGAATTTCCTCGATTCCTTCAATTTTCGCAGCGCAGGGAACATATAGGGGTCCGGCTCGCGGGAGATCCGCATCATTTCCCAGAAGAGCCATTCAGCATCTAATTCCGGCAAGGGAGGGAGTACCGAGACCGAGGCGTCGCCTGCCGGTTTTCTTAGGTGGGTTTCATGGTACTTTTGCCATAGCTCCGGGTTTTTCAGGTCTGAGTTGAACGCAGCGAAGAAATCGGCGTCTAGTTTGATTTCGCCGCGCTCGAGTTTGTGCCAGCTGCCGTTGGGCGAAGTGCGCGAGATGCTGAAGTTTACCCATCCGGTGGGGATTTTGTTGGCGATTTCGTAGTCCAGAATGGCTTGAAATGGCGACACAACCTATCATATGATTAGCTTTAAAGTCGAGGCTTTGATTGTGGATGTGTTAATCTTACACACACGCCTCCAATGTCGAAGAGTAAGCCTAGCGGCTGCTGATTGTCCGTCATGATGGTTTCAGTGGTGTCAGAGAATCGTCTCCTGACAAATGATATTTCGAATAAGGAATAAGAAGCTACCAGAGCTCTAGTTATGATTTTCCATATATAAGGACCAAGCTGGTCATTGTTGACGTTCCTGTTGTTGCGGAGAAACAATGGGTGATAAAAGGCGAGGATTGCCGAGGTTAGATACTAGCGATATACTTGGCCATGCCGCGGTAATAATAGTTCTGCCTCAGGCTTCCGTTTCGCCCAGATTGCTTGGTCTGCCTCAAGGACGGCCACCTGACCACCGTATGTCTCCAACGCTGGACTGTTTTATGGAGACTGTAGGTGATTACCAAGACTGGACTAGAGTTTACATTCGGGAAAGGAGTTCGAACAGAGTTCGCATGAGCCTGCTATGATGTAACCCACTGCTCGATCCGCGGCTCCGGCCCATCCAAGGATAATAATGGTTTCTTCTATTTATGATCACGACGAGTGCGTATAATACAAGTTAAACCTGTTTGGAGTTGTGCGCCGGGAGTTTCTATCAATCGCTGCGCGGAAATGCGAGCTTTCGATATTGCAGCAACTGGATCACATCAACATGCCACAACCCTCCGAGACACAGCCCTACGAGACACGAGACTCGATCAAAGACATATGGGGCCCTCGCACCCCTTACAAACATGAATGGCCGACTAGATGCGACGAACATACCATTGACACCCCTGACAAATGGGTCCAAAGTGCCTGTGTTCTCTGTAGGTCAGTATACCACCATTCACCCTAAGTCGCCCAGGCCCTAACAATAGAGAAAGTAATGGATGCGGAATGGACGTCGGGGTCAAGGACGGCAAGATAGTTGGCGTGCGCGGCCGCCTCGCTGATCGGGTCAACAGAGGCAGATTGGGCCCAAAAGGACTGCACGGGTACGCTTGCTCATGGCCATTCTGTGACGTGATTTGGTGCTAAAGCCTACAGGTGGACGTCAATCTCGCATCCAGATCGGCTTAAGTGGCCGCTTATTCGGCGGAATGGTCAACTTGAACGCGCTACTTGGGGTGAGGCGATGGATTTGATTGTCAGACGAACGCAGGAGATCCGTTCGTGCCTCACGAATCATGGCATCGGGTTCTACACGTCTGGGCAATTGTTCCTAGAAGAGTACTATGTGTTAGCTATGGTTGGGAAAGCCGGGCTGAATACCTTGCATATGTAGGTATTCGTTGCCCCCCCACCCCCCCTCCTAGTTCCGTGAACGTTTTGGTCAAGCTTCAGTTGCTTGATTTTGATCGCGAATGAGTCAAGCTAACTCGCTCAGGGATGGTAATACCAGGCTTTGCACAGCGACAGCAGCAGCCTCAATGCGAGAGTCGTTTGGGTCCGATGGCCAGCCAGGTTCCTATTCCGACGTTGACTATACCAATTGTTTGTTCATGGTAGGCCACAATGTTTCAGCAACTCAGACAGTCCTCTGGTCTCGCATCTTGGATAGACTTGATGGTCCAGATCCGCCCAAGCTTATCGTAGTCGATCCAAGGAGGTCTGAGACTGCAAAACGAGCAACAGTCCACCTAGCAGCCAGGAATGGGACAAATTTAGCTCTGCTAAATGGAATTCAGAACTGTCTGTTTCAGAATGATTGGGTCAATTGGGACTACGTCCAAGCACACGCCGTTGGGCTGGATGAACTGCGGAAGACGGTCGAGAAATACACCCCGGAGTACGTGGAACGCATTACCGGGGTTTCCAAGGCGAAGTTGGAGGAGGCAGCTCGGATCATTGGAACAACAGACGCACTTCTGTCGACCGCCCTACAGGGAGTCTACCAATCGAATCAGGCAACTGCGAGCGCATGTCAAATCAATAACATCAATCTTCTTCGCGGGCTGATCGGTAAACCGGGATCTGGGATTCTGCAGATGAACGGCCAGCCCACGGCGCAGAACAATAGGGAGACCGGATGCGACGGAGAGTTTCCTGGGTTTCGGAATCACGAGAACAAAGCACATATGCAGGAGATCGCAGATCACTGGAACATTGACTACATCAAGATGCCCCATTGGAACCAACCCACACACATCCAGAATATGCTCAAATTCATCGAAAATGGGAGTATAGAGATGCTGTGGGTCTCTGGCACAAACCCAATGGTCAGCTTGCCGCACCTTGCCAAAGTTCGTAAGCTCTTGACAAAGCCAGACCTCTTCCTTGTGTGTCAGGATATCTTCCCAACCGAGACGACTGCAGTGGCGGACGTCGTGTTGCCCGCCGCACAGTGGTCTGAAAAGACCGGATGCTTCACTAACGCTGATCGCACGATGCATCTAGCCAACAAGGCGGTCGATCCCCCAGGTGAGGCTCGGTCTGATCTGGACATTTTTCTGGATTTCGCGCGGAGGATGGAGTTCAAAGACAAAGAAGGCAACCCCTTGTGTCCGTACAAGGAGCCTGAAGAGGTGTTCGAGGCTTGGAAAAGGATGTCATTCGACAGACCGTGCGATTGCAGCGCCCTCTCTTACGCAAAGCTGCAGGGTGGGTCTGGTATCACCTGGCCGTGTACGGCTGAATATCCCTTAGGTCGCGAGCGCCTTTTCGATGACGGAAAGTTCTTCACGGATGAAGACTACTGTGAGAGCTATGGTCATGATCTGGAAACGGGAGCGCCCTTTACCAAAGCCCAGTATACGGCGATGGCACCAGCCGGACGCGCAATTCTAAAATCTGCCCATTACATGCCCCCAAGGGAAGAGCCAGATGAAAACTTCCCACTGCGGCTGTCAACGGGGCGGAACGTGTATCACTTCCACACGCGTACCAAGACAGCTCGCAACCAGCGCCTACGACAGGCATACAAGGAGCCATCGGTGCAAGTTTCCAAGACCGACGCACAGGCGTTACAACTGATGGATGGAGAGATGGTCGTCGTTAAGTCCAGGAGGGGCCAGGTCCAGCTACCTGTTTCCATTGGTGTGATTGAGGATGGTCATGTGTTTATCACATTTCACTTCGGCGATCTTGATAGTGATGGAAGAGCTCGTGCGGCGAATGAGCTGACTATAGGTACTGTTTCTTAGCCCTTTTGCCAACTTTCACGTACTGATGATGCTTTCAGAGCAGTGGGATCCGATATCTAAGCAGCCGATGTTCAAGTCTGGCGCTGTTCGGATCGAGAAATGTGTACACAAAGAAGGCGAAGATGATATACAGGCCAGGGAGGGACTGTCAGAAGCAAGAGTCGCCGTTCAGGAGAAGAAGCCAAATACCAGCTGCCCTGAGATTGGCCGCGAGGACCGAGGCGAACGCAAACGCCGATTGGAGCTGTGGTTGGGAGCAACAGAGGAAGCTCTCATAAAACTGGCGGAGCTGTATGAGAATCTCATCCCGCGCCTTGTTCTTGATTTCGAAGTGCAATCAGGTCTCCACATCATGAGGCGGCTTACTGGAGAGATCATCGAGCGGCTGCAGCCACAAGTGAAAAAGTATCACGAAGCTCAACAATATGGCAGAGCAGTTACCCAACGTCTAGTGGACGCTATAATACCCACTGCCGAAACGGGCGATTCGTACGAGGCGCTTGCGGCTCTCCAGGCCGTGAAGCTGTTTCTGACACACATCGAGAATCACTTGAGCGCGTTGCTTCCAGCCAGTCAGGCACTCTGGGATACAGAGTTTGTAGCGGCGGTCAACGATAGTCTGACGAATATCCTTCGACAACAGGCGTGGATAGGGCAACAAATCAAAGTTAAGAGCCCACAAACTCTTCTGGTTCCTGTGTCGGTTCCCGAGGAGTTGCATCAACCATATTCGAGCTTGGCCGGAACCTTGCGGTGCTAAAATGTGGGACAACTAAAGGAGGCCGGCTTCAACAGGATCTAGTAATCTCAATACTCATTATGACGTCAGATAATTGCGACTTCAATAGTTTAGTGATTGAATGATATCCATTTTCCTCATAGACCTGGTCAAACACTCACGGAAACGCAAACTGAAAAGCAAACATGGCATCGGTAAAGGGCTTGATACTCGCGGGTGGCACTTCTTCACGAATGAAAGCTCGAAAGGAACTCCTATCCTTTCGTGGAGATGTGCCCATGTACAGACAGTTAACCGCGGTGCTTCGCGACGCTCTACCTGAAACAGATACAATATATCTGTCTATGCGAAATAAAGCCGCCAGCCAGGCTCTTCCGGAAATCGCAACCTCCGAAACGGATTGTTTTGACTTGAAATACGACGGCAGGAAGCTCTTGGTCCAGGTTATATACGACGATGATGCAAAAGAAGGCTGGGACGATGACATAGGGCCAGCGGCCGGGCTCCTAGCCGCGAAAAAGCGTGACCCAAATGCAAGTTGGCTTGTAATTGCATGCGACTATCCTTTTCTAACAGCGGATGCACTGAAGCAATTGCTTCAGCATTCAGAAGATGCGCCAGTCACGTGCTTTGAGAACGAACATGGCTGGTATGAGCCTCTTTTAGCAGTGTGGACACCTCAGGCCCTGCATGTACTGGCGGACAATGTTCGGAAGGGTATTCTCGGTCCCAAATCTGCTATAAAAGCCGTAAAAGGACATGGGATCCGGCCCCTGGATGAACGGTGGCTGTTTAATACCAATGACCGGATGGAGTGGCAACGAGCATTGGATCTCAGAGATGACCAGAACCCAAACGACGGTGTGCACGCCGATTAGTGACTGGCCACAATGTTGACCGTGTCCCCGGTATGGACTTCAGCGATACCAGCCGGAATATGAAGCCAGCAATCGGCACCAAGGAACGGTTTGATCTTCGACGGACTATGCTCCATTGGGGTCACTTCCAAGCAATCTTGAGTACGACGATGAATCATCCCAGGTCGAAACACATCAAGATCCTTGGGCACCTTGAACAGCGGCTCTGACGCCATATTGTATGCGGTTGGCCATTCGCGATGCTCAGACTCCATCACCCTTGCTTCTAGCACTGGTTCTAGCGGCTGTCCCTGTAGGAATTTCAGGTACGGCACAACTAAAAACTGCAGACAAGCTGCACTGGCCACGGGGTTCCCGGGGAGCCCGAAGAAAGGAACTTCATCCGTGTCAACTCGGGCGTCACTATCAACAACTCCAGCCTTAGGACTAGGGACCTTCGCAAAAAGTGCCGGATGGCCGGGTCGGATCGCGATCCTGTGAAAGACTTGTCGGGCTTGCAGAGCGTGCAATGCAGACGGTACAAAATCAAATTTGCCTGTAGATACTGCCCCGGTAGTAATCAGAATATCATATCGATTCATCATTACAGCCTTCCGAATCCCATGTGTCATCTCTTCCTTGCTATCTCCCAGTATACCAAGAAAGTCGACTTCAAATCCCTGCTCCTGGAGGCTAGCGGTGATGTAAGGCCCGTTTGCATCTGGGATGCGATGCAGGCTAGGTGGACAGTCCTTGTCCAGCTCTTTTCCGGTCGAAAAGACGCAAATGACAGGCTTTAGCCTTACAGATGCTTCGTAGATACCGACTGATGCGAGTGCCATGATGTGCGATGGCTGAATTGTTTCATCGGCGGAGACCAGGACATCACCTTGGGAGAAGTCCCCACCGGCCAATCGTCTGTTTTGTTGGAATGTGGCAGGTCTCTCGACCTTTATGCAGGGACACCCAGAGACACTGACTAGTGTGACGTCCTCCAAGCGTACACAGCAATCAAATTGCATGCTGGGAGTAGATTGGGGAAAGGGTGCACCTGTCATGATCTCGACACATGGAGGAATGTCTGAATCGGCGTCGGGCCCGATCGAAAGTGGTTCTTCTCCTGCCGCTATCGCGCCACAGATGTGGAATACGGCTGGAATGTCGCCAGAGGCAAATCGTGTTGCCGCAGAGCTGAGTGCGTAGCCATCCATGGCAGACGTGTCGAAACTGGGCGTCGACTTCTGACATCGAAGGGTCATATGAGAAATTCGATTGACAGCTTTGTATATCGATACCGTCTCGACCTTTGACCGGAAGCGTGCCGCATCGTACTGGGCCTCGAGGCGGATCAGTTCCAGCGATTCCAGATATGGAAGTGGCATCACTGTAAATGTGAGGAATGTCGAGGCGTACTGGGCCTTGTGCGACTGAGCAGTCTTATAGTTAGAAGTACTAAAAGCACCTATGGTTAACGTCATGTAGCAATGACGTCATCTCAGAAGGAGAACAATTGCAACTCTGTTTTTGTTCACATATCGAAAAAAGACGACTACTGAAGCTTTCATTATCGGTAAGGGCAGGCCAGGGTCAAGGCGAGAAGTTGCATGGAAGTGAAACAGTCCGTGTTATCGCATTGCGCGTCAGGTGCTATCAGATAGCCATTACCTAGTCAAGAAGGCGGTTTGGAAAAGACTGGCAGAACATCTCGATAGTTGGCGGTCTACCGGTAATAGTATCATTAAGTCCCTACGGAATGCTGACCGGATCAGCAAAGCAAAGCCACAAATATTCTGATTTTTGACATATTGAAGATGAAAACCTTCATGAAAATATATACAGCGCATCCACTTGTATTCTATTCGATAACAGACAATCAGGTGAAAAAGCGCGTCAATCAATAGTAAATGTAAGTCCCGTGAACAGTATCAGTAGTCACGTGCTAGCGTGACCTATCGATGGCCACCGCGTATCTCGTCCTCATCTTTTGGCTTCTCCACGGCGCGCAGTGCCATCGCGATGGCGCAATGGACTCAACTCGAACCATACCCGAATTGAAATCCTCTTTTCTCCGGGCGCAAGTGCGCATTCTATCGGAAAATCTCGAAGCGCCCGAGGACTGGAAACAATACGCGACCGATCCGGACAACGATGAACTGACCGATAAGGTGGTGGGGGATGCCTTACAGAAATGTACGGCTACTCTAGGACCCCAGCTGTTTCCTTTTGATATCGTTTAGGATTCCTGGGCGGCTCTACTGGGATGAGCTTGGGAATTCAATTTCTAACCTAACATGCTTCTAGTGAATGTGGCCTTAAAACAGCATAACCGGATTGTTTACTCGTCGCAGGCGATCCATCATGTCGCACAGCAAATCGCCAGTCTCTATTGGACATCGATCACCCAGGCCTCGCGCAACCAGAATTCTCTCGAGAGGGGGGTCGAGAAGACCGTGGATTTGTCAAATCATATGTGCGGTTGGCCCGATTGTCTCCTCCCTTGCCGATGGAGATCGGTTCGCTGACCCGTCGCGATGCGACTTAGGAATATCACTCAGTTACCGATGGAATTTAATGATTCCTCGGCAAGCGAGGAAGATCGTCAGAGGTCTGCTATTACCACTTTTCAGCTATGGATCCGGCCCTCATCTGACTGACGGCGGTCATGCAGGTATCAACAACTCCGCGAACGTCTGATCGGTCTTGACAAACGGCGACAGCAGCGACAGCGACGTCTAGACCAGCTGCGACAATTACAACACCTACTCCAACCGTTCCAGGAACCCCAGAAGAACATCCAACCGAACCTTGTCACTCGGGACGGAGAGCTGATGAAGGAATTGGAGAAAATGAGAATGTTGGTTGCGCGGGTTGGAGGTCGGATTCATCAAACGCAGCGGCCGGGCAATAACCAGGAGAGCACGGCAACCTATTCGCTGGGATCCGACCAGAAGATAGCAGACTTATTTGATATGATGTAATGACTGAATGGAACGTCTACAACGGTCGGGAAGAGGAACGAAAAGGGTGGAGTCTTGGCCTAGAGTCCGGACCAACAGCAGCAACAAGAAACAGAACACAACCAAACAAAAAGGACAAGGGAACGCTAGAACAGCCGAGTCTAGACACGGCGACGACGGAAAAGAAACCCAAAGATTAGGCAACTACGGCGTTCGTCGTATAATATTCGAGTAGGCATGTTCATGCCCACCCTAGTTTTTGGAAAGTCATGTATACAGCCGAAACTATCTGGCCAGACTAGTAACACAAATGCATGGGACGCTCCCTTCACCTCCTTGCACTGCAGGCTGCAAACCTCTCACGATCGTTTGTTTATCTTGTTCGAGTGCAAGGGGTGCAGGATTGGAAACAAGTTGATTGCATCTGCAGCAATCCCAGGTTGTCGCAGTGTGACAGGAAGGAGGAATGCGAGCGTAAAAATAAGAGCAGAAGGTTAAAAATAAATATAAAAATAAAAATAAAAATACAGTCGAATAAAATTAGAGTGGACGTGCTTGATCAAATCAAATCAAATAGGCAAGAAAACCCAATGCGACGTTGTGACCCGGAGAGTGGTTTCTTTTCCTTTGCAATTCCCTACCTGCCGACCTACCTGATCGTCTCTTGCCCCATGGTAACATGTTTTTTCTTCGACTTTCCTCGAAGGCTTACTTTCTTCTTCCTTCTCCTACTTCTACTTTTATAGTCTCATACTTCGACTCTTCCCCTTCGGTCTGTTTTGCCCGCTAAACCCGGAATAGTCGCCCCAATGACGAAGCCAATCAGCGCCTTCGACGAGGCCCTTCGGAGCTCCGCTTCCGAGGTTCCGGCGCTTACCCAATTCGGCATGGAGGGTGGCAGCCTGAGGACACCATCCCGCGGCCCTCTGCCTTTCCCAGCTTTAGCGTCGCCGACTACGACTCCTTTGACCACTTCTCCCTCCGCTAATCAGAATAGTATTACCACTACTCTTAATACCGCTACGGCTAATCTTATTACTACTCCCACTCCCACTCCTGGCCCTGACCCTGGCCCTGACCCTCCTACCAATCACCTGCCTGAGAGTGAGACCCCACGTGGATCCGGCACCATCGACGCGTCTACTTCCTCCCCTTCTTCCAAGGCACCTTTTGTGCCTGGGCACCGTCGTCGCTCTACCCACGTTACTCGTCGTGACCTTGAGAAATTCCGCAAAGAGGTCCTGGGCGTCGAACCTCCCGAATTCGACTTCGATCTCGACAGCTCCGGCAGTGGCGCCCCCAACCCGGCTCAGGATCCGCAGCTCGATACTCTCAACCGGGCCTTTGACGACGCCGCCATGTCCCTGAACAGCAGCGGTGGCATGACAAGCAGCAGTCCCGGCTCCGGCATGTTCGCCAGCTACGTCGATTCCTCCGGTCCTCCCAACATGGCCAACGTGCCTCGTCAGTCGATGTCTCCCGCAATGCCGCATACCCCTGGACAGGTCAACGGGGGCGGAATGGCCGGTATGAACGGTGGAATACCGATGAATGCGGGCCACCAGATGGATCTACATCAACTCTACGACATGGTGCTGGAGCTAAGTGAGGTGCTGAAGAATAATCGCGAGATGACCAAGAGCATAGTCACTAGTGCGGACGAGATTATGGTACGTTGTTCTGTTCGAATGACACGTCGTACTGGCTGACCGAATTTCATAGAGACGATCTTCCTCGGATGGACCTGGCCCGAATCTCCACCAGGTGAACGGCGAAATCACGGGTGAGTAATCCCAATCTTGGTCAATTCCGAAGACGTTGTTAACGTGCCATTTAGCCGCCCGGATCGCTGAACTTGAGCGCGCCCTTGCCAAAGAAAAGCGTACCGTTGAAATTCTCAAGAACGAACAAACGGAGAATACCAAACTCATTGGGGATTACGAGGCGGCCGTTGGCACAATGGTGGAACAGATTCGAAACTACTGCCAGAACAACAACATGAACTACCTAGCCCAGAAGCGTCACTACAACAATCTCCTTCAGGCCGAACGAGATGCGCATTTGGAAAGTCGATTGGATCGTGATTATTGGCACGCACAGACCATGAAGTGCGCCGAGATGATCCGCACGGCCTACCGTCTACGCTGCGAAGAGGAGGAAATGCCCGTCCGTGTGATTGCGGGTCTGCAGAATGAAGTCCGTGCCTATCGCAATGCTCTCGGTATGGAGCCGGAAAGGCCTGAAGAAGAGTTTGGATGGGAGGTTTTGAAAGATGTGCCGGCAGGTCTCGAATGAGATGAGAAATGACAGCTTTTGACGGATCTTCTGATTTTTGTTTTGACGACAAGGCGTTTTGGTACGACTCTTTGGCAAGCACGGGCATGGCATGTTTCAGGTGAAGATACCCTTTTTATCTTTGCATATTGTATTATATTTTATATACCATCATGTCTTCCTTTTCTTTACTGTTCTTTTTGCGTTTCCCCATTTCATGTCCTATCCGACAAGATCTTTAAACCATCTCTCTTTTTGGGCATCCAGCGTGATCTGGGAACTGGGAAACATTGGAATATGCGTCTCTCCATTGCTTTACCGGAGTATATGTACAGTACAATAATTGGGGAATGCACTCTTGGCTCTTTCGCTTGATGGAAGTTCCAACCGTCTAGGTGAAACCAACGAACGAGTACAACATCTGACCGACTCTACATGGTCCAGTAGCCATGTCTCATATATACATTTTGTCCCCATGTCGCTCGTCTATTCCTTATAAAACACCTCATCCAGAACCTTCCACCACCCAGGCCCCTCGGCACTGCTCACCGCACCGGGAATCGGACTCTCCTAGACCAACATCAGCACCATAACACATACAGTCCAACCAAGACACAGGGATTGAGAAGGAAAGGGAGGAGGGAAAAAGTACCTGCATGTCATCCGTCATAGCCCACCACTCCCTCACTTTCGGGTTCGCCTTCATGCGCTGCATATCGCCGTCAAAATCCTCTCCTACATATTTAAACGTCGCGAAGAGGGTCCTGTCGTTGTCGTAAAAGATCGAATCTGTCGTTCTTTCATCAGTCTTGATATCATCTTGGACTTCCTCTCTCTCTCCCTCTCTCCTTCGTACGCGGAAAGCGAGGTGTATGAGTGGCATTATATTGAGATATGCTATCACTCACAGTCAACTATATTGCAATCCTCGATCTGCTTTAGGACCTCGGGCCAGACATTCGCGTGGCATTCTTTGTAAGCGGCAAGGGCGCTGGGCTTGAGATGGACGATTTGCGCGATGCGTTTGGTCGGCATGTTGAGTGGTTTATGTGCGTGTATATGTTTGAGTCTTCTAGGTGGATTGGGTATGTTTGTAGATTGACTGATCCTTCATAAATCCTAGGTAGGAAGATTGGAAATGAAGAATGAAAAGGAGAATCAAGTCAGATGTACAGTGTTGTTGTTTGTTCTCTTTCCCCTCATTATAACCCACTTTCGGGGTGCTTTAACCCGAGAGGTGGATGTTCAGATCATTTGTCCGTCCTCGGCTGTGTTATGTCATTGAATTGGATGCATCATGCATGGATCTGCATTCATGGGTGGTCTTTAGTACTGTAGGGATTGAGTCTTTATCTCCACTCCATCGTGATTTATTCATGGTCGAGCCGTGCACAAGTACTGAAATCCTGGTGTCTATCAATGTCCTACCGTTATAGTGTAAAGTTTATACATGCACGTATATATAAATGAAAAGTATTTATTATCATCAAAATAGGAAACCAGCATTAAACATTAAAGTCATGGCCCGAAATCGTAACATCAGCATCAAACTAAGCATCACATTCTTTATCGCACCATCTGGCTCTTGGGCACCGGACGAATCCACGCGACAGCGATGTTGGCGGCAATGGCAATGACTCCAACAATCCAGAGCGATCGGGCGTAGTGTTTGCCATTGTATCGGAATATGATGGCGAAGATGATACCTCCCAGGTTACCCATGCCCCCGACGGCACCGGAGACAATTCCTGTTAATGGCTGTTAGCGTATGCCGCGATTGCAAATGTGATGAACTGAGGCAAAGTGGTTTCTTACCATTGGCAAAGGGGTGGACATGAGGGACAACGGCGAAGTTCGCACCGTTGCATGCTTCGAGGAAGAAGGCCAGACCAGCTGTGAGCCCGAACATGTTTGCTTCGCTCTTGGGGTTTGAAAGGCCCATTGCTAGCTGGAAGGCGCCCATGACAATACCCAAGAAGGAAAGAAAAAGTTTCTTTGACCACACCGAGTCTGTATAGCGGTAAAGGATGTCGGCGATGAAACCTCCAGCCGGTCGAAAGACAACATTGAGAAGGCCGAACATAGCAGCCCACCTGCCTGACTGGGTCTGGCTCATGTGAGGGAAGTTTTCGGAATAGAACTCGCCCAGAATAGAGTTGATAGCGAGCTCAGCTCCAAAGGAGCAAGCGTAAGGGATGGCGACAGCTGCAGTAGAGAGACTGAAAATGACTTTCAGGGCCTCTTTGCGGGTAGGGGCGACGATAACGTCGTTCTTCAGGACGTCGAATTGTCCGATCACTTGACCTTCGTTATCCACCGAATAAGGCGACTGCGTGCCTTTCTTTTCCACATCTGCGACAACGTTTGTGATAGAAGGAGGACTAGAAAGCGGAGTAGATAGGTTGCCCGAGTTGAGATCGACGATGTTGTTGTTTTCTCCTGATCGTCTGTTCTCACGGTCCCAGATATGGCGCTCTGACCATTTACCTGTGGGTGTGTCCTCGCAGGTGAAAAGCATGCCCAAGGACACACCCACGATTATGATGAAAGGGATCACATAGGCAACTCGCCATGCCTTGTGTGGAGCAAGACCTTGGGCAGAGATAAGGGAATCGTAGAGAGCAGGCATCACGAAACTAAAGAAGCCAACTTGTCAGTATAGTTGCTCTCAAGGCTCTACAAGGAGATGAGTCTTACTATGTGATCCCACCACCTGCATTTCCCCACCCAGCTGCCAGGGAATTGGCAGTGCCAACGATCTTCTTGTCAAAGAACCCTGTGCACCACACTTGACAGGGGACGAAAGTGCCCCCAAGAATGCCGACGAAAAAGCGTAGTGCAATCAGGCCTTGGGCATTTGTGACGAGGCCTGCCATTGCGGTAGGAATAGAACCACATAAAAGTAGTCCAATGAAAACCAGACGAGGTCCATAGCGATCACATAACGGACCAGCAACAAATCTGACGAGAAATCTAAATGGGCGTTATCAGTGGAATTCCCCCAGAGAACTTGAATAAAAATCTTACGTTGCAAGGAGAGCAACGATGTTCGAATTCGCCACTTGGGCTTGAGTCATATGAAGGTCTTCTCGGATCGTGACAGTCAACTATTCATCGGCTGTCAGGGGCGTCGTCATAACAAGATAAGCCAAGTTCATGGGAGATTACTGACCAGAGGCGGAAATGCATACCACGACAGGAATGCCACCATGAACCCGAGCCACGAAAAGAAGAAAACTCTTCCATATTGGTCAAATGGATTGAGGACGGGGATTGACAAGGCCTTTCGATTACTGGGGTTGATCTCTGGAGAGACGACAAGTGTTTTGACGAAGTCCATCGTCGGACTGAATCGACACTCAATACAATGGTGGGAAGAATAGAGGCAGATTTAGACGAACGGTATATCAGACACAAAAAGCTAGAAATAACAGGGTATCAACTGTGCCACCTGGGCGAAACCAATGGTAATATATTTTATAAGAGAGAAAAAGACAAGTGCTTAGGAAGTAGCTGAAGGCTGATATTGTTGAGACAGAAGATGTTCGGGGTCATATAAATAGGATAACCACGCATCGGATTGATATTTGATGTCAAGCGACCCTGAATCTTCCGCATGGAACAAAACGTGGCCTATCTCCCCGTAGTGACTGTGCCTGCACGGCATATCACAGATTGTGTCCAGGGAAAAGGAGATTGCAAGTGATTCTAGGCGCTCGATGTCTCTTGGAGTTTCGTAACGAGAACCAAATGAGATCTCTATCTTGCCCGTCTGATTTGACGACCCACCAGTGGGCTCAACTCTGACAAAGAGGACTCATGACATTGGATCGAGCTTCGGCAGGCGTTGCGCCTCCCAGACCTGGCATGTGTGTTTGTGAGGGAAGGAAGACAAGACTCATGGACTGGCCTGAGAGATAAGGTTAGCTTTCTCTCGCCAATCAACTCCGCGCCACTCTAGTTATGGACCGGCGGTTAAGGGGGGTGAGAACCAGCCCAGCGATCGACATCATCGAGAAGTCTAGGTCAATGATAACTCGGTTGAACCCCATTGGGTCCCGCTCGGACCGTTCGGACCGTTCATATCGTCAGGGAAGCCGAGGAAGGCCATGTAATCCGTATGGATCTACGGAGTACCCGGGTCCAGGGACGGAACGAGGACAAGAAAGACGAGAAGGACGAAGAGGATCGAACATAGCTCCGCGGAGAAACCAGAGGCAGAAGTCCACTTCTTTTAAGTTGGATGATGGAGAAGGAAGAGATAAGGTGGTGAGACCAGCTCCACCGCTATCTCCCTTTATCTCGTTAATAAAGAGCCAAATAATGGACTAGTCGAAGTCCAGCAGTGCCAAAGATAAGCTCCTCGTTGGCCGCCGGTAACGTGATAGACGTTTGCCCTAAACTCTGCGGCCACGTGAATCACCCTTCTGTCCTTCCTGACGGAGTGTATGTAGGTGGACCCTGATATGTCCTATAGAATGTCCGGTAGCCAGGCGGTATACGGTGGTAGATAATCATTTCTCAAGAGCATTGAATTTCATTCTGCAGATGAACTACCGTACCCATGCTTATTACGCCCATTCCTATGCTATATACATACTATCGTCTAAACCATAAATCATGATGCCCATCGTCTACCAGTCAATAGTCTTAGTGGTTGGTTGCGTTGTCTTGCAAACTTCAGCGCTTCTCTCGCCCGATTTCTTCCCCCGCATCCCTTTGTATCTCTTGTCAAATTTCTGGAACGGATCCGCGGCCTCTCCTTTCTTCACTTTCCACTTTTCCGTTCCGAGGACCGAATCTAGCTCTTCGATCGGAGGGAGCTTCAAGTAGATCCAACCGTCGTCGCGCTCCTCGATGGGGAAGATGGCGATATTCATGCTGTCATCATTGGAGCATCGTCCGGCCTGCTCACCATTGAGTTCGAAGTTGCGTTTGTGGTAGGGACAGGAGACCCAGTATTTGCCCGCGTCGTCATCACCAATCAGTCCGTCCGAAAGGACAAACGTACGCTTATGGGGGCACATCTGCTGCGTTGCGTAATATTTCCCCTTGACCTTGAAGATCGCTAATTGGGTATCTCCGCGTTTCACATTGGCCGATGAGATCGCTGGCGGTCCGTCCGAGAAGTGATCAGCCTTGATCATAGGCTGCCACGAGAGAGTAGACCATTGGTGACCCTTAAAGTCTTCATTTGTTGCTGCATCTTTCGGCCAATAAGTGGGACGCTGCTGGTCTCGTTCCTGGATGACTTCAACCGTCTCAAGTGTCTCCTCAGTGTTGTCAAATTGCTGGAAGAACTTGCGCCGCTTGGGGTTTCTGATCGTCTCAGCCCACTCGCAGAAATAACTGCTGACGAGCTCCTCCATTTGCTGCTCCATCTCTGCGCCTATGCCCAGCTTATCGTCAACGACGACTTCTCTCAAATAATTGATTCCACCGGGAAGGTTCTCGATCCATCGCGCGGTCCGCTGCAGTTTGTCTGCAGTGCGGATATAGAAAATGAGATATCGGTCAATGATTTGAGTGACCTTCTCTGGGGGTACGTCTTTGACAAGTAACTCGGAATGTCTTGGGTTTGCGCCACCGTTACCGCCAACAAAGATGTTGAACCCCTTCTCAGTCGCGATCAAACCGAAACTGGCGCTTGTTAGTTTTGCGAAAGAACACAAGATCATGATTACCTAACTTACTCTTTGTTTTGTGCCTCAGCACATTCTCTCACACAGCCAGATACGGCGCCCTTGAACTTATGGGGAGCTCGAATACTCTTATAGCGCTCTTCCAGCCGAATTGCCATCCCGACACTGTCGCCAATACCAAACCGACACCAAGTAGTGCCAACGCAGCTCTAATGAGGGAGTCAACACTATGTCCAGATCAAAGCAGAGTACTATACACACCTTGACGGCTCGGAGAGACTTGGCATACGCATGACCACTTTCCATACCGGCATTTACCAGCTCTGTCCAGATGTCAAGCAGATCTTGCTTTTTCGCTCCAAACATATCGATCCGCTGAGCACCGGTAATTTTGCAGTATAGATTGAACTTCTTCGCCACTTGCCCAATGGTAATCAGCTTGTCTGCTGTGATCTCGCCACCAGGAACTCGAGGAACAACGGAAAAGGTTCCGTTTCTTTGGATGTTGGCAAGGAACTTGTCATTAGTATCTTGGAGTTCATGATACTCTTTGTCCATAATGTGACCATTGAAAAGACTCGCAAGTATTGATGCGATAGCTGGCTTGCATAGCTCACACCCCAGAGAATCAGGGTTCCTGCCGACGGCTTTCATGATATTTTCAAATGTTCTCAACCCCTTTATCGCGACGACATTATAGAGGTCGGCTCGCGAGTATGGAATATGAATACACACTAGCTAAAAGTTAGCACAAGGTAACTTGAGAGCTGGGAAGATACCTACAATTGTTTGATACTTCTTGGCCCATGTCCAGCATGGTCTTGTTGAAAATGGATTGTACCAAAGGCATACAGCCACCGCAGCCGGTTCCTGCTTTGGTACACGACTTGACCTCGCCGATTGACTTGCATGTGCCGTTTTTGACATTAGAGACAACGTCACCTTTTGTTACATTGTGGCACGAGCAAATCTGGGTATCGTCGTCTCTGCAATATTACATTAGTGTCATGAGCGGCATAAACGATCGGGGGCATATGACACTGACAGATCATCCGCATTTTCTTCTCCATCTTTCTGCGCCCCAAGAATAAACTGGCTCGGGGGTACCTCAAGTTGCTTCTGACTCTTTACCATCTGATTCAGTTTGATGTAATCTTTGGTGTCCCCGATCATCATCCCACCAAGCAAGTATTTCCCATCCATGGTGAACAAATATTTCTTGTATACACCACTGAAGGGGTCCTTATATGTCAGAGCCTTTACAGGCGATTCCGTCTCGCCTTCATCGGCTGTTGAGAGACCTGTCGTGGTTGGCGGACGCTGACCGGGAAGGAATTTGGGCCCGTCTCTATCTGCGAAGAAGTCGCCGAAGCTGGCAACGTCAACACCCAACAGTTTCAACTTCGTGCTCAAATCCGGTCGCTTAAAGCCCTTGGGCTCCTTTTCTGGATTAGTCAAATTGAATGACAATACGTCAGCCATTTCAATGCCGGGGGCTATAATTCCAAATGTCTGGTTCTCCCAGCTAGCACACTCTCCAATGGCGTAGATATCGGGAATGGAGGTTTGTAGACTGCAAGGAGATTAGAAATAGGTCTTAGTATATAAGGTATATTGAAGAAGTACCTTTCATTTATCACAAATCCTCCGCGCTTTGCCTGCTGAATGCCCGCAGCCTTACCGAGCTCATCTCGAGGACGCACACCAATCTAGGTCTTGTGTCAGCAAAGTGGGACTGCAAGGGACGGACAGTGCTAGTCACTTACGGCAAAACAGATGCAACAGCAGCTGATTTCCTCTCCATCTTCGAACACGATGCCCGTCACGTTGTTCTCGTCGTCTGTATTGATCTTTGCCACTCGCTTTTCGTGCAACACATCTAGACCAAGCTCTCTGATCTTCCGAGTTACTAGAGTGCCGGCATCACCGTCGAGCTGTCTTGCCAATACCCATTTGTTGCGGTCAACGAGCTTCACATTGCCGAAGTCTTCTAGATCGGTCATTGCTTTGGCTGCTTCCAGACCTAATAGACCACCCCCTACTGTGACCCCCGTCTCCCCTTTATGCTTGGACGCGAACTCGATCAGACGTTCGAGATCAGAGATTGTCCGGTAGACAAAAATACCTTTCGCATCGTGACCGGGTGTATGTGTAGGCAGAACTGCATCGGAGCCGGTTGCAAGAACCAGGATATCGTAGCTGATGATGTCGCCAGTCGATGTCTTCACGGATTTGCGTTCGGAATAGATATCGGTCACTCTGGTATTGAGATGGTAGTCAAAGGAACGGTCTTTGAAAGATCCATACTGTCAGGGTTCGGATGGTTAGAGGGTCAATTTAGCAAAAAACGATATATGGTGAACTGCTTACCCATTCCTTTGGGTTGAGATATAGATCTTCGATCTTCCGATGTTCGAAAAACGAGGATAGTCCGACACGATTGTAGGCGATGTGGGGCTCCTCTCCGATCACAACGATGTCGTAGTTGCGTCTCTCAGCATCTTGCTTGACAATCTTCTCACTGGAAACAAAATACTGTGATCAGCACATGGGATCGATCCAGATAGCCGGCTTCGCTGTCATCATCCGCCAGTCAACCTACATGAACGAAATAGCCACCATCCCCAAGCCCACGACTACAATCTTCTGACGTTTGTTCAGATCATTATTGTGAATGTCTGTATCTAGGATGGCGTCGACCGGCTGAACAGGACGAAGACCGTCGATGGGTTGAACCGGTTGCAGACCGTTATGGACGCTGCCATTGACGGCCTCCGCGTTCCTGAGCCCGTCTAGCAAGGGCATTGTAGCACACGGTAGAATCCAGTATGACAAAATACTTGGGATGAAAGAAAGAGGAAATCGATTCCAGCTATGTATATAGATAGACTAAACACCCTCTCGCCTAGGGGAGAGAGCATCTCCGAGGGCCATCAGGAGACCAGCACGGTTCATTTCTCCGTGGCAATTGATACCCAAGGAAATGGAAAGTCTGACTAGAACGAATGGGCCAATGCCGGATTGTAATCAGCGATCTCGCAGCACGCATTGCATCTGTCAGGTCGCCGGGACACAACGTGAGGCGAGGAGGAATCAGACGATTTGAGTGGATCGATAAGGGGAAAGTTAAAGGTCGCTGCATCTCCGCGGAGGTCACCTGTCGGGTTAGTCATGATCGACACGTGCTTATCTCTCTATCACCTCTTCTATCGTTCTTTCGTTCTTCCTTTCATTTTAGTTGATTACCAACTCCTCCTCTTCGACTCGACGATAAGCTGCTTCGCCACCACTCAATCTGATGCTCCCAACAGGGAATATCGCGACTACGAGAATATCCCGTCCGTTTTCGCCCGCTCGCTCGCACGCTCACTGACCCTCCCCTTGCAGGAATGCGGCGCTGAGGGAATTAGTGCCACGCTGACACAAGCACACAATGCATGCATTGAGTCAATAATTTGTACTCTGTACTCCGTGCATGAGCTTAAATCCCGCAGTCTTCGGAATGTACAAACAATGATGGCTGCTGCCACCATTTCACCGCCGTCGGTCTAGACTGGATGGCCTGGATGGCCGGTGAGAAAAATCCCTCTGCGTTCATGCCAGAACTCGTCCAACAGGTCGCGTTAAGCTTTCGGGATGTCGCGGGTAGACCGCCGTGCCTTGGAAACCCACTGGCAACCCTAAAATGGGTCAGCTCATCCGCGGAGATCCATCGAGAATTCGAGATAGAGCCGTGGGTGGATCGCGCTGGATAATCGGCTCCGCTAGACCGCACGATTGCCTTTCTCCGAGGCCCTCAGCTTGTCCAAAATTCCAGCTATCATCCTGTGAAGTAACTAAAACGCCGGCGACTGGGCTCGTGAGACGCCATAATAATGTGAATACATTCTTTTAGTGCCGTAGGCTTTCCCGGTCTGATAATTGGGGTCCCTTACTCCGGAGTAGATTTGTCTTATGAGCGAGGCCGTTGGAACTTCTCTTGACCGATGTTTCTTCTTGTACTCTAATTTTGTCCTCCACTACACCCAACAATAAGGATGACGACTGTCACTGAGGTCTGGACAAAGGCGCTCGTCCCGAGTGATCTCCTACTCAAGTCGACCACAATCAAGGTCGAAGAAGAGGAGACTTCGGATGTTGACCTACAAGATATTCCTCTGCCACCCCCTTCGACAAGACCGACGGAGGTGCTGAGTATAGACAAGAACACACCAGATAATCATGTCCCTCGTGACCCTCGACTTCTCAGATTAACGGGTGTGCATCCGTTTAACGTCGAGCCTCCTCTTACAGACCTTTACAAAGAAGGTATAGATTCTTTCTATTCACACGTCTTCTTACATGGGGAACCCTACCCACTCCTCAAAATTATAGTCCAATCTTGCTTACGTCTCAAAAGGATTCCTCACCTCACCGGAACTCTTCTATGTCAGAAACCATGGCCCGGTTCCCTTCGTGAAGGATGACGATATCTCAAACTGGGAAATCAGCATCGAAGGGTAGGCATCCCCCCCCTACGTATATGGCTCCCAAACAGCTCACAACTATTAGGCTTGTCGAGAAGCCATTAGTCTTGAATTTCCGTCAGGTTTTACAACAGTATGATCAAATCACGGCCCCAATCACCCTCGTTTGTGCCGGTAATAGGCGAAAGGAGCAGAACACTGTGCGAAAATCAAAGGGCTTCTCGTGGGGTTCGGCCGCGTTGTCAACGGCCCTCTTCACTGGCCCTTTGATGGCTGATATCCTCCGAAGTGCCAAGCCACTGCGCAAAGCCAAGTATGTCTGTATGGAGGGAGCAGACAAACTGGTATGTCGTCCTGATAACTATGCCAAGCGGCGGTGTTGACCATGCTTCTAGCCAAATGGCTTCTATGGAACATCTGTCAAGTTGAACTGGGCCATGGACTATAACAGAGGTATCATGCTGGCTCAGAAGATGAACGGGGAGTCTCTTCGACCTGACCATGGTCGTCCACTGAGAGCTGTTGTACCGGGTCAAATCGGTGGTAGAAGCGTCAAGTGGTTGAAAAAGTTGATTTTGACGGACGCACCAAGCGACAACTGGTATCATATCAATGATAACCGTGTCTTACCGTAAGTTGCTCAATACACTTGTTCAACACTCTGTCTAACTATATGAAAGAACCATGGTTTCTCCTGAAATGGCATCAAGCGACCCAAAGTGGTGGCGTGATGACCGTTACGCCATATATGACCTCAACGTCAATTCCTCCGTTGTTTATCCGGAAAACAACGAAGAGTTAAACATTGCTTCAGCGGGGCCAGCTTACACAGTGAAAGGCTATGCGTACGCAGGGGGTGGACGAAGAGTCACGAGGGTGGAGATCTCGGTGGATAAGGGCAAGAGTACGAACCCTGATGCATTTCGATTTCCGCCATAAATCAACTGACATACTCCACAGATTGGCGCTTGGCCGACATTCATTACGCGGAAGATAAATACCGTGACTTCGAAGGAGACCTTTTCGGTGGAAAAGTAGACATGTCCTCGCGAGAGACCTGTTTCTGTTGGTGCTTCTGGTCTCTTAGCATCGCTATTTCTGAGCTCGAAAACAGTGATGCCATCATCGTTCGAGCAATGGACGAGGCACTGAGTATTCAGCCGCGCGACATGTACTGGTCTGTCCTGGGTATGATGAACAATCCTTGGTTTCGGGTCACAATTACCAAAGAGAATGGTATCTTGAAATTTGAACACCCAACACATCCCACCATGCCCGGTGGCTGGATGGAACGCGTTAAGAAGTCTGGAGGTAATCTGCTCAACGGAAACTGGGGCGAGAGACAAGATGGAGAGGAACCAATTGCCCCCGAACCCGTGAAGGAAATCAAGATGAAGAAGGATGGGTTGAATCAAGCGATCAGTCTGGAGGAGTTCAAGAGTCAGTCAAGCGAACAAAAGCCATTGTTTGTCGTTAATGGCGAAGTTTATGATGGCACGGCATTCCTTGAAGGCCATCCCGGAGGGGCGCAGAGTATCATCTCCTCTGCCGGACTCGATGTCTCGGAGGACTTCCTGGCAATCCGTAAGTACTTTTTTCATTCCTGGTATTGTGATCGTGTTGCTAATGCTTTACGTAGACAGCGAAACAGCAAAAGCAATGATGCCTGCTTATCACATCGGAACAATGGACAAGGAATCCCTAGATGCACTCAAGAACGACGCCTCATCAGTTTCAGACAAACCACGCGCAGAGTTCCTCCAGTCAAGGTCATGGACCAAAGCAACTCTTGCGAAGAAAACTGACATATCATGGGACACACGCATATTCAGCTTCCAGCTAGAACATGACAAACAGACACTGGGCTTGCCAATCGGCCAGCATCTTATGATCAAAGTCTTAGATTCAGCAGCAGGGAACGAAGCCATTATTCGCTCCTACACCCCGATATCCGAAACCAACCAAGAAGGAACAATGGACTTGCTGGTCAAGATCTATTTCGCAAGTCCCACAGTTCCTGGCGGCAAGATGACCATGGCTCTTGACAGGCTCTCCTTGGGCTCGGTGATCGAATGCAAAGGACCGACCGGACGGTTCGAGTACCTCGGAAACGGCCGAGTTCTCGTCAGCGGCAAAGAACGCCATGTCAACTCCTTTGTCATGATTTGCGGCGGAACCGGCATCACGCCGATATTCCAGGTCCTACGTGCTGTTATGCAAGATCAACAGGATCCCACTACGTGCGTTATTCTCGACGGGAACAGGCAGGAGGAGGACATTCTTTGCAAGTCCGAACTTGACGCATTCGAGGTGTCGGACAGCAATAAATGCAAGGTGATCCATACTCTGAGCAAAGCTCCAGATTCTTGGACGGGCCGTCGAGGGCGTATCTCGGCAGATCTCCTCAAGGAGTATGCGAAGTTTGATGAGCAGACCATGGTGCTTCTTTGTGGACCAGAGGCCATGGAGAAGTCTACGCGGGAGATTCTTCTAACGCAAGGGTGGGCGGAACAGAACCTTCACTTCTTCTAGGAAGTGTTAGCTCTATGGAAAGATGATATGTTTGACATGATAGGTTTGGCGTTTCTTGGGACAGGATTGTTATGTATGTACACGAATACACGCATTGATGCAGATTTCATAGAAATATGAATATTATTAGCAAATGATTTATATTATGTCTTGGCATTGATAGTCCAATATCCTCTAAGAAAGTCTGAATCATCCTTCTCGTATATGAAATATCAGTAATACATCTTGGCATCCAGTCGTGCCAGAAGGTGATCGAAAACGCTCGTAGGATCCCCTCTTGAGGAAAAAGTAGTGCCAGACCGACCGAGAGACTTCGAAGACGCCTTAATGCCATCAAGATTGCGTAGATAGCCCACAAACGCCGAGGTTTGCTTTCGAAAAAGAGCAAAAAGCCGACGCACGGTGATTTCACTCTCATGGCGCACGCCACGCATGCCGTCCAACCGTGACAGGGGCGCAAAGTTGAGGATTGTGGTGAAGATGCCCTCGAGTAACCTCGCTGCCTCCGTATGCCTTTTGCTAAGGAATAGGGCAAAAAGCATCTGATCCAGAATGTCTTCATGGTAGTCCCTGAGCCGATGAACGGACTGGGCCGCTTCGATAGTACCGTCAACATCGCCCAGGTCGAGGCAAGTCTCGATTTTTGACAGGGTGTCTTGGAATCGCTGCCACGTTGATCCTACCCCGATGTGGAAGCAATAGTCGCTCAGGGCAAGGACGAAATGCTGGCACTCCACACGGAATCGTTGAAACACATTCCGCGTGTCGCCTGAGAGAGAATCTCTGGCCGTAGAATCACGAATCAGACCCTTGACAACCGAGACCATACGAAGGAGTCGGAGTAAGTGTTTGAACAAGCGGTCATATTTGTTCAGGGACTGCTGAGTTATGATGGCGTCCGACACATCTGACGGCTTGTACTGTAAACGGAGAAAATCGAGAGCTTCAATCGCATTGGGATCTTTGCATTTAGCGACCTCTTCGTCCGTCAACTCCCTGATTGAGAAGTTGAGGCCGCCCGGCAATTCCGTGTCTCTACGAAACTCGGCGTTTCCTGAACTCTCTGAGCGATCATCTGCGTTGCGACAATCATTGAGAAGACCTATTAGCACCAACCGTAGCTCCGAGCTTGCTGGAGGCCATGTATCACGGCTGCCCAGGCGCAAGCCAGTGTGAACGCCGCCTCGGACCACTCCGGACTTTCGTTCGCCACTTTCCATTTCTGGATCGAAAAGCGCATGTGACAGACGAGACGTGAAAAAGCCATCCCCGAGGAGTTGGAAACGCCATTGCAATGTAAGATGATACCTGACTTTGTGTTGCTTGAACAGAAGATGAAGACAGGAGTAGTCAATTAGCAGTGCCTGAGAGGACAGTAACGGTGCAAGGGACAAGTAAAGCGAGGATATCAAGTCTGGGCCAAAGCGATTCGTGCCATCTTGATGTAACCCTAGGTTTGCTGTTCCTGTTTCTTCAAGGATCTGGCCAATTCTATCTCTTTCGAGGGAGGACGGATTTGCAAGTAGCCCCGTCAGATTCTGCTTATTGTCGATATCGAACAAATCAAAGGTATTGGCAATCATATCGTTGTGGTTGTCGCATGGCGAGGTATGTATTGTAGGCTGTATTGTTGTCTCTTCCGAGCCCTCGCCGCTATTGTACCTCAGTATTTCCGCTCGAAGTCTCTTCTCGTACTCATCCGCCTTGTTCTGGATTCTCTCAATATCATTCCAAGCACTGACACATTGAAGTTTTGCAGAGTGGACGGTAGGTCTATTGCTACACGCGACAGGATGCTGTGGATGAAAGCGTTTGAGAAGTCGAAGGCTTCGCCCGCTCTCGAAGATCAACTGTGCTTGATCCGTGGGGATGAAGGACGGCATTTGGTCAGGACAATATTTGAAATCGATTCTTGGTGCCTTTGAAGCGGCCTTCCCGCTTTCATCATGGTATTCGAGGGAGATAAAGCTTTGGCCTTTATCTGCCAACTCTATCAATGTCGAGGTCTCCGGACGGAAGCCAATCCAGGTTTCCACATAGCTCAAAAACGGCTCAATCAATCGAACAACAACCTCACGGAACAGGTCTTCTAGCTGACCGAAGGCGTGTGAATAATGAGCGGCTCTTTCAAGCACAATGGAGATCAGATGTGCCTCTGAGATGGCCTTTTCAGCAGCCTCGACTATATTCGCTAGAGCACTTACTAGCTCACCGCTTCGTTGGAACAATGACTTTATCTGGATGAGCGAGGTGATATGCTTCGAGTATTTTGTGAGTTCCTTTTCAATTGTGTACATGATCACTGCAGTCGCACTCGAAAGCGTCGAAAGGGCCGAGAGATCGCGACATTTGGAAGGTTTTTTGCCGAGGAAGTCCCGTATGTTTTGCATATTTGATCCGCTAACAAGTAACTCATCTGTCAAACTCTGCACAGCTAAAGCGCTAACGCCACTTATGCGCATGTTCCCGAGTACTTGCTCAAATTTCCGGTCCTCTTTATTGTAGCGGAACAAGATAGAGCTCCAGCCCAATCCCAGCTTGAACAGAGATTGAAACAGGACTTCATTTCGAACAATACGTTGCGTATCTCCGGAGCCGTCCTGTGCAGCCTGATGTGCCAACGATCCATCAAAGCCTTTCGCGCCAGACTCGCTGAAATACGCGGAGGTGGGCTCGCGGTGCAGTCGATCTTGGTAGCTCTCCCATGACTTCAATATTCTTTGGTTACAAGGATTGTAATCCAAGTTCTCGGGTGCCCAGATGTTCTCTGATACATCGTCTTCTTGTCGGTCAGGATCTAGAATTGATTGGCCATCGCTGGATGCATCGACAGTTGACTCCGGTCGTTGGTCCACATCAGACAGGTCGATTTCAAAGGGGTTCAGATTCGGAAACTTTGGCTCATTGTCGTTAAACAGGCCCAATGGGGTTTTGAAGAAGTCGCTGGTTATATCTAGAAAGCAAAAACTCGGTCAGCTCTCCAATCGTAGTTTCTCGGAGTCCCGAGTGTAGGTGAGTACCAGGCAAGTCTTGGTTCCATGACAAGGGCTCCAGCGGTTGCAGGGACTGTAGCGTAAAATTGGAGATCTTCCAAAGACCATCGCTTGAAAAGGGATCTATGCCATCGTCCTCGCGATTCATGATCAACGACACATGGCGCATGCCGTAGGCAGAACCACGGACAAGAAAGAAGCCTCACTCTTATCGCTTCAAGCATCAGGCCGACGCGTGGGCAGCGCGAGATCACGCCGCACTAGCCTGAGTGGGATTAGCGCATCCCCGGCCTGCGCCCGGACCACCGCTTGTTCGGGAAACCGACGCAGAATGAATTCGTTTTCTGGGAATCTCCAAGCCATCCTTGCTTCCATTGCACCTCCAAAGTACACACTCCCCTCGAAACCTCGACCACGATGCCTCCTCGAAAGAAACCGAAGCTCGCGACTCAGTCCGAATCCTCAACCACTCCCGTCAATGAAAGCGCAGCGCAGCCAAACGCGGATTACGACCCCGTCACGGACCCGTGGACCGACGAACAAGAGACGGCCTTGTTGAAGGGGATAATCAAATGGAAGCCTGTCGGTTCGTGCAGTCTCTATTTTCTGGACCGGTGGAGCTTAGGCTAATGCGGTTGATTTATCAAAGGCATGCACAAGCATTTTCGCATGATCGCTATCTCGGAGTTTATGAAGAGCCAAGGATATGCGCCCTCCCACGCGGAACATACTCGAATACCCGGAATCTGGAAGAAACTCGGGACGCTATACAATCTTCCTGCGCTTGATGAGCGGGTATGTAGCTTCTGTTCAATGCAAAGGTTCGATCTAGCAAGGTTTCACACTGACCGTTTCGGTGGGGGCAACAGGAGGACTCGTTGATCACCGACACATCCGATGACGTCGAAAATTCTAAAGAGCTATACTGTCCATTCGACCTTCCCGAGGATGAATATGGTGAATTGATGTTTGAAAGGCGACTAGCAATGGAAGGCTCCGTGTCTCCCGCTCACAGTCCCCATGCTGAATCTAGGCGAGGCAGCACCGTGGCGGATACAGACGGTTCGTCACACATCTTCATTTGAACGCTAAATTTACTGACTACGTCTTTCTTGAACCTGCGTATAGAGCCTCGATCCTCTCCGGTCCCGTCGCGAGGTAGAAAGCCAGGCCGTGGTGGTCGTCCATCTACGCGTGGCACACGCTCGTCGCGACTCCACGTGGAGGTTGAACCAAGGAGGAAGAGATCCGGCACTGGTGAGGAGGAGGGAGACTCTGAAGAAACCGCTGCAAATGATGATGGTGATGAGGAAGGTACAGACGGCGCGAAGGACGATAGTGAGGGGGAGGACGAAGGCGACGAAGGCGGAGGATCTCCCACTACGAGAAGTACGCGTGCCCAAACATCCCGGTCGAAACAGAAGGGAAGAGGCGCGCCAACGGGACCAAGAAGAGGCTCTCGGAGGCGCTAGCGTAAACGCGTTTCCAAGCTCTGTTTTCTTCTCTTCTTGTTTCTTTTCTTTCCCATGATACCTTGGCGCACATGAGGGTGGCGTTTTCTGTATTTTCTGGATCTCATTATCGCGGCTAAGGCGTATCCTGTGTTTACCGATGCGTTTCAAGCACAATCAATATTACTCAATTTTCTTGCAAATGTCCCAAATTACAAGCAGCACACTTCGATCAAAAGCCTACCAGGTTGGAGGTCAACGCGCCTAGCATCTTAATAAATACATTTGAGTACGTATAATAGATCACATTATATGGTCTAAAATCATTCACATGCTAAAAGGAGACAATCAAGGGAAATAGTACATGATGTGAACGAATCCCTTACAGGCGCTTCATGATGGCCTCAGCGTACTCGCTGGTCTTGGCCTTACCGCCCAAGTCGCCGGTGAGAGCCTAGAATTGGCGCGTTAGTTCATCTGACAGATTGGTGGGGGTAGCGGGGATTGGGATAGCGTACCTTTCCTTCGGAGAGGGTGTCGAAGGTGGCCTTCTGGATGCGAGCGGCGTGCTCAGTGAGACCCATGTGCTGCAGCATCATGATACTGCTCAGAAGAAGAGCAGTGGGGTTGGCAAGACCCTTGCCAGCAATGTCGGGGGCGGAACCGTGGACAGCCTCGAAGATCGAGCACTCGTCACCAATGTTACCGGAGGGGGTGAGACCGAGACCACCGATCAGACCAGCGCACATATCCGAGAGGATGTCACCGTACAGGTTGGGCATGACCAGGACCTTGTCGTTGTAGGGAGTAGGGTCGGTGACGATCTTCAGGCAAGAGTTGTCCAGCAGCTCAGCGTCGAATTCGACATCGGGGAACTCCTTGGCGATATCACGGGCAAGGTTCAGGAAAAGACCGTCGGACATCTTCATGATGGTAGCCTTGTGCACCACGCGGACCTTCTTCTTGTTGATGGAACGAGCGTACTGGAAGGCGAAGCGCAGCACGCGCTCGGAGGCCTCCTTGGTGATAAGCTTGATGCTCTGCACAACACCATCGACAACGACGTGTTCAATACCAGAGTATTCACCCTCGGTGTTCTCACGGATCAGGACGGTGTCGACGTTGTCGTAGGGGGTCTTGTAGCCAGCGACGGAGCGGCAGGGACGAACGTTGGCGAAAAGGTTGAAGGTACGACGGAGAGTAAGGTTCAGCGAAACGTGTCCCTTGCCAACGGGGGTCTTTACAAGAAAAGAAAGTGGAAATCAGCGAATGCAAAGTTGAAAGGCAATCATGGACAAAACCTACAGCTAGGGGACCCTTGAGCGCAACGTAGTTCTTCTGCACGCTCTTGATGGCTTCGTCGGGGATGGCGGTCTTTCCATCCTTCAAGATGGGGGTCACATCAACGGGCTCCCACTTGATGGGGGCCTGTACAATTTTTTAGCATTCCAAAATCCTTCGTGGTTGATGAAGGGGCGGATTCAAGTCGAAGCGTACGTTTGCGGCAGCGAAGATATCCTTCACGGACTGCGAGATCTCGGGGCCAATGCCATCACCCTCGATCAAAGTCACGGTGTATTTTCCCTAGCAAGGCGATCACATTGTCAGAACCCATATTCCAGTCATATTTCAAACGTTGTTTGCGGAGTCGGTCGAATGATTGTGTTGTAAAGGAACGTCGGAAAACCTCGGGCCAAGGGAAAGAAAAACCAAGAACAAAAAAAAAAGTAAAATATCGGTCGGGCGACATACATCGGTATCCTTCTGTCCCTTGAACTTGGCGACACGCTCATCGGCAGCAGCAGCGTAACCACGCAGCTAAAAAGGCAAGTTAGCATAAGACACGCATTGACTAGCCAAACCCTCGCTCAGAGGGGGCCAACTGAGGTAGGTCGCTGGTTACCTGCGAGAAAGGCGAAGCGATTCTAGGGGAGACACGGGTTGTCCGCAAGCATTGGCGGGCGGGAAGAGCGAAGTTCCTGGCGGCAAACATGTTGACGGGGTCCCCGGGGACAACAGCAAACAATCGAAGAGGGGAGATTGGGGGTGGGAGGAAGAAGGAATGGATGGAGGGTGGGAAGAGGAGCGTGTGCGGGAAGGACGAAAGAAGTTCCCATCAGGCCAATCTCTCGGCACCCGGTCCGTCCGGCTTGGATGCTTGCCGTCTTCGGTCCCCCAGTCCACTTGGTGTCTTCCTTAGATCAGATAACGCCAACCTTTCCCACCTGCACGTTGCCATTATTCATTGGGCTAGGAGCACGACCGGAGTACCTAGTACCTACCCTGGCGCTCGCCTCTAGCTGATCCCGCCCTTGCAGCTCCTTGCGCGCTCTTCCCTGCATGTCATCGATTGAGCCCTTGTTGACTGATCGCTTCTAACCGCCGGAGATCGGTACTTGCCTCGTGTCTCAAGCGCCCACGTCGACACGTCGCAGAAACGATGGCCGATTCTGAGGTCGCCAATTTCTATAACCTCCCGTCGGAATACCCCGAGGAATGGCCCGCCGAGCTTGAAGAGAGCGAGGATTCCGAGGATGAGACCCTCCAACGACGTGGTTCGCGATCCCGATACTTCGCCCTCGAACGCAGCAACAGTGGTCGGAAAGGACCGAATCTCGGGTCGTTCAAAGGGAAAAATGGGAGGGACAACCTCGTGAAAATGGACGAACCCGATCCGCTCGGGTCTGGGGAGTCTGTGTTCAAGATCTTGAAGAAGAGAGGGTTGTCTCTGGAGGAAGAGGGTCGTTTGCGCAACCGCTTCCTTCTCTCGTCTACCTCGTTCTCGCCGGCTCTCTTCCTCTCACAGGCGCACTCAGATGCATCGATCAAATCACTCCTCAGTGGACTTGATTTCCTGTCGCGATCCATCGATCAGAAATCGGCCTCGTTGAAGGTTCTCGTTGAAGCCAATTTCGAGCGCTTCGTTCGCGCCAAGGCGACCATCGACAGTGTCTATACCGAGATGAGGAACCAGGGAAGGGAACAAAACACGTCCGTACAACAAGCTCATCGTCGGTCAGGGCATTTCCGGAATTATTCGGGAGGGATGCAGACGGTTCCCTCCCCGGCTCCGTCGGACTCGGCACCCGGGAAGAACGCTCTCACCAAAGAGAGTGAGTACGGCATAAAAGGCATTCGCGTTCCTTTGCTGGAGGCTTCTGTTAAAGCCGAGGAAGTGTGGGGTCCTGCACTAGGAGGCCGTGAAAGAGAACAAGCGCTGAAATCGGTGGTTGAGGCGATGGAGAAACACCGCGACGTATATGAGATCGGCGGGATGCTTTCAAAATCCATTAAGCAGAGAGACTACGATTCCGTCTTTGAGCAATATACCAAGGCAAGAACTCTTGCCAAGGACGCAAAAACCATCGCGGACAGGGCGATTAGCAAGCAGCGACCGTTAACTGATGAAGATATGCATTTAATTCTAGCCATGGGGCGGATGTGGATGGACGTCGATCAGCAACTACAGGCGTTCAAGCGTGACCTCTGGAGACGTCTCGGCGACGCGCCTACTACCTCGACAACAGTGACGGCATCCGGGCCGGTTGAAGAACACATGGAACTCATAGGTGCCTTGCTGGAGCTGGGAGTGGACGACAACCCTATCTGGGTCTGGCTACTCAGTAGGTACAATTTTTTGAAAACTAAAATAACTGCATTCTGCGAACGGTGCAAAACGGAAATCGAAATTCTGCGGCGCAGGCTCGCCAGCGGCGAGAAACCAAGTCCTCGAGCCGTTGCATCATATCTCAAACTGGCACCGCGCGACAATGCCAAAGATACCCAAGATATGCTGGATACTGATCAGATCATTGAACTCTGGGATTGCGTTCATACCTACCTCAATAGGTTGCTGTCGTCGCAGGGAGGTATTCTTGGGGAAGTGCTTGATTTTTGGGAAGCGGCTCAGTCTTTCCTCGATGGGAGCAAGCAAAAGCTGCTCCCTGCCGGGTTCGAAGGTGAAAGCCGGAAGCACCACCGGCTTTCGAGCGCCGATTCGAGGGATCTGCAGAAAGGCGTTGTCGAGCTGGTGAACCTCATTCGAGAAAGTGTCCTATCGTTATTTGCCGACCCTCCGTTAGAGGATATCTCTCTGCTCACCTCGCCAATATCGCCACCCAGTCCCAACAGCCCATTAAATATGGGGGTGACACCCACCGAGTCCCGGTTCAAGCTGGACCCCAAAAACATGCCGTTTCCCACTCCAAAGAGCGGCGAACACTGGGAAGACTACGCGTTTTGGCCCCCGTTTTCCAATGCGCTCAGTGGGGTGCATTATTTGGGCCAATTCCTGGTCATCATCGGAACGGCGGCGAGCGAAATGGCTGCCCTAGGCCCGGTATTGAGCAATGGCAACGCGCATGGTCTTCTCAAGGCGCTTGTCAGCGTCGCCCGTGAGCGCGCGGTGCGAGTGGTCTGCGCTGCTTGGGGCAGGGACGCTGAGATCTGCAAGATGATGGAAGACTGGACACGAGACCCCGAGATTAGGGACCTCACGAAAATGCCAAGCTTATTTGTGGCTTTTGAAAATGCAATCAGTGGGGGAATGCAAAAGATTCTGTATGTCTCGGAGGCTATGGTCAAAGCCGGTGATGTAGACATCGTGACGCAGCCACCTACCAAGCTTCTTCAAATGGTGCGCACCCAATTTGTCTCCAGCGTTTACAAAGCCCTCAGCGGTCTAGTGGAGAACGCAGAGCACCCTGCCGCTCCAGAAGAGGACAACGAATGGATTCTCGCCGGCTCGACGGCGCGCAACCGGCCTGGAATATCTTCCGTTTTTGTGGCAGACTCTGTCGATGCGCAGAACAGGGTACGTTCTACCAATCACTTCCTAGTATCATGGCGAATAAACTGACAAGTCGTTAGAACGTGCGCATTCTCCTTACTCTCTCGAACATCAAAGCTCTCCAAACCGATCTGGTGCCCCAGTTGGTCGCGAACTTTGAAACCTCTTTCTCCGTGAAGTTAACGGATGAAGCCAAAACCATTCGCGATGTGCTCAATCAAATCGATAACCGCCTGTTCCAGTCATACACCAACCCAACTATTGAGACATTGCACACGACGATCTTCCATGGCATTACAGCCGCCGATTGGGAACCCTCCGTCGCTCGTCCTGACCAAGTCCGGTCCTACGTGTACAACACATTGCTAACACTGGTGCTTGTTCACACGGAGATCTCGACTACCATTCCTTCTAGCGCATCGGCTTCGACGCGCCCATCAACGACATCAACATCGGCACCGTCCGCCCTGCTCTCCGTCGTGCTTACACATCTACTGACGCAAATTTCTTCGTCTCTCCTCAAGTCATTCAGTTCGCGGTCTTCGTATAGTCTCCCTGCCCTAATGCAGGCCACTCTAGATACGGAGTACATTGCACAGACCATGTCGCAGTACTCCACCGACGAGGCATCGGCACTGCAAAGTCAAATCTACGTTGAGCTGGACCGTCGCACCTCTCACGAAGCCCGCGCTCGACTTCAATCGGAATTGGGTGAAATGAGGGGCGTTCTAAAAAGATTACGAGAAAGAACCAAGGGGGAGTTTGCTTGCTTCAGGAGAGCAAGAAGCGGTGCGGGTCAAAAGGCATCGGCATAGTTATGTCGTGTCGGATGAAGAGTTGTATATACAGAATAAGCTTGTGTCTGGTCAAGAGCACCGGTCTCGACCTGATTTACTCCGTAGAACAATCTGGAATCTATTTCCGCGACATCAACATCATAGACGCGTTTGATCCTAAGGGTGAAGAATAATCAAAATGTAGGGTATCATTGACAAAATTTTTGTTCCACCGCAAGCCAGCTCTACGTCTGACCAACCATTCTTTGCACGCGATCTAGCAGCACCTTGCTTTCGCGACCCAGCCTTCTTTTACCGAACTGGTCCGGCCGCCTCGCGCGGGACATGTCCTCTCGGTTCTTCTGTCTAAACTCTCGATCCTGTCTCCGCTTCTCCGCTTCCTGACGACGCTGTTCGGCGGCTTCCATTTCTTTGGTGAACGCAGACCGTTTGGGCTTCCTCTGTCGACGGCCCTGGGCGTCCCGATTTTGCGAGCGTTCCGGTCTGGGTGAGGGTTCCGGAGCCGGTTCATTCAACATCGCCAGTCGATCCGGATGAAGCTCGAGGCCGGCGGATTCAGGCTCAGGCGACTTCTCGTCCCCATGTTCCTTCTGTGTCTCGGCACCTGCGTCTGCGACAGCATAGGTAGGCTTGCGTTGAGCGTTGGCAAGCTCTTCTTCGGCCTTGACTTTGGCATAGGCTTTCTTGACCTTAGCTTTTTGGATTAGGTCGGACTTAATCTTTTGGGCTGAATAGTCGCAGAGGTTAGTTGGCTGGAACTTCACAAAGTTGGGCGTACACTGGGTATACTGGGGAATGGTAAAAGACTAACTCTTTCGGCGATATGTGCCATCGGGCAGATTTGCAGGGCCGACTGAAAAGCCCTTTCTCTTCTTGACCGGAGCTTCTGTATTATTCCGCGTTTCGGCGTTTGCATCAGTGTCTCGGGAGCGTTTGGCCGCCATGATGAGCTGGAGATCAGGCGGAATTGGGACAGGAAAAAAGTTTGTTCAGGGTTCCTGTACAACAGGCTCCGGCGAATTTCTTGGAGCGGTGAGTTGGGCAACAATTGTCGCAGTCAACGTGGCGAGGGATTTTTGTTGAACTTGAACCGGGCGGTTTAGAAGGGTAAAAAGAAAAAAGAAAAGAAAAAAAAAAAAGTCGGAACGGAGTCCGAAGTAAATGGAGGTACTACTCGGTTTGATACCAAATTGGAGATTGTTAACGCCTTGATCGGGCCTCGAACAGCTGCACTTGGGAAGAGAACAGGACTATGGAAATCCTTGGGCCACGTCAAAGCAGGAAGAGTAGGGAAGTTGAACAAGCAAAAGACCATCGAGACTCTGGCAATGTCCCAATACAGAAATGTATGTCTGGTTTGTCTGATCTGCCTGATTGGGCTAGCGTGTTCTCGCCGATGACGTACAGATACGGTAAGTTACAGGGGCCCGTTTCTTCATGCCTGAGGAATCCATCCTCATGACTTGCCGCATCTTCGGATTAAAAAAGAACTTGGAATTGTAATTATTGAGTAAGAATCATAATCAGATCATCCTTGACTCATTCGCCCTCTTCCTTCTCCTATTTCCTTCCCTCTCCTCCCCTTTACTTTTTTTTCCTCCCCCGTCCCCTTTGTCAGTCTCCTGTTTCTTTCATCGTCCAACTTCAGGTCCTCTCCCCCTCCGATGCCGATCCGTTGCGGTCATACAATCCTACTCCACCGTGCTTGAAACTTGAGTGACCTCCGCCACCGGGTCCCTGCGTGCTACCGAAACACTACATCATCTGCCTTTTTTGTTCGCTCGCTCTCTCCTGACCAAACTTTGTTTCCCCAGAACCCCGCCCTGCGGTTGCGATGATTGAGCTTTTGTCCGCCGATTTCGTCCATCCCAACTACTGGTGATCATGCCTATGTTTCAGGATCCGGATCGCCAGCAATTCTACGATTTATGGTCCGATGACCAAAGAGACCCCGACGAGGATGCTCGGCAACATGCTATCCCCACTTGGAAACAGTACCAGGCCAATCATTCCGGATTTGGCCGTCCTGAAAGGGGTGACATATTCTCCGATGAGCGGTCATGGCCGGAGTATCCTCTGTCGGGGCTGCGTGCAAGTGATCGAGAGGACTTGATCCGCTATATTAAGAGCAGCGATGCTTCTCCGTGGGCGCCGCAGACTTCGGTATGTCTAACCTTTGCTTCGTGCCAAGTTCCCTGCGTTCGGTTGTTCGTCATCAATAGCGGTGGGCTGCTCTTTGCGCATTTACTCATAAGGCATTCCATAGTTCGGGGAACCGAGTGCCGGTCACTTTCGCTCCGATAAGCCTGATTACATGGCGAATCAATCATTTGAACGAAGTCTACCCAACGAGAGCCATCACCAAGAGGATCAGGAACTAGGATCGCCGGCCGATATAGTACGTCCTCGATCAGCTTTACATTCGGGCGATTTTCGAGAAGGCGCCAGAGAGCAGAGCGGCCAACAGCAAATACCTCCATCTCCTATACCACGAACGACCACTGTCCCGCAGTTCCCTCCCCTGAGTTCTTCTCCAACCACGCCATGGTTTGCGGTACCGGCTCGTCCGTCTGCTGGGAAAACCGTGCCGGCAACTCGCTCCCGAGCACCCTCTTTGGGGTCATTCTCCTCCAGCTACGTCCTGAAGGCTCCGACAAGCCCGTTGGTTTACCAGGCAAACAATACAGACTTGGATTTTTCTCCTAGGACGGAGTCCGCAGATCAGGCAGAATTCTCAGAAAAAGCAAGTCGTCGCCGAACGCTGCCTCCAGAAAGTTTCCGACACCTCCAATCATCTCCTACTGCCCACCGAGGCTCGATCTTTCAGAATGGTCAATTTCTTGGGCGATGGAACGAACCATCTCACGGAGCCTATCCTGCCCGGCGGTCTTTGGCATCGACTTATAGTCTTCAGCTAGCGTCATCGGTGCAGACGCCATCTCCAAGAGCTCGGAGACTTTCCATTACCTCGGAATCTTCGCCCCGGCCACATGCCTCGCTTGTCGGCTCGTACGAGGAGTCTATTCTCCGTGGGCGTATGTCAATGAATCCGTCGAAGCCCCTAGATTTCACCGCGCAGATCGGAGTGCTTGGTAAAAGCAAGTGTAAATCAAGTCTCAAATGCCCGCCCCACGTCACGGTTCCTTTCCCGGCGGTTTTCTACAGCTACCCTACTTCTGGGTACGGACGAACGATCTCGGACGACAATCCCAGCCCTTACGTTGGCTTGATCGACCTGGAAAATTCTCTTCCTAGGGACACGTCGGCCAGCAGCCGACGGCGACGACGCCATCAGAGCCCTGCAGGTCCTCACGGTGACCAAGGCGCGGAGAACGAACTGTCATCGAAACCCACCGATCAGGATGCTTTGCGTAAACGCGAAAAAAGACACAGGCGGGCCGAGTCTCCCAAATGCCCTCCCGGTGGTTGTTATAGAATCCCGCAACAGGGCCAGTTGCAGATCATGATCAAAAACCCGAACAAGACGGCTGTAAAATTGTTTCTCGTTCCCTATGACTTGGGTGACATGGAACCCGGGACAAAGACATTTATCCGGCAAAGAAGCTATTCTGCCGGTGCTGTAATTGACATGCCACTAACTGCTAGAAAGAATTACGGTACTGATCGCCCCGAGGCGTCGTTGAATACCTCCGAGGACCCCAAGGACAAGCCCATATTAAGATACCTGATTCACCTCAATATTTGCTGTCCGTCCAGGGGCCGGTTTTACCTCCACTCGAGCGTCCGTGTGGTGTTTGCCAACCGCGTGCCCGACGGGAAGGAACAGCTCCGCAATGAAATTCAGCATCCCGACCCTCGATACACACCTTACAAGCCTGTCCGAGACGCCCACCATTCGCACATGGTTCCCAAATTAGCGACGGACCGCTCATCCCAACGGGCGGCCGCGAATCACGAGCCGATCGCAGCGTATGACGCTCCCCATCCCTCTGCCGACATCCCCGACAGTTCGTTCGCGATTCCGTCCTCACTGCGACGAAACACGATGAATCCTGGACAGTATCACTCAATACAGCATACTGCTCATCCATTCCAGCCCATCCCGTCTCTGAGAAAGGAGTCGTTCTGCTTGCAGGATCTAGACTCGATCGAACCATGTCGTTTCGATGAGGACCGATACCACAAGCTCAATAGAGGAGATATCGGTTACGGCGGTTACCCCTCCGTCGGTGGTCTCGAAGCGGGTGAAAGCCTGTTGGCCAAAAGATTACGAGGGCTCGATGTTCACAAGCACGATTGCCCAGATCTCAACTAACAGTGAGCATGATCACTTCTATAACCAACCCACCGGGGTGTGAACAGTATCTTCATTTCTCTTATATTTGCTTCTTTCCAATCATTGTCGGTATATTATCATTCAAGCCATATCCTGCGGCAGGACACACAGCTGGGGCTCGACTAACAAGACAGTGTTAAGCTACACAAGATGCAGGCTCATCTCCCGTTGCTCTTCAGCCGGAAATATTCCTGATGACGATCTGTCTATTGCTGCACATGCTTAGTTCTCTCTCTATTTTCTTTCTTTCTTCAAATTGTACATGTCAGGCGTACAGGACCCGCGACAATACCCACTCAACTTTCTTCTTTTCAGCCTTATTAATATCACTGCTGCATCTCACCCATTGCCTCACGCAAAGAACTTTGTTGATTTTTCTTTTTTGCGGGGTCATGGCGGAGGATGTCTCTGGAATCTGAGTATTGAAACAGAGCTACAGCTGCATTTTACAAACTTAAAATTATAACACTCTTTTCTCTGAACTGCTTGGAACAGCGTTAGAAGATGTTGACTATACATCACCTGCCTCGGTTCGGTTTCCCCAGAACCGCCGTAGTGACGATTGTTTGGAGTCGCATTTATCCTCAAGTGCTGTGGGCATGGGACTTCGACTTCAGCTCTGTAGAATATAGATCCAAGTCAACGGACGCTTGTTAAATGCCAGAAACTTGACTTGTATGTTAACGAGGTAACTGTCTCTTTTTTTCGAAACCTCGTCACTATTAAGATCCTCCTCCTCTAGTTCCATGCTCCGCCCCGCGCTTATAACTCTCTTCTCTTCCCCCGACTTCTCTCAGTCTGTCACTTCCCCCATCCAGATACATATAGGAACCCCAGCATCATGACCGAACCTTCCCAGAATCAGACGCAACACCAATCGACCCCTCCCGCCCACGAAGTAAACAAACCTCTCGCAGCAGACCTCCCCAACCCTAAACTCCGTCTTCACATCAACGATCTCCGCCACCCCGGCACCAAAGCCTTTCTATCTCTGATCCCCGACCTCGAATCCGTCCTCGAGTCCGCCCTAAAGGCCATCATCCAAAACCTCTATACCGTCCCATCGTCGCCTCCCACCACCAAGCATCCCCCCCATCTCCCAATCTTCCACCCCAGCATCCCTCCCACCCGCTCCGTGACCATCCTCCTCCGCGACATCTCCGGCGTCGCATACACAACCGGCACCGAGCTCGACGACTCCCACAAAGAAATCCACATCTCGCTCCCATACATCCACAGCACCAGCACCCGCCCCGGTATAACCCCCGCCTCCGAGCTCCGCGGCGTACTCACCCACGAACTGGTCCACTGCTACCAGCACACAGCCCCTCCGCGTGGCCAGAACGGCCACGATCTCCGCCCTCCTGGCGGCCTCATCGAGGGGATTGCCGACTTCGTCCGTCTCAAGGCCAGTCTGGCCCCGCCGCATTGGAAACGGCCTGGTTCTGCGCGCGACCGTCCGGAGCGCTGGGACCAGGGGTATCAGCATACGGCGTACTTTTTGGCTTGGTTGGAGGATGTACGGGTTGGGGGTGGCGCGGTGGGGATGGTGAATGATCGGTTGCTTCGTGTGGGGTACTGGGATCATGATGAGGGGGAGGTTGGAGGCGATGAGGGCAGGAAGAAGGGGTTTTGGGAAGGGTTGTTTGGTGAGAGGGTGGAGGTGCTGTGGCGGGAGTATGGGGTTTATCTTGATCGGTTGGGGGGTGTGATGGAGGAGGGAGATCGAGAGGGGAAGATGAGCACTACGTGGGAGGAGGAGATTGTTGATCCTGAATGAATCATGGAGTGATCTTCAGCTTGGGAGCTGATGCATGTGGGTATAAGTGTGGTCATGCTTATTCTCTATAGAGCGTGGTGATCATGAAGGAGATAGTATTGCAAGTAGCACTGGTTATATATGTTCTATATACTGATGCAATCCATCTTCTATCGGCATGCCAATTGAACAATACTTTTGGGAGGGACTGCCTTGCACAATAATCCCTATTCCACAACATGGATAAAGCAGCATGGAAAGGAAAAGAAACAAAAAGCAGGAGCAAAGATTCGACCAAATAGAGTATGCATAACAAGAAACAGAATGAGAGCAAACAGAAAAGAAAAAAAAAGAAATAAAGAGCCAGAGAAGACATTGGTAAGAATAGAATAGATTTCCCATACTGTACAAAACCTGATCTTGCAAAAAGTAAATATGAAATAAACCAATATGTTGTTGGTGCCGCCATGCACTCGGATCTAATAATATAACATCCTCTTCACATTTGAAACGTATCATTCTTTCTCATCCCCCCAAATCTTATACAATAACCTCGCCCAAGTCGATATGGACCGGTTTCCAAGGAGCGGCTCCCTCCTCTTCCATCGAGCTGGGAACCCGCACGTTCAAGGGGCTGTATAGGTACCATCCCTTGAGGGCGGCCACGGCAGCCCTGGAGCGAGCCTCGAGTAGACTGGCGCCAGCGCCCTCGCCCAACTTATCCTTGCCGGAGTAGATGCCAACGATGAACACGGGGTGTCTGCTCTTACGACCAGTTTCGCTGATGATCTTCGCAACGGGCTGCTCGAAGTTTTCGCGCGCGCACAGGCGAGCTAGATCACGAGCTGGCTGGGAGAAATTGAACAGTTCGGAGATGTTGAGGTGTCGCGAGAGGAAGTGTTGCTCGAAGAAGCGCTTGGCCGCCGGTCGGCCGGCGTGTAGGTAAATCGAGCCCATCACAGCCCGCACAAACGTGGCGTTGGCCTGCTCTGCGGTGACGCCCTGAGCGTTCACAGTCTCCTCGCCGGACACCTTGGTCGGATCGCCGAATTCATTGTCGTAAACCACGCGGGAAGTGATCGACTTTCTCCATGACTTCCGATGCTCATTGGGTCTCGCGGTGCCGGTGATCGGCTCCGCGTCCAGGTCGGTGCCAGGGAGGACTCTCTTGAACTGCAGGAGGCCAGGGTCGACCTCGCCGCCAGGACACACCGCCATTTCAACACCCCATTCCCTTGCCATGGCTGCGAGAGTTTTCGGGCCAACGTACGCATACATGGCGGCGAAGATGACCGTGAGAGGAAGGCGAGGGTATGAGCAAAGGAGGTGTTCGGACGTGTAGTGGGTTAGGAGGTCATGACCAAGCAAGGCCAACGATTCATTGTTGAAGTTGGGGTTGGGATCGGCCGAGGGGTCCACGAGAGAGCGTGCTAGGGTCTCGAGGGGTAATCGCGAAGGAAGGTAGAGTCGTGCATGGAGCGCAGCAAGTTTTGCGGACTCCCGGGCGGCCTCGACCGGCGGAGAAGGGTGGATATGTCTGGACTGTCTTTTCGGATTGGACGGGAGCCGACGTGCTTCCAGCAATTGCTCGTTGCCCAATTGATTGCTTTCAGCCGGAAGAGCCGAAGATTCGGTCGTCGATTGGTGTCGAAGACCGTAAGAAAGATGTTGCTGCAGGCGACCACCAGTCGGGGCCCGCGGCGTTCGGAGGGCCGAACTGCTCCATCGTAGGAGCTGCACCCTCTTCATCTGGGCAACTGGGAGGGAGATAGTAAGCGGGAGGGCCTTAAGACGAAAGAGTCGACAGGAAAGAGAGGAATAGGAGGGGATGATTGCCCAAGGCGTGGGGGGTAGATTGGCTCGTCCGGACGGAGTGAATCGCGTGGGAACTTTTGGCCGCTGGAGAAAAGTTGAGCATCGGTAGAAGTCACGGGGTCTGCCGGTGGTGTGAGAGAAAGGCGCCCTTGGGCCGCTAAGCCGCATTGGGTGCTAGCGTCGCGGGCGTCTGGGAGGAACGTCGAACAGCCATTTCGGCTTCAAACCCGCCCAGAACAACCCACGCTTTTTCCAGCGAGCCATTGCCCACGTCTATCTCTCTCGAACGTCCAATTTAACCCGACCAAGATGGGTGGAGGCGGCAAGATCCCGTATGTCCTTCTCAATCAGTCCCCTGGGATCGTTTCCGCGCGTGGTCGCTAACCGACTGGGATGCGCAGATACCCCAAGGAAGTCTGGTCTCCGGCCGGAGGCTGGTACGCTCAGCCCGCGAACTGGCGGGTGAACACGGCCATCATGGGCGCTGCCGTCATTGGAGTCGCTGCCGTGACTTGGAGTCTTAGTGCCGACCGTGAGCATCGGGAAAAGATGCCAGAGCCTGGCAGATTCTTCCCTAGTCGCTAGTAAGTCGATCTGTTCTGTTTCGCTTGGGCGTGGACGTCATAACTTTCCTTCATCTCGACGTACAATGGCTGATAATCCCGTCCCCCCTTTGCAGCTGGAGCCGACAGATCATCGAACACGAGAGAGCTTCCAAGCAGGATTCATAAAGAGGCGTACCGAAATATAAACAAGGTTGGAAATCGTGGAAGGTTACTATGGCAAATGATAGGTTTTTTGTTTCATATTCCTGTGGGCTGTACGACAATAGAAGGGCGTTCTTCAATCCGTTCAATTGATCAGGAAGTGCTTCTGAGGAGACTCTTCGACGGTTCTATACAACCGCTGGGTGTACAGACGGACCCGTTCCGTGAATTCAGTTTCGTTCCAAAGCTCCCTTCCTTCAGTAGAAGTAGACATCAAGGGCACCCCAATTTGCTCCACCACGAATCCGGCGGCGACGGTGGCAAACACCAAAGCCTCTAAGATGTGGCCGCGGTCTCCGTCTGCCTTCACGGCATCTCTCCAGCTCTCAGACGATGCAAAGATCGACTCGATAACACTAGCCGGGCCTCGTCCGGCACTCACCATACCTTGGGCCAATGCCCCCAGGAAAGAGTTCCCGGCGCCCGTGGGATCAACCACAGGGGTAGACTCCGAAGCTGCGGGCTGGTGATATGCGGGCAACCAGATCCTCTGGGCTCTAGAGTATGAATAGCTCCCATCCTTTCCTGCCCGAATGACCAGGTGCCCGGTTCCATCGGGGCCAATCCCAGATGCAAGGATCCTTTTCACTATATCCTGGCCAAACTGTCCATCTTCGCTCCACCCTGACTGACCAAACATCAGCCCTAGCTCCAGTTCATTGGGGCTTACCACGTCTACGACTCGGTTCGCAGCGAAGAACATCTCCTGTTCCTCGGGGGTGCAGAGGTCCGGCACGGGCTCCCAGACAAAGATCGGTCGCTCCAGGGGAGTAGAAACCTGGCCATTTCGTTGCAATCCTTCTCGGCGTCTGAGTATTTCTTGCACGATGGTGATACACCTAGACGCAGAGCAGACCATGTGGAACGTCCTCGAAAGGACTTGGGAATCCGACAGCATGTGAGGTTCCAATCGCAGTTTTGGGGTCAGATACTTGAAGGCTATTCCTCGTTACCATTCCGTGGACCACTATTTCTACTCTCGAAGAGGTAGGTCAGGCACTAACCTCGTTGCTCATTGTGACCGTAGCCGTTCCATGCTCTGGTGGTCAATCGCGTCGGGTCTTCTCTGATCATGCAGTCGGTGTCCCATGAGTTGATGACATCCAAGACCTCTTGCGGGAAATCTGAGCCGACATCGACAATCCAACTCACAGACCGAGCATGGTCTTTTCCCGCGACGAGACGCGCGCCCACGACTGCAAATGAGGCTGCCCCGCCGAGGACATTCTTCACGTCGGGTCTGATCCCGCCAAATTCGATGTCATCTATTCATCAGTGATTAATTTTCTGAGTATTATCGCGAGCCAATATGACCTCTTTACCCCCAGACAGACACATGGGAACATACCGAGAATGAACATGCCCAGCGTACAGAACTCGACATGGCTGCTGAGTGGGGCACCATGGCTCATGTCTTCTGCCATGCTTCGGGGATAATGTTGGTCTAAGTAGAGTAGAACAAAGAAAAAGGGAACAAGCAAATTAGTTGACCAACTCTCGAGTCACTGAGGGGGTTGCACAAAAGGTTGTCTTATCGCCATGGAGGACTTGCATACCCACCTACCTACTACAACCCCCTCGGAGCGAGCCTGAGGCAGTACTCCGCAATCCATACCTAAATGTGGTACTTGTAGGTGCCGGTTACAGTCTGTTACGCAAACGTCATAACAAATCCGTGGCCACATCGATCTCGTGGTGTATGATACGGTACGAAGACCCACCTCGTGGAGCTTGGCGGCCTCAGGCAGAGCTCAGGAGCATCATCGCCTTTTGAGAACCGACACCGTTGCAACTCCTGGATCTCTCCTTCACTTGGTACCTGCTGCATCCACCCCCCTGGAGAAGGCTTTGGTTATATTCTTTTCTACATCACTTCAGTGAAGTTCTATCGGTATTCTGGACAGCAATTTGCGTCCCTGTCCACAAGCTCAAGTCTGAACGGTGTCGCCTCCTTGCCTAGGGGCCTTGCAAACATGGCGACTGGCAGCCACATGCATAACCTAACAACTCTGATCAAGCGGTATGTTTCTGCATCACCAGCTGCACTGCATTGTCCTTTGTGCAGCTGTACCCAATCGGCTTCATCCGGTCTGCGCTGATATCGACGGACCCCTCCCATGTTTGATCAACTCACTAATGGTCACCAATTAGACTGGAGGCCGCAACCTCCCGCCTGGAGGATATGGCGATGTCGCTTGATGACCCCCATTCTCCAAAGGCCGTGGAGTCCGCGGCTGCACCGGCCCCTCTTGCTGCTGAAGCCCCCAAGCCAGCTGCTCCTCCCGCCCCTGCAGCACCTACCGTCCCGCCGCAAATCCAAGACTTCGACGCTCTGATCAACAAAGATGTCCAGACTTTCGTGGAACTTGGGGACAAAATCGGAGGCCTTGTCGGAGAACAGGTGGGATCATCGTGTCTAGGGTGTCGACAAGAACACTTTGCTGACCTGCCGATAGTCGAAAGCGGTCTTGCAGGCCTTCAAGGCAGAGCGCACCTACCTTTACGTTTCGACAAAGGCGAAGAAACCGGAACCGCAGCCCCCAGAGCTCATGACGGAGCTTCACAATGCGTCCGACAGCATCAACATGGTCCGCGAGTCTAACAGGGGCTCGCCTCTTTTCAATCACCTCAGTGCTGTCGCCGAAGGCATCGTCGCCCTGGGTTGGTTTTTCGAATCCAAGCCGGCGGACTTTGTGAGCGAGATTGTGGGCGGTATTGAATACTATGGCAACAAGGTCCTGAAGGACTATAAGGAGAAGTGGATACCCCGATATCATTCGTGCCTAATGATGGAAACTGACTAGCTGCTAGGGACCGCACCCACATCCAGTACATCCAGGCATACTACCAAATCTTCAAATCTCTTGCCGCGTATCTCAAACAACACTATCCGAAGGGCCTGACGTGGAATGACCAGAGCGGCATTGACGCCCATGAGGCTCTCCGGCAGGTCAAGGGTGGCTCTGGCTCCGCTCCCGCTCCCGGTGGTGCAGCACCACCACCTCCTCCTCCCCCTCCCGTTCCAACGCTCAATGTGCCCGGCGGAGCTCCCCCGCCGCCTCCTCCGCCTCCTCCCCCCGGCGTTGCTCCCGCTCCCGCTCAATCCGCCGACATGTCGGCGGTCTTTGCTCAGCTTAACCAAGGCGATGCCATCACTTCGAGTCTCCGCAAGGTTGATAAGTCCGAAATGACCCACAAGAACCCCGGTCTCCGTGCCGGCTCTACGGTTTCCGAGGGCCAGGGTAGCGGTGCTTCGCGGTCCAAGTCACCGGCCCCAAGCAAGAAGCCCAAGCCCGAGAACATGCGGTCCCGCAAGCCCCCTCGCAAAGAATTGGAGGGCAACAAGTGGTTCATCGAGAACTTCGACAACCCCGGCGAGATTGTCGAGATCCCGGCGCAGCAAAACCAGTCTGTTCTCATCTCACGCTGCAACAAGACCATCGTGAAGCTGTCCAGCAAGGCGAACGCCATTTCCATCGACAACTGCATCGGTCTCTCCCTCATCGTCGACTCCCTCGTGTCCAGTCTGGATGTCATTAAGTCGCCGAAATTCGCTCTCCAGATTGACGGAATCGTTCCCACTCTGTTGCTCGATCAGGTCGACGGTGCCGTGGTTTACCTCGGCCAGAAAAGCCTGGGCACGGAGGTCTTCTCCAGCAAATGCTCCGCCATTAACGTTATGCTTCCTCCTAAAGAGGGCACCGACGAAGATACAAAGGAGTGCCCCATTCCCGAGCAGATCAAGACGTACGTTAAAGACGGCGTTCTCGTCAACGAAATAGTCGAGCACGCTGGTTAGTCTGGAGCTCAACGGTGTCTCTTCCCCTCCTCTCTCGCTCTCTCTTCTGGCTTAGACAATCATGGATTATCCTGGGTATATATGCTGTCAATGATGATCTAATTGCCTCGGCGGCTTATATTGCCTGATGGTGGACACCTTGGTTCTTCTAGTTGTTAACGACAGGTTTTGTTTCTGCCGCCGTACGTGTATTTAGAATAGTATGTAGATAATTTGCAAGCTTCTTCCTAAAGCCACGCAAAAGAACATAGTTGACGGGTCAGAGACTAGGCGCACTGCGTGGTTGCACGTGACGAGGTGACGAATGGAACCAGTGACCCTGCTAGTGCACACGTACCATGTTTTGGCTGAGCTCAAGGCTGTCCATGTGCCTGTAAGATCACAGGCTTTGTAGGAAAGGTGAAGGCGTTCTATCATGGCGACAGAAACCGAGATTGCCATGTGCTTCCTTCCAACACATCCTAAGTCACAGAGGTTGATCTTTCTCACCGGCAACGCTGCTCTTCCCTGATAATCGCGGTTGTTGTCAGCAGAACTGACAGAATGTTTACTCTGTAACTATTATTCGCTAGGAGACAAATACTACATCTAGTCTAGTATTCTGTTCTTCTAGAAGGAGTACGAAGTCGATCTTACACGCAGATTGGCCCTGGATGCCGGAAGTCCCACTCGGCCCGTGAGCCTGAGGCTCTCAGTCCCGCCCGTCTTGGCCTAAGCGTGGGCTCGATGTTTGCCTGGTTTGCCTGGTTTGGTTGGGTTTCCGCGGAAGATGAATTGCGTCGGGTAAACAAAGCCCCAAAAAAAAAGGAACCCTCAGGGATGGCAACATCAACAACCACCTTCCTTCCTTCCCTCTTCGTCCCCCCCGCTACCCCTCCCACACATTCTCTCTCCCCATCCCACCACACCACCTCGGTCGGGATTCGCATCGCATTGCATCGCATCGCATCGCAATTCCTGGAGTCCTTCATTCTTGTAGCCGTGCGGAGTGCGGAGCCGCTTATCGCCGTAGTGCGCTTATCAGGTCTCGTTGCATCAAGCTCCTTTTTCTCCATCCTCTATCTTTCGTCGCGACTGTCGTCAATCATCGTCATTATCCTCGACTACGCTTTCCTCGGTCTTCGTCCTTTCCCTTCATATCACCACAGGTAAGTGCTTTCCCCCGTCAAACCGCTTGTTTCTCTCTCATAACAATGGCACTTTCGCTCTCCTCCCCTCTCTTCTCTTCTTCTCCTCTCCACCCCTCTTCTTCTCTTTTCTCGCGTGACTGTAGTTCCATTTGCCATTGTGAAGCTCATTCAAAATGTCTCTGCAGTTTATCGACACCGTTATCTCCGTCCTCCTCTTCTTCTTCCACGCTCTTCTCTCTCCCTTCACCTTCGCCTCCCGTTGTTTCTCTTTCGTCTCTTCCCCCGTCTCTTACATCTTCTCCAAACTCTCCTCTATCGCCAAGCGCACATTCTTGTCTATCAAATCCTCGTTGGTTTATTGCAGGTCTTATTGCACGTCTTGGCTCATCATACCCTGCTTGTTCATCGCGGCAGGTGCCTCGTACGTTGCCAGGATCTTCGTCGCCGCCAGCTCTTCCACGATTTTTTACTCGGCAGTGGAAGGCTTCCGTTCGGTTCTGGGCCTCCAGCGTAAGATGGAGCCAAAAGCAGACAGGCTGCTTCAAACCCTTCGAGATCAGAATGCATCTATGGATGCTAAAGTAGAAAATCTACTGGCTATCAAAGCCGACATCAAACAGAACAATGTCCCCGAGGATGCATTGCCGTCATTATTCGACGCGATCAAACTTGGAATCAGTTCTAATTACACCCGGTACTGCGGAGCCGCCTTCTCGACACTCGGCAATCTCGTGAAGCGACTCTCCAGCCAGGAGCAACAGCGTCTCATCGCTACTTTTGCCCGCGTCTTGTATCCCGTCCTGCTCGATCGCCTCGGTGATCAGAAAGAGCGTATTCGAACCCATGCGTTCCACGCATTTGTCGACTTTTGGCCCGCCTCACAACGGGAAGTCGAAGAAGCAGTTCTCGGCACTGCCCTGACGGGAAAGAACCCGCGTGCAAGGCAAACGGCCATTTCATGGCTCTTGCATGTACGCTCCCTCGTTCCTTGTCTGCTTGCTCACTTTCCCCTGACTGATCTTGTGTCACAGATGACAAAAAACCACGGACTCGCGTTCCGAGATTATGTTCCGGACGTGATCCGTTGCCTTCAAAACGCCGATGTCTCCGTGCGCGACACGGCAAAAAATACGCTCGTCGAACTTTTCATGTAGGATCATGTTGCCCATCTTCTTCTCTATTTTTCTCTCCTTCCCTTTGTTTGCATTCGGTGACAATGTTGACTGATTCGCTCTTTAGGGATGAAAACGACGAATCCAAAACCTTTCTCAAGGTCGAGCTAAATAACCCCGCCAACAAGCCTGCCAGACAGGCCATCCGCGACTGGATTCTGGAGCAAATTGGCCCCTTCGAGGAGGTTCCCGCAAGTTATGGTATGCAGCAAATCTACATGATGCGGGAGAGAGCTATGAGCAGGCATGAGGAAAAGTGTAAATCCGACGAAAAGCATCTTGCCTTTCATGAGAGACGACTTGCACGCAAGGAGTTTCAGTTTGACGCTGACAAGGCGTTCAATGTCGATGCGCTCAGACGCAGGCTGCATCTGGACGAGAGCTCAAATACCGATCATTTCATTGCACCCCGGCGTCAGGAACCTCCGCGCTCAAAGACACCGCTCGCCGAAAATGCGCTGCAGCTTCAGCGGTCCGCTCATACCATTCCCACCTGGGATGAAGCTGACGTTGCCCCGCTCATCATCAGGTCGTCTCGACAGTTGGAGGACATTTTCACTACGATGATCCCCGATTTCGACGGTCGCGAGACGGAGAAGAACTGGGATAAGCGCGAGAAGCATGTGATCATTCTTCGACAGGTTGTCATCGGTAATGCGCCGAGGGATTATTCTCAAGTCTTTTATCCGGGTATCAAAGCGCAGCTTGACAACGTATTCAAGGCCGTGTTATCACTCCGCACCACTTTGTCCTCGCATGGATGCTACTTCGTTATCGATATGGCCCGCTGGCTTGGACCCGGCATTGACGGAATGGTCGAGATTATCGTCCAGAATTTGTTCAAGGTCTGTGTTCTCTCCAAGAAGATCACAGCCCAAAATGGGAACAAGGCGATGATCGCCGTCATTGCCAACGTGTCCTACAACCCCCGTCTTCTGAGCCACGTTCAGAGTGCGACCACCGATAAGAGCGTGCAGCTCCGTCTTTTCGCCGCAGAATGGCTTCGGACTATCATTAATCGACACACATCAATCAAGGCCGCCATAGAACATGGCAATGGCTTGAACCTAATTACCACATGCATCAAGAAGGGTCTAGCCGACGCGAATCCAAACGTGAGGGAGGAGATGCGACATACTTACTGGGATTTCTACGTGGCCTGGCCCACTAAAGCGAATACGTGAGCTTCTTTCCAGGTCTTCTACAGACAATGATATGCTAACGTCCGAACAGAATTGCGTCTGATTTGGACATGAAATCGAGGCTTCTTTTGGATAAGAACCCACACAAACCCAAGGAGCAGCAACCGGGCATATCGCCAGCAGAAGAGAGCTCAGCTCCGGCGCCACCCGAAAAAAGCCGCTCCGCGCTCAAGTCCGCGATTGCGGCCCAAAGACGGGCTCATCATCTTAAAGCCAAGGCCGTTGAAGAGACCCCTGCCGTCGCAGGTCCTTCGACACTCCATTCGGCGCCCATGAGGCCAAGGTTTCGACGCCCCGAGGGGGATCGTCCCGCTAGTGCGGAGCTGCACGCGCCTCCGGCTGCACCATTGACGCCATTTGATCGTGATGTCGATCAGCGGTCACCGAGTGACGATTGGAAAGGCCTCGCCAAATTCGAGCCGAAGAAACCCAGACTTGTGGGCGGGCGTTTCACGTCGAGAGCAAAACCTGTTGTTGTCGGTCAGGACAGTTTAGGAGAGGTTACAAAGGCCGTTGTTGCGGGTAGACAAGACGGCATTGATGACACCGACGCCACCGTCCAGAGACCTATCGAGAGCATGTCAGAAGTCCACATTGACGACTCCTATATTACAGCCCAGGGACCTGCTGAGAGCATATCAGGAGTCCGCGTTGATGACAGCCATGTAACGGCCCAGGGACCTACTGAAAGCATGTCAGAAGTCCACATTGACGACAGCTATATAACGGCCCAGGGACCTGCTCAGAGCACGTCAGGAGTCCACGCTGACGACGGCCACCTAACAGCCCAGGGACCTACTAAAAGCATGCCAGAAGTCCACGTTGACGACGGCCACCTAACAGCCCAGGGACCTACTAAAAGCATGCCAGAAGTCCACGTTGACGACAGCTATATAACGGCCCAGGGACCTGCTGAGATCATGTCAGAGAAGCAACGAGGCAAGTTGCCCATGCGTGAGGTCGGCCAAAGAACAACATCTACGTGTTTGGAGAACATGGTCGTCTTTGATCCATTGCGCATTGTTAATCTTTCAAAAGAACCGGATTTTCGTCGGCCCACATCGCCAGCAGACTCGGGTCGCATCTTGTGTATGTCGCAATCCGGTGAAATATATGACAAGAAGCAATCTGCGCGAGGACCATCTACACCAGCCCACTTTCCGCCTACTGATCCGCATCTGGCTTACCTGCTGGCAAGCAGTCCGAGTGAGCCGCCGAGCGACGCGGATTGGAACTTCGATGATTCTCTACTCTCGGAGAATTTCTTGTGGAAAGATTTCAATGGGGAGTCGTCTTCTCCACGCGAAGTTCACGGAATCATTGATTCAAGGGTGGCAGATGAAGATATTAGTTGGGTAGAAGAGATTCGCGGGGAGCGAAAAAAGGATTCGCCACAGGCAATGGATTCAGCGCAAATGGGCCAAGCGCAAACGGTGCATGAAGTCCCTCAGGCGTCACTCATAGTCGACCCCGATCCACGTTCGACGCAAGAATTACCCCTGATGCAAAAGCAGCGTTGGCCAGTAGGACCCCGTTGCGAGCCAGCCCACGAGCCTACTCCGGAGGAAGATTTACAGTTTGCAGGGGCATTGTTGGAACGTTCCGAGGAAAGGTCGAACCGGCGTGCCCCAGTAAGTTCCTCCCCCGCATCCCAAGACCCCAACAGGTCGCAGCAATTGCTCGATAGGGGCATCCAACTAATCCGTAGCAACAGGATGGATCCTCATGGATTCAGACGGCTGCGGAGAGTCCTGGAGTCCAGCGACGAAACAGGAATATCACAAGAGCAGCAGCACGAGCTCGTGTTGGCTCTGTTGAACACTTTGGAGCGCGGTCATCCAACCGTCAAAGGCGCCCCAGACACCGCCCTACTCCCCGTTCTTGACGTACTCGAACATACGATCAAAGGAAGAGAGGGCGAGAAAAAGCGTTTCACTTCGAAATTATATTATCTTACAACCATATCCTTCCTGGAGACGAGAGGACGTTATGATGCGTCGTGTTATTTTGCTGTCAGGCTCGATGAGGTTGCAACACGAATCGTCCATGCCGAGTTGGACGAGGGTACGTACAACTCTCTTGAAGCTATTCTGGACACGATTGCGAATGAGAAAAATCAAAAAAACGAAAAAGAAAAAACTCAAAAAAATAACAATATTATGATTATGGGCCTATCACTGTTGGTGGTAGCTCTCCGCCATCAGAATGCGTCTGGCTTGAGTCTTGCGGAGGACATCGTGTTGAGGATTGGATCGCTTGTTTCTGAGCAGCTAGAAGGGGTGCATGCCGAGGTACGCCGTTTAGTTGTGCAAGTCTGCGTCCATCTACATGCTATGGTGAAGGAGGATAGGTTTTGGGAGTTGTTGGGGACCACTTCTACGGGGTCCCGCAACCTTTTGACGTATTACCTGGCAAGAGGCTGATTTTGTTTTTTTGTTTTTTGGTTTTCTTGGTTTTGCTATTTGGCTTTCTTCTTGGTCTTTGTTTTCTTTTCTCCTTTTTCTATACTTATGTTTGTATTGATACCACGAGGCCGTTTGAGTTCTTGTTTTCTTTTTCTTTTTTTTGCTCTTTTTTTTTTGCACTGTGTATATCTTATTCTTTGTATAATATAGCATTCAAAAGCAATCCAGAACGCAGGTTTCTTTCATATTTCCTTTAGAGAGCGTACATGCCGAGGTACGCTGTGTAGTTGATCGAGTTTGCATCTCTCCAGATGCCATGGTCAAGGATAAGTTTGAGGTGTTCTTGGGGATCCCTTCCACGGGGTCCAGCAACCTACTGACTTATTGTCTGACCAGAGGTTGGTCCTGTTTCCTAGTTCCGAAAGAAAGAAGAGAAGAAAAGAAACAACAATATGATTACCATGGGCCTATCATCAATGACGGTTGCCCTCTGTCAACAGAATGAATCTGGCTCATGTCTCCCCATGGACTTGAATCATTTGATGCTAGCTAGAGAAGGTACATGCTGAGATACGCCATCTAATGGTCCAAGTTTGCCTCTCCATCCCATGGTCAGGGAGGATATATCTTGAGAGTTGTTGGGTACCCCTTTCACAGGGTCCCGCTCTTCTGTTACATTATGCGGCCCGAGGCTGATCCTATTTCTGTTTCTGTTTTCATGTTTCCCCCCTCCTATCTTTGTATCAATACCACGACGCTGTTGAGTTCTTAAATTATTACGTTCTCACAATCATACTTTTCGGGGCCCCCTTTACAGAAGGTATGCACCCAGAAGCCCTACGACGTCCAGCTTAAAGGGCCGAAACGTTCTCTGGTCGCTCGCGCAAGATTGCTGTGTTTATGAAGGAATGAGCTGGCATCCAGAATTATTCATCCTTTTTTATTCTTTCTGCTTTATACCCGAGTAACAGCTCCTCATTAGGCCCGGGCCGTGAACGGCCACAGTTTCATTGACATTTCAACCTCACTAAAATGGATATAGGCGGTGTATTTTTATAAAAACTATCATACAAGAGCACAACTCTTTCAAGTATATCACATCTGCGTGTGTATAGGTATAAAAGCCTGTAGGGGAACAAGTAAGGAAGAATCTACAGAGCTCTTTTACTACGCTCGGTATAGAGACAGCAAAGGGAGAGACATGAATAAGAAATATGCTCGATCATCCCCCTTGATATGTTGAATACTCTCCTTCTGGCACTGGGCGTGTCCCTCCAACGTGATACCCCGTAGGATTGGTGGCCACGGGATTCAAGCCCTCTACACTTTGTTATAGACATGCATAGGTAGTTCACCATCAAATGCCTCTTCAATGTCAGCGGCAGTGACTATCACTAGACCACCCAGCTACCTTTGTTCAGCTATGTCTAGCTCAACGAGCCGAGAATGGCAGTCGAGATGACTGAGAAGAAGGTCAATGTCGTAAAGGTAGCAATACGGATAATTTCTCGAACGTTCCGGTCATCACTTTTTCGTCATACTCCGTATGCTCCGTACTCCGGGACAGCATGCAAGCTAAGTATAACGACCACAACAGCTGACATCGGAAGCATCGGGGAGGCGAATTATTGATTCCGAGCAGGACCGATCATCGGCGGTGTCCAATGGTGTTTGCCTGGCGAATCTGATTAGATGACGATCAGATTAGATCCAGGCTCTTCTTTTTTTGGCTACCCCTTTTTTTTTTCAAGTGTCCACTGTTGGCATCATCCTACCACGGGAAAAGTTGGAGGGCCACTGCCGGCAGGTTTCAAGGTTAATCCGTTCGCTCGCTTTCTCTCTCACCTTCGACTCTTCTTCGACAAGATGTTGGTTTATGTAAGCGTCTCCACAGAACCAATTCAGTCAAGCAGGCTACGAGCTAAGAGATCCATCGCCAAGCCCGGAACCAGCACTATTACGGATAAAACTTGAGACCCCGGGGCAGGATTCGTAGACCCTTTCCCCGATGTCCCCCCGAATCGTTCTCGAAAAAAAAAAAAAAAAAAAAAAAAAAGGAAAGAGAAGGGGAATGTCACCGAAAATGGAACAAATAAACTGTCATGGAGCAAAAACTGGGCAGCCAAGGCATTTGTGACGCCCAAGGTCACTAAGGGATGTCTAAGGGCCTGCTAATTCAGACTAATGAGTGCTAGTCGCAAGCCATCCCGAAACTGACTAAAGATTATAAGGGGGGTCAGCAGCGGTTCACCCAGTCACCACGGTTTATCAATCTATCAATCAATCAGATTAGATAAAAAGAACAGATGATTTTACTTTTCTCTGTCGGACTTTATCGATCCTAGTCTCAATTGTCAGAAGGGGGGCGGTTGTGGAAATTAAATTGAAATAAAGCATCGCCGGATGGATCAGATTCAAGAAAATTCGGATCGAAATCAAGACAGGAAAAGTCTCCATAATTTCATCATCCGTGGCGGACGGCTTGCCATGGAAGAACTTTTCCCTCTCGATCTTGGTTCTTGCTCTATTTATTTTTCATTTTTCGCACCATTACCTTGGGTAGTGAGACCAGATCCGAAGTAAATTCATTGAATTACGTGTCACCTTGCGGGCGATCCATACAGCAATACTGCAGGGAGGATAATTCCGAGAAGGAACAAGGACGAAGAATGAAAGACGAAGGTGGAAGGTGGAAGAAGGGAAATGGCGAGACCCAGTCGGGCGACAAGGATTGGGGCGCAGAGTTATCAGATGAGAAGCTTCCGACCGGCCACGTCCCACGCCGAGCGTCTTTCATTTCTGATTTCACCGTCCGGCGGTGGCGTAGGACTTGGCGGGATGTTGGTTGATTGTATCAATCAGATAACCTACCTAACCCTACCTGCACTTAGGTAGTACCTAGTACCTACCTGTACTCTACGGTGTACACCAGACGATTAATTAGTCTATAGTATTCACTGTCCATGGCACAGTTGAGTGCCATGGAAGACGACAAAAAAAAAATAAAATAAAATAAATCACGCACAAAACAAAACCAATGGAGAAAAAAAAGCAAAAGCCAAGGAAAAGAGAGAAAAAATTATCAATCAGTCACCATCCTCGGTTACGGCCATTTCAGGTACCGCAACGAACCGCCGCTCCACCCACCATGGCCCAATCAATCTTCCTCTGGGCACTCTACTGAGTAACTTACTCTTCCCTCTGCACCTCTGCAGAAATTGATTCCCCATCGAAAATCCACCCGAACACAGAGACATTATTATCTGATGGTCACAATAATCCACTTCCTCTCACCCTTCAGCCGCCCGTCCGCTCCCTCCCCTGCCAAGTGGAGATCATGCCTTCTTCCTTGGGCGCTCTTCTTCGCTTTCCTCTGGCTTTGTTGCCCTTCTCCGCTTCGTGCTGGTCGAGGACCCTCTTTTTCCTTTCCTAGTCTCCTAGACTCTTGCGTACTCGGCCTGCAGCCATGGCTTCGACTAACTTTCAGCGCCGGTTCTTAGCTAGGGCCGCAACCGGAGCCGTTATGATGGTAAAATGATATTCCATCCCCCCCTCTCTCTCTAGACGTGTGTCATTAGTAGCCTACACCTGTCCGAGCTACCTGGGTCCCTTTTTTCTTTTTCTTCTTGCTTTTCCTATCTTTCCTCTTCTTCTTCTTTCTTCCTCCCCCCTCCCCCTTCCCTTTGGTCTTCTTCCCCTCCACCTTCATCGTCTACATCCAATCCTTGACTCTTGACCATTGCTCTTTGTCAGTGAGGGATGCTTCTTGGAGGCATGACCTGAGTGATTTGTTTCACTCTTGACCCATTTTGAATTGTCGCCATTGGTTTAGCGACTGCTGGGATGCAGAGAATATTTTCGACGTCTTGAAACAGTGCTCCGAACAAGATTCTCTTCTTTTTTCCCAATCCCCGCTCTGAACGCAACTTCTTAACGAATCAGAATCCATTCCGCGTGGGATAACCTCGAGCGATCTGACCGTTACTGGATTGACCTATATATACGCCCGCAATCTCGGCCTTGATTCCATCCGCGGGATACTGTGCCAGCAACCATGTCACAGGAGACGCCACCCGAAAATGGGCAGAAAAGCCCCAATTATTCTGGCGATGGCCAGCAATCTAAGTTTGTACGTCGATTCCCTCTCCCCAGAAGAGCGGGAGAATAATGCGGACAATGCACTGACGCCGAGTCTGTTTCCAGATGCAACAATTGAAGGGATACATACCCACGAAGGCGGATATGGGCAAGTGTTTCTCTTATGTTCGACTTCTGTTTTCCCTGGACTACACTATGACCGATGTTTTCCTTATCATTGCTGGTGTGTTCTTCGCGATTGCCGGAGGTGTTCCTTTTCCGCTGCTTGGTATTGTCTTCGGTGACCTCATCAACGATATGAACTCAACCACCTGCGCGTCCTCCGACAATGCTTCTAGCGAACTGTCGTCAAGTGTGCGCACCAAGGTGCTGTACGTCATCTACATCACCATTGCCAACTTCTGCTTTATCTACATCCATACTTCCTGCTGGTGCACAGTGAGTGAACGGCTGGCGCGTCGCTACCGCAGGCGATACTTCGAGAGTATCATCAAGCAGGAGGCAAACTTCATTGAATCTCTTCCGTCGGGCGATATCATCTCCCGTCTGGTCAGTGACATTGAAGTCGTGCAGTCCGGTACGTCTGAAAAGGTCGGTCTTGTCATCACAACCATATCATACTTCGTGGCCTCCTACGTTGTTGCCTTTATCAAAGTCCCCCAGATTGCTGGAATGTTGATATCCGTCGTCCCTTGCTTCATGCTCATGTCGCTGGTTGGGGGCCACTACATTAAAAAATACGCCGGGCGCATCGCAGAGAATGCGAATGCGGCCACGTCCATTGCCTCTTCCAGTTTGTCCCACTTGACTCTAGTCCACGCCTTCAATGCCAACGATCGTCTTGAGTCGCGATTTGCCAGCTACCTCTCTCAATCGCATAAGGATGCACTCAAGAAGGCCTGCACCCATGCTGCGCAGCT